ACTAATAACAATGACAATAAAGTAAACATGTAAATACAAAAACATTTTTACAGCAACGACGAAGATGTAAAATAATATTTAATAAGTGAATACAATACTATTTCAAAAATAATATTTATTCAATGCTTCAGTCGTCTTTTCTGGATCCAAAAGTATTATTTTTTCCCCATAGCAAAATAAAATTCTGTTTTGATTTACTTGAATGTTTACTCCTAGAAGATGTCATTTTGTGATGCGATTGGTTGGTTTGGAGTTTATTGGGACAAGGGCCTGTCTTTGTGCACTGGGAATATCAACTTTAAAACTTGCGGAATACTTTGAAATATTAGTATGACCATTGCAAATATTGGAATTCTGACATGATCAAGCATGACTTAAGCGAGTGAAAAAGGGCAGGGTGTTTTAACAGCATATATGTTTGCACACTTTATACATTACTACGTTTGTAACGAACACGCTTATGACGAACTGACGGATATAACGAATTTTTCTTGGTCCCGGCCATTTGCTGTTTATACTGTATATATGCTTATAACGAACTTCGGTTAAAACGAACTAAAATTAGTGGTCCCTCATTATGATGAGGTGAAGTGATATAGGGTTTAAGGTCGCGTTTAAGATTATTGCACTTATATTGCGACGTGTGTGTGTGTGTGTGTGTGTGTGTGTGTGTGTGTGTGTGTGTGTGTTTTGAGGTTTTGAGCCTAGTATCAGAGCACTCCACCATCGTGGGCCCAAATCACTCCCAGGGCTCAAATCGTTCCCCCTAGTATTTCAAATAAATTTCCATAAATTATACTCTGTAATGGAGGCGTGTGTGACTGGTGACGTTGGATGTGCGTGTTGCTTGAATGACACCAGCAAGCCAGTAATTGCCATCATATGCTTATATATCTTTATGTAACTATACATGTAATATTTAAGTTGTTTTTTTTGTTTTAAGTGTTTAAGAGGTCGCCTTCTGTCTTAGCAATTTCGGCTGACCTGTCCATCTTTGAGACTCATGTGTGTGAGTAGGGTACACATATATATTGGGAGTATTGTAGTTTTGATAGAATTTCTGTTTTTGTCTTGATAAGATTTCTATTTTCATATTGATATCGTGTTTTTAATTTTCAGAAATTGATGGAATTGCTTTGGCTGCTCTGTTTACAAACGATCGAGTACCTGACCATGTCTCAGAGTTGGCTTGGCCTTCGCTATTGCATCTCTTGGCTTGATGACATCTACAATAGATAGCGGATCTAACTGCAATTCTTGTTTTAACTGAGGTGGTGCTGGGGCATGAGCTTGACATTCCAGTAACAAGTGAGCACTGGATTCAGGTTGATTGCAAGATGGACACACCTTGTGATGGTGCTTGAGATGGCTGTTTCATTAGAGCATGAGTATGGCTTTTTGTGGATTTTGGCCATCTGCCGATCTAACTTGCGTCCCATTGTTTGCCTTTTTGGGTCAGTGGAGGCTCTGATTTTGCTTTTTATCTCTAGTTGTACATGTCTGTATCTACATCATGTCCACATACCACAGTGTCCAAAAGTGGAATTTCAGGGAAGCTGGAGTTCCTGGTAAAATCCAGATGTTTGAAAAATGATTAAGGATGTTACAAAACAGAGTTAACTTGCCTTCAAAGGGCAACGGCATAAAACAATCGTCGTGGAAACGTCGCCAATTTGTTCTAAAGTATTCGGCGACTTTAGGTCCTACCTGTTCCCTCACTTTGTCTCCAAAGCACTTTCAAGATATCCCCAAAACCAACGTTTCGAAAGTAGGTGCCAACAATTGACCCCCCAACCACCACCATCATCTTTTGGAGTATGATAAATTAATATATGTCCAAGAAGAATAAAAGCGTATATATATATATATATATATATATATATATATATATATATATACTTAACCGCAATAGAAACGCTATTTCTATAAATATTTGTGACACAAATTATATTAGCTGGGATACATTCTGTTTTGGAACTGAGTGGCAGTGAACGTTTTCCTTCATCATATCATTGCTTCAGAACGCAGCTGGTGTTTCAGATCCGACAAAAAAACATGAGCGTAAACGCAACCTCACAAAAATCTGTGGGAGCGGTTGTGAACATTCCTCGTGCAAATCAAGATGCACGTGCAGGATGAGATAGCTGTGGGGATAAAAGCTAGCCTCGATGAGTTCGATACAGTAGCGATTGCGAGATAACTGCCAAAGAGAGACAACAGGCTGTTGCCGGTTGACTGAATGCCGGTCAGAGTGCGCAGGTTGTCGCAAATCATTTTAATGTGCACGTAACAACAATATATAGTTTGAAGCAACGACTCTACCATCAGCACCGACGACAGTTCACGTAGTGGTCGGCCCCGAGCCACAACGCCACGACAAGATCGTAATATGCGTCGCCATCACCTGCAGAACCGTTTCCTCTGCGCCACTGAAACAGCTCGGGGGACGATCGGCAACCACCAGCTACCTGTCAGTGCCGATACAGTGCGACGTCGCCAAGTCGCCCTCAACATCTTTTGTCGGCGACCTGCTCGAGTGCACATCCTGACAGACCGACATCGTCAGATACGACTCGGATGGGCAACACAGCATCATCGTTGGCGTCATCAGCAATGGAGGCACGTCAACGTTTCTGATGAAAGTCGTTATTTGTGTGTCGAGGGCGGACGATAGCGTCAGGATCTGGCGCAGACTTGGTCAACGATTTGCAGACACTTATGTGCTTGAAAGAAACCCATAGGGAGATCCATGCGTCTTGTGTGGGGTGCCATTGGACTGAACCATTGAACTGGACCTGTGGTCTTGCTAAATATTGGTCCAGGCAGGGGTAATGGCGTCACAGCGCAGCGCTACATTGGCCAAGTCCTCAGATCTTACGTCTTTCCCTTTTTCGCCCGTCACCAACGCCGCATAGTCCAATACAACGCTCGTCCCCCATACAGCTAGCTACTAGAGACAACCTTCAGCAGCACAACATCATCACCATGCCTTGGCCTGCCCCCAGTCCGGATTTGAATCCAAAAGAACAGTTGTGGGACGAGATCCAAAGACGTCTCAGTGACCTCCAACCAAGGCCGACAACCGCAGCAGGATTGAGTGAGTCTTTCTACGCATATGGGCCCAGATCCCAACGGCCTTCATCAACCGCCTGGTGCACTCGATGCACAGAAGATGTGCCGCCATTATTAACGCTCGGGGTGGGCATACAAGATACTGACTTTAATCCTACAAATGTTGGGGTGTTTGGCGTTGCCCTAAATTGCAAACGCCAACAACCATTCTTAACACTGTGTTTATGATCTGTGTAAACTCTTGACATTCTCGGCTGTTAAATATTGTGTTCACAAGTATTTGAAAATACATATATTCAAACAAATACCTTATAGACTTTGCGTTTCTTTTGCGGTTGAGTGTATTTATGAGAATCGCCAATAATTTCATAAATCACCAGTTCGTGTGTTTTCAATGCCGTGATTTGGAACACTGACTGTAAACAACTGGAACTGAATGAGCAGCGTCGTTTGAGACAAAATTATTACTTCATGATGTCAACAATTTGTTAATTTCATAACATACTGTTTATAAGCGCAGATTAGTTACCGTTTTAAAACCAGTTGGTAGTCACAAATACTAAAATTTACCAAGTCATTGCTCGGGAGATTTTTGGATTGCAAAATTATCAAGGAATTGCAATACTTTTACTCTATGCCATAGTTACACATGACAAGCAGCTGTATGCAATAAACAAACAATGTGGACCGTTAACCGACTGAAACATGCAGAATTTGTCTCAAACTATTCAGATAGAGCATCATTATACTATGCTTGTCGTAAGAGGCGACTAACGGGATCGGTGGTCAGGCTCGCTAACTCGGTTGATGCTTGTCATCGATCCTAATTGCGTGGATCGATGCTCATGATATCAATTACTGGATTCGATTACTTACACAGGCCGCCGTCATATAGCTGGAATATTGCTGAGTGCGGCGTTACACAACAAACAAACAAACATTGTTGTCAAAGTTTCGTTTCTTGAAAAAGCTCTAGAAACTATGTACAAATCATCCATCTTTCTAACTTTTGATTATTGTAGTGATATATTGGATAAATGTACGATAGATCAGAGTCAAATATTAGAAAATATATATACCCGGATGTTCTAAGTATTTAGGGGGTTCCAAGAGGCACTAGTCATAATAAAAGAATATGAGAAAACAATATGCAGTGTGGGTTCGAATCCCGGACAAGACTCAGCCCCCTAACACCTTCCCCCCCTCCCCCCCCCCCCCCCCCCCCCCCCAAACAAAAAGAAGAAAAAAAAGAAAGACAGTAGAAAGTGCGAGAATCATCCAAAATATAACATTTGTTACATTTGACCACTTTCTAAATAGCATTGTGTGTTCATAGCTTTCGGCCATGGGAGCCGTGCCAATTTACACTTGTCAGAGGGGTACACAAAGTGTGTGATCTAGACTACCAGTTGCCGGACTTCCATTTCTGTGGAAGCCTCGGTGGCTGAGTGGGTTAGATCGCTGACTCTGTGTGCTGGCGATTAGGTCATTACGTGCCTGACTCTGGCAGTGTGGGTTGAATCCCGGACGGGATTTTCGTCTCCACTGGTATGACTGTGTTTTCATTTGTGATTGTAAGTATTACTGGAGAGGTATTTATATAAGTGCCGCGACTTGTTCAACAATCCAGTGAATTTCAAATTGAAAAGGAATATATTTGATGTAAGGTAATTACAAAACTTTGGTGCCAGGATCCGAGTCCTCACCATACCCGTGTTGAACGTCAATATAATACTGGACATGCCCTAAAATAAGTGAGTGAGTGAGTGAGTTGGGTTTAACGCCGCTTTTAACAGTATGTCCACATAAATTCAGCGTTAACAACCGTTGTGTCCATTGGTGAGTGTTGTCCGGGTTAAATCGAACAACCAACGAAGGTCTCCGTATTAAAGAAGGGTCTACAAGGTTCTACTTTAGTCGAAACTCGTCTAGTATCTTGGTGACACGACCCCAGAGATAACACCCAGTTATCTGGTGTACATCCGGGACACTATAGGCATCACACCCGAGACAAAGCTTGACGCGTTATTCTTTATCTAAGGCAGGACTACCACTGTGAAGTCGAAGCTGTTTTCAAAAGGTAAATGAGTGAATTTTGAATCATGGCAGCATATACATGTAATAGGTAGAGCCCTTTAATCCTTGGTTCATGTTATACCTGTCCACATGAGCCGCGTCAGAGATAAAGTTACCGACTAGATTATTGGGTCAGCTGTTGCTAACAGAATGCATTGTGAATCAACGGTATACATGATAGTACAATTTGTTGACTAACTTTCCCAATATGCTTAGACAGAGGATTCCCAACACATGTATATCTGCCTGGTTCTGTCGGGGTTGGTAGGGTAGGGGATATGGTTGGGTATGGGGTATGTCTCAAAGCATGATGAAGTAGCCTCTAAATGCTGAACTTTTGAATTGCGCCCTCAGTCAAACCCTATCGTCAATCAACTTCTTCAGTCAAATCATAATAAAGCTATGTTTTATCCATACACTGAAGACCCATTTCTTCATAGTTTAGTCCGATTATGATAAAGCCATGTTTAATCCATACTTTGAAGACCAATTTCTTCACAATTTAGTCCGATGATAATAATGCCCTGTTTAATCAATACTTTCAACACCAATTTCTTCATAGTTTAGTCCGATTATAATAAAGCCATGGTTTACCAAAAGTTTGAAGACCAATTTCTTCATAATTTAGTCTGATTATTATAAAGCCGTGTTTAATCCATACTTTCAAGAACAATTTATTCATACTAGTTTAGTCCGATTATAATAAAGCCATGTTTTTTACCAACAGTTTGAAGACCAATTTCTTCACAATTTAGTCCGATGATAATAAAGCCCTGTTTAATCCATACTTTCAAGACCAATTTCTTCATAGTTTAGTCCGATTATAATTAAGCCATGTTTTACCAAAAGTTTGAAGACCAATTTCTTCATAATTTAGTCTGATTATTATAAAGCCCTGTTTAATCCATACTTTCAAGACCAATTTCTTCATAGTTTAGTCCGATTATAATAAAGCCATGTTTTACCAAAAGTTTGAAGACCAATTTCTTCATTATTTAGTCTGATTATTATAAAGCCCTGTTTAATCCATACTTTCAAGACCAATTTCTTCATAGTTTAGTCCGATTATAATAAAGCCATGTTTTACCAACAGTTTGAAGACCAATTTCTTGACAATTTAGTCCGATTATAATAAAGACTGTTTAATCCATACTTTCAAGACCAATTTCTTCATAGTTTATTCAGATTATAATAAAGCCATGTTTTACCAACATTTTGTAGACCAATTTCTTCATAATTTAGTCCGATTATAATAAAGCCTTGTTTAATCCATACTATCAAGACCAATTTCTTCATAGTTTATTCAGATTATAATAAAGCCTTGTTTAATCCATACTTTAAAAAAACAATTTCTTCATAGTTTAGTCCTATTAAAATAAAGCCTTGTTTAATCCATACTTTGAAGACCAATTTCTTCATAGTTTAGTCCGATTATAATAAAGCCTTGTTCAATCCATACTTTGAAGACCAATTTCTTCATAATGTAGTCCGATTATAATAAAGCCTTGTTTAGTCCATACTTTGAAGACCAATTTCTTCATAGTTTAGTCCATACTTTGAAGACATATTTCTTCATAGTTAAGTCCGAGTATAATAAAGCCTTGTTTAATCCATACTTTCAAGACCAATTTCTCCATAGTTTAGTTCAATCATAATAACGCCTTGTTTAACCATACTTTGAAGACGTATTTCTCCATAGTTTAGTCCGATTATTATAAGGCCTTGTTTAATCCATACTATCAAGACCAATTTCTTCATAGTTTAGTCTGATTATAATAATAGTCCATACTTTGAAGACAAGTTTCTTCATAATTTAGTCCGATTATAATAAAGCCTTGTGTAATCCATACTTTGAAGACCAGTTTCTCCATAGTTTAGTCCAATCACTATAAAGCCATGTTTAATCCATACTTTGAAGACCAATTTCTTCAAAGTTAAGTCCGATTATAGTAACACCTTGTTTAATCCATACTTTGAAGACCAATTTCTCCATAATGTAGTCCGATTATTATAAGGCCTTGTTTAATCCATACGTTCAAGACCAATTTCTTCATAGTTTAGTCCGATTATAATAATAATCCACACTTTCAAGACCAATTTCTTCATAGTTTAGTCCGATTATAACAAAGCTCTGTTTAATCCATACTTTGAAGAACAATTTCTTCATAGTTTCGTCCTATTTTAATAAAGCCTTGTTTAATCCATGCTTTGAAGACCAATTTCTTCATAGTTTAGTCCGATTATAACAAAGCTCTTTTTAATCCATACTTAGAAGAACAATTTCTTCATAATTTAGTCCGATTATAATAAGGCCTTGTTTTATCCATACTTTCAAGACCAATTTCTTCATAATTTAGTCCGATTATAAGAAAGCCCTGTTTTATCCATACTTTCAAGACCAATTTTCTTCATAGTTTAGTCCGATTATAACAAAGCTCTGTTTAATCCATACTTAGAAGAACAATTTCTTCAAAGTTAAGTCCTATTTTAATAAAGCCTTGTTTAATCCATACTTTGAAGACCAATTTCTTCATAATTTAGTCCGATTATAATAAGGCCTTGTTTTATCCATACTTTCAAGACCAATTTCTTCATAATTTAGTCCGATTATAATAAAGCCCTGTTTTATCCATACTTTCAAGACCAATTTCTTCATAGTTTAGTCCGATTATAATAGAGCTTGTTTTATCCATACTTTCAAGACCAATTTCTTCATAGTTTAGTCCGATTATAACAAAGCTCTGTTTAATCCATACTTTGAAGAACAATTTCTTCATAGTTTAGTCCTATTTTAATAAAGCCTTGTTTAATCCATACTTTGAAGACCAATTTCTTCATAGTTTAGTCCGATTATAATAAAGCCTTGTGTTATCCATACTATCCTCTGAATAGTTACATATTTAAATTCTAAATGCTACACCAAGATCTAGAATGCAACTGTCAAAAAATAAAATTAATTACAATAAATTAAAGTTCCCTTTCAACAATTATAAGAAATGTCTACTAAAAGCAGGATGCTGACCACATCATAAGCGATTGTCTCTTTTTTACGTGTCAGAAATGAATCGCCAAAAACTAAAAAAGATCCCTTTCTCCCTCTAGACGAATGGTGCGTGCTTGACCCTGGTCATGTCCATGACGAAAATATTTCGGATGTTTCTATCCCTTGTGTCGGTCATGTTGCTGGTGGCCATACTATTTGTGGTAAGTAATTATGTCAGTAATATTGCTAGTGGTCATGCTGCTAGTGGCTGTGATAACTGTGTTAAGTGACGATGTGGACCATGTTGCTAGTGGCTGTGATATCTGTGGTAAGTGACGATGTCGGCCATGTTGCTAGTGGTCATGCTGCTAGTGGCTGTGATATCTGTGGTTAGTGACGATGTCGGCCATGTTGCTAGTGGTCATGTTGCTAGTGGCTGTGCTATATGTGGTAAGTGACGATGTCGGCCATGCTGCTAGTGGTCATGTTGCTGGTGACTGTGCTATATGTGGTAAGTTACGATGTCGGCCATACTGCTAGTTGCCATGTTGCTAGTGGCTGTGCTATATGTGGTAAGTGACGATGTCAACCATGCTGCTAGTGGTCATGTTGCTAGTGGCTGAGATATATGTGGTAAGTGACGATGTCGGCCATACTGCTAGTGGTCATGTTGCTAGTGACTGTGCTATATGTGGTAAGTGACGATGTCGGCCATACTGCTAGTGGTCATGTTGCTAGTGGCTGAGCTATATGTGGTAAGTGACGATGTCGGCCATACTGCTAGTGGTCATGTTGCTAGTGGCTGAGCTATATGTGGTAAGTGACGATGTCGGCCATACTGCTAGTGGTCATGTTGCTAGTGACTGTGCTATATGTGGTAAGTGACGATGTCGGCCATACTGCTAGTGGTCATGTTTCTAGTGGCTGAGCTATATGTGGTAAGTGACGATGTCAACCATGCTGCTAGTGGTCATGTTGCTAGTGGCTGAGCTATATGTGGTAAGTGACGATGTCGGCCATACTGCTAGTGGTCATGTTGCTAGTGGCTATGCTATATGTGGTAAGTGACGATGTCGGCCATACTGCTAGTTGCCATGTTCCTAGTGGCTGTGCTATATGTGGTAAGTGACGATGTCAACCATACTGCTAGTGGTCATGTTGCTAGTGGCTGAGATATATGTGGTAAGTGACTAGTCGGCCATACTGCTAGTGGTCATGTTGCTGGTGACTGTGCTATATGTGGTAAGTGACGATGTCGGCCATGCTGCTAGTGGTCATGTTGCTAGTGGCTGTGCTATATGTGGTAAGTGACGATGTCGGCCATGCTGCTAGTGGTAATGTTGCTAGTGGCTGTGATATCTGTGGTAAGTGACGATGTCGGCCATACTGCTAGTGGCTGTGATATCTGTGGTAATTGACGATGTTGGCCATGCTGCTAGTGGCTGTGCTATATGTGGTAAGTGACGATGTCGGCCATGTTGCTTGTGGCTGTGCAATATCTGGTAAGTGACGATGTCGGCCATGCTGCTAGTGGTCATGCTGCTAGTGGCTGTGCTATCTGTGGTAAGTGACGATGTCGGTCATGCTGCTAGTGGCTGTGCTATCTGTGGTAAGTGACGATGTCGGCCATGTTGCTAGTGACGGTGCTATCTGTGGTAAGTGACGATGTCGGCCATGCTGCTAGTGACGGTGCAATCAGTGGTAAGCGGTAATGTCGATCACGTTGCTGGTGGTCGTGCTATCTGTGGTAAGTGATGAAGTCGCTCATGCTTCTAGTGGCCATGCTATCTGTGTACTGATATTGCTGAAGCATGCTCCGACTTTATTAGCCCGGCCAATGGATCAGTGTGCACTCTATTTTCATATACAACCCAACCCGCCTTGTCAGGCTCCAGAAGGACGACAATCACATTACCATCTCATTCTACCGGGTACCCATTTTTAGGGTTGATGAACAGGGGCATATTTCGAACACGGAAATTGTCTTAAGAGACACCACATGTGCTACATGTGCTTCAGTTTTTGGCAGGAACAGTGCCCTAGAAATTTACAGGAGTTAAAAGAGGCAGCGGGGTAGCCTAATAGTTAAAGCGTTCGCGTTATATCCTTTTTTTAGCAGACAAAAAGCAGTTTTCTAGCATTTCCGACAGTACTTTAGTGACTGCCTGTGCTATAGTATGAGCGCTACGACCGCATTGTTGAACAGAGCCCAGTTGAATGACAATAGTCCAGATTCGCTGGCAGCTGGCCAAGACGGGACAGTTATCACCGGATGTGTCAACAATGAGGCCATGTGGACTTTGCTCAGTTGGTATGGACACATTATCTGACGCCACAGAACATACAGTGACTAGATAACTTGGATCCAGAGTATCGACATGGCGCAAAGAAATTTTGCAGCAGACCTACCTATTGATGGAAGTACCTTTTCTGCCTTAAAGCGTACATGTGCAACATAGAAGATAAAACAAATTGTTATTTGCATGTGATACCTTCTGAATCAGGAATGAGAATATGGCACATTGTAGTTGAAATGTTTATGTAATATAAGAGTAGAAAAAACAAACATTATGAAAACAAATGACTTCCTGAAACATTTGTTATTGTTAACAAGGAACATGGGCTATCAGGTTGACGCAATCATATCGGTATACATGATATTGCTGATAGAACTACAGTGATAAACTTATTAATATTTGTAAATAATTAATCTTTTCAAAGTAATAGTTACATTGTTGAAATATTATTTTTTGATGACCTAGATATGCACATATAACAAAATTAAGCGCGATTATTACACAGTTATCTTATCTGCCGGAGATCCTTCTATCACAGAGTCTGGGCACGCAAGAAACCTATGATTGTGGGTTCGAATCCCGGTTCGCCCCGATTATGTTTCTAGGTTTGTCAGCACCATACCCGTGCTCGTGGGTTTCACCGAAGTGGTAAACGTCTGAGACCTGCATCACTTCGGGCTTTTTCTCCCACATTAAGCTGACACGCTGGAATACTGTTAAAAGCGGCGTAAAACCCAACTCACTCACTCACTCACTCACTATCACAGAGTCAGCGATGCGGCGTGATAGCTGGTGCAGTTGTTGGAATGTTCCGACTGGCGGGCTGTCCTTTATCTATGGCGCATTTGACCTTATTTTCACCTTATTTGTAACCATAAAAACGTAGCAACTCATATATATTTTTATGGATCCCTGATTTGGTTAAAGATGGGGTTGGGTGTGGTGGGTGTTGAATTATTAACTTAGGTGTAATGTTAGGGATGGTGGTGGTACGGTTCTTGTCTCAGAACAAAAGTTGAAGTAGTAGTAGTAGTAGTAGTAGTAGTAGTAGTAGTAGAAGTAGTAATTGTGTTTGTTGTTTAACGCCGCACTCCAATATTCCAGCTATACAACGGCGGCCTGAAAATTATCGAGTCTTGACCAGCCAATCCAGTTATAGATATCATGAGCAATTGGGATACGATGACATGCATCAACCAAGTCAGCGAGCCTGACCACTCAATCCCGTTTGTCGCCTCTTACGACAGGCATGGGTTGCTGAAGACCTATTCTAACGCAGATTTTCACGAGTTGTAGTAGTAGTAGTAGTAGTAGTAGTAGTAGTAGTAGTGTTTGCTGTTTAACGCCGCATTCAGCAACATTCCTGCTATATTACGGTGGTCTGTAAATAATGGAATCTGTAACAGACAATCCAGTGAGTGACATCATGAGCATCGATCCACTCAATAGGGATACGATGACATGCATCAACCAAGTCTGACCACCCGATCCGTTTTCCGCCAACGACACGTATGAGTTGCTAAAGACCAATTCTAACTCTGATCTTTTTTCGTGTGTGACCTGTTTGTTTTGTATGTGATACTTAGCTCCACCCCTTCTGTATTTCAGTTTAGTACAAAAGATGAAATCCCCCACGATGGAGAAAGGGGACCAACATCGGCGGGAGCGTCGAATCTCCATGGAACCATTCCTCGCGTAAGGCGTTGAATAATGATTGGCAGTAACAGTATTTATAATTATTTTTATTCTTTAAAAGAGTTGACATTTATATCTCTGTCTCAAAGTAGACTAATAGGTACCAGTAGTAGGGAATAAGTTTTTTGGGGTGATAAATTGACTTACCTTTGCATGTGTTTGTGACGGGTGCCACCAAGATACGCTCACCTTTTCACGAACACCTGGTATCATCACAGTTTGATACTGATTCAAAGACCATGCTCGGGATATAGTCGGACAATGATTGGGACTTTCTTATGATTGTGTCGCTTCTATTTTTATCGCGATCATGATCAATGAACCATGCTCTGTCCTAGCAGTAAGCTTTGAGGAATCCTGGTGTTCATTTCGAAGTGTCCCAACGGCCCCAACAAGCGTCATGACGTCCACATGGCGTCGTTTTACATATGATGCCACGTCCGGGTCTGTGCATGGACAGGTGAAGGGGAAGTGTCAGCCTCTTAGGAATGACTCCAGTGTACAATTCTTGATATACTACCAGTAACAATAAAAGCAGCAGAAGAAAAGTGTTTGCATCTTCAGGTAATCATTTTGGACGATCGATTTATGTGGCCCTGAAAACAGCCTTTGGCAGTGTGGGAAGCAAGAAACATTCACCACCACAAAAGGTCACTTGGGAGACAATACCACAGATGAAGAGGATATAATGTGTTTGGTTACGAAGAGAAAATCACCATCCCAACGCTTCGTTGTTATACGTGCAGAATTATAATGTTCTAGCTCGGGTGGCCCAGTCGTCTAAGAGGCCGCGATGCGCTGTGCAAAGTTTCGTCCCTTGGGTACATCAGAAACCTATGATTGTGGGTTCGAATCCAGGTTCGCCCCAAATATGTCTATAGGTGTGTCTGCACCATACCCGTGCTCGTGGGTTCACCAAAGTGGTAAACGTCTGAGGACTGCAGCACTTTCCTCCCACATTAAACTGACACTTCTCGATATAACTGTAATACTGTTAAAAGCGGCGTTAAACCCAACTGACTCACTCACCCACCTTGTGCTCAGAATCATCAATAGCTTGACGTCATCAAAATGGTTTAACCCCGTAGAAGATACGAGCCAAACCACGACACCATCACAAGACCCTATCAGCCTTTTCACTACTGACCACATCCCACCCCAAGCGACCTGACCGGTGAAGATCCGGGGTAGAATAGAACTTCAGCAACCCATGCTTGCCGTAAAAGGCCACTATGCTTGTCCCATAAAACGCTAACGCGATTGGGTGGTCAGGCTCGCTGACTTTGTTGATGCATGTCATCGTATCACAATTGTGTGGATCGATGCTCATGATGTCAGTCACTAGATTGTCTGGTCCAGACTCGATTATTCACAGACCGCCGTCGTACAGCTGGAATATTGTTGCTGCGTGCGGCGTTAAACAACAAATAAACAAACAAACCAAGCGACCTCTTTTTCCTGTTAATATGTCCCCTTACATAATCTGTGTATTGTCTCTCATTCAGGTCAGGTCTGTGGATGAAACACAAACCAAGATGAAACGTAACGTGAAATTTCTCCAAAAGCCACCGACTAAAAAACCGAAGGTATAGTAAAACAGGGCTCGTTCTGAGGATTGATTGATTGAGTATGGTTTTACGCCGCTTTCAGCAATATTCCAGCAATATCACGGCGGGGGACACCAGAAATGGGCTTCAGACATTGTACCCATGTGGGGAATCGAACCTGGGTCCTCGACGTGACGAGAGAACGCTTTAACACAAGGCTACCTGACCGCCACACACATAATACTAACACATACCACTAATCAAATGTGTATACCACTAATCCAGTGTGTATACCACTAATCCAATGTGTATACCACTATATGACGATGTCGACCATGCTGCTAGTGGCTGTGATATCTGTGGTAAGTGACGATGTCGGCCATGCTGCTAGTGGCTGTGATATCTGTGGTAAGTGACGATGTCGACCATGCTCCTAGTGGCTGTGATATCTGTGGTAAGTGACGATGTCGGTCATGTTGCTAGTGGCTGTGATACCTGTGGTAAGTGACGATGTCGGCCATGTTGCTAGTGGTCATGCTGCTAGTGGTCATGCTGCTAGTATGTGTCTATATGTGGTAAGTGACGATGTCGACCATGTTGCTAGTGGCTCTGCTATCTTTGGTAAGTGACGATGTCGGCCATGTTGCTAGTGGTCATGCTGCTAGTGGTCATGCTGCTAGTAGGTTTGCTATCTGTGGTAAGTGACGATGTCGACCATGTTGCTAGTGGCTGTGCTTTCTTTGGTAAGTGACGATGTCGACCATGTTGCTAGTGGCTCTGCTATCTGTGGTAAGTGACGATGTCAACCATGTTGCTAGTGGTCATGCTGCTAGTGGTCATGCGGCTAGTGGCTGTGGTATATGTGGTAAGTGACGATGTCGACCATGTTGCTAGTGGCTGTGCTATCTGTTGTAAGTGACGATGTCGGCCATGTTGCTAGTGGTCATGCTGCTAGTGGCTGTGCTATCTGTGGTAAGTGACGATGTCGGCCATGTTGCTAGTTGCTGTGATATCTGTGGTAATTGACGATGTCGGCCATGTTGCTAGTGGCTGTGCTATCTGTGGTAAGTGACGATGTCAACCATGCTGCTAGTGGTCATGTTGGTAGTGGCTGTGCTATATGTGGTAAGTGAAGATGTCGGCCATGCTGCTAGTGGTCATGCTGCTAGTGGCTGTGATATCTGTGGTAAGTGACGATGTCGGCCATGCTGCTAGTGGCTGTACTATATGTGGTAAGCGATAATGTCGGTCACGTTGCTGTCAGGCTCCAGAAGGTTGACAATCACATTACCATCTCATTCTACCGGGTACCCATTTTTAGGGTTGATGAACAGGGGCATTTTTCGAACACGGAAATTGTCTTAAAAGACACCACATGTGCTTCAGTTTTTGGCAGGAACAGTGCCCTAGAAATTTACAGAAGTCAAAAGTGAGTGAGTGAGTGAGTATGGTTTGACGCCACCTTTAGCAATATTCCAGCAAGATCACGGCCGGGGACACCAGAAATGGGCTTCACATATTGTACTCATGTCGGTAATCGAACCCGGGTCTTCAGCGTGACGAGCGAACGCTTTAACCACTAGGATACCCAACCGCCCCCAGGAGTCAAAAGAGGCAGCGGTGTAGCCGTATAGTTAAAGCGTTCGCGTTATATCCTTTTTTAGCAGACAAAAAGCAGTTTTCTAGCATTTCCGACAGTACTTTAGTGACTGTCTGTGCTATAGTATGAGCGCTACGACCGCATTGTTGAACAGAGCCCAGTTGAATGACAATAGTCCAGATTCGCTGGCAGCTGGCCAAGACGGGACAGTTATCACCGGATGGGTAACCTCCCAAAACCCCTACATCCCATTTCCCCTACAGCTTAAGACAACAAAGTTCACGGTCCATGGCACTGCTAATCCCTAGTCTGTTACCTATTTCATACAATGGAACAACCCAAGAAACTCGAATAGATTGAGATAAATATTTAATTACGATTACGATATTATTCAAAATTCATAATACATTATAATAAAATGTTCATTTTTCAAAATTCATAATACATTATAACAAAATGTTCATTTTTCATCTCAACTGTAAATCGTCTCATCTCAGTTTCTCAGTGTAATATTTGTTTCTTCCTATTGTTATTTTTGTAATTTCTAAAAATTGTCTTCTCATCATACAGGCATCTTTCATTACACTTACATTATTTTTTATTTTTTTAACTTTCCTTTAAGTCCCCTAATCCCCAAAAGCTCTACCCCTTTTATTTCTACTACCTCTACTCCAGACCTTAATCTCTCCTTTAGGTGAGTTCATAATGCCAGACAGGTAAATGCCGCGTGTTGTTTTAACTAATTGTAGGGGAACTGGGTTGTAGGGGAAATGGGATGTAGGGGTTTTGGGAGATAACAACCGGATGTGTTAACAATAAGGCCATGTGGACTTTGCTCAGTTGGTACGGACACATTATCTGACGCCACAGAACATACAGTGACTAGATAACTTGGATCCAGAGTATCGACATGGCGCAAAGAAATTTTGCAGCATATATTTTTATGGATCCCTGATTTTGTTTAAAGATGGGGTTGGGTGTGGTGGGTGTTGATGTCAGGGATGGTGGGGGTGGGAGTACGGTTCTTGTCTCTGAACAAAAGTAGTAGTAGTAGTAGTAGTAGTAGTAGTAGTAGTAGTAGTAATAGTAGTAGTAGTAGTAGTAGTAGTAGTAGTTTTGTTTGTTGTTTAACGCCGCACACCAATAATCCAGCCATACAATGGCGGCCTTAAAATAATCGAGTCTTGACCAGACAATCCAGTTATAGATATCATGAGCAATTGGGATACGATGACATGCATCAACCAAGTCAGCGAGCCTGACCACTCAATCCCGTTTGTCGCCTCTTACGACAGGCATGGGTTGCTGGAGAAAGGGGACCAACATCGGCGGGAGTGTCGAATCTCCATGGAACCATTCCTCGCGTAAGGCGTTGAATAATGATTGGCAGTAACAGTATTTATTTTTATTACTCCTTAGAAAAGTTGGCATTTATATCTCTGTCTCAAAGTAGGCTAATAGGTACCAGTAGTAGGGAATAAGTTTTTTAGGTGATAAATTGACTTGCCTTTGCATGTGTTTGTGACGGGTGCCACCGATGGGGCAAGATACGCTCACCTTTTCACGAACACTTGGTATCATCACAATTTGATACTGATTCAAAGACAATGCTCGGGATGTAGTCGGACAATGATTGGGACTTTCTTATGATTGTGTCGCTTCTATTTATATCGCGATCATGATCAATGAACCATGCTCTGTCCTAGCGGTAAGCTTTTAGGAATCCTGGTGTTCATTATCGAAGTGTCCCAACGGAACAAGCGTCATGGCGTCCACATAGCGTCCTTTTAGATATGATGCCACGTCCGGGTCTGCGCATGGACGGGTGAAGGGGAAGTGTCAGCCTCTTAGGAATGACACCCGCGTACAATTCTTGATATACTACCAGTAACAATAACAGCAGCAGAAGAATAGTGTTTGCATCTTCAGGTAATCATTTTGGACGATCGATTTCTGTGGCCCTCAAAACAGCCGCGATGCGCTGTGCAAAGTTGCGTCCCTTGGGCACATCAGAAACCTATGATTGTGGGTTCGAATCCAGGTTCGCCCCGATTATGTTAAAAGGTGTGTCTGCACCACACCCATGCTCGTAGGTTTCATCAAAGTAGTAAACGTCTGAGACCTGCAGCACTTTCCTCCCACATTAAGCTGACACTCGGCGATATAACTGTAATACTGTTAAAAGCGGCGTTAAACCCAACTCACTCACTCACTCACTCACCTTATGCTCAGAATCGACTATGACAACAGTAGATTGACGTCATCAAAATAGTTTAACCCCGTAGAAGATACGAACCCAACCACGACACCATCACGACAAGACCCTATCAGCCTTTTCACTACTGACCACATCCCACCCCATGCGACCTGACCGGTGAAGATCCGGGGTTAGAATAGGGCTTCAGCAACCCATGCTTGCTGTAAAAGGCCACTATCCTTGTCGCATAAAGCGCCCACGCGATTGGGTGGTCAGGCTCGCTGATGTTCTATTTACTTTGTTGTTGTTTTTCTCATCTAATTCTGAGTGAAGTAACATTTAATTTTATTAGCGTGAAATATTGATTTATTATTTTCAAATAAATTTAGTGTTTCATTTTTGGACACATAATAAATATTTAACATTTACAGAAGCTGTGCGTGGACGGTGTCATACCACTGAAGACCTTCACCCGATATGACCCGGATGCTGACATTGACCTCGCTGTGGTGTCAGCATATTTTGACATCGGGCGCTTCAAGAAAGGACTTTCGAAGGGACTCTATTTTAACGCTTCAACTTACACAGCGTGGGCAGGGGCCTTTTCCCACTTGTATAACCCTTTGGTTTTCTATACAGACTCGGAGTTCTTTGAAAATATCGTCAAGAAGCTTAGGATTCATCTACCACGAAACTTGACACGGATAATAAGAATTAACCAAACGTCCATGTGGTCATTTAAACTTCGTGACAGAATTTCTGCTATATACCAAAACCCAGACTACCCAAAGTTTTATCCAAACACAGTGGTTCCAAACTATTCGTGCGCAATGCACGCTAAATATGAAGTGGTGGAAAACGCAATTTTGAATAAGTACGTCACTTCCGATTACGTCACGTGGTTAGACGTAGGGTACTTCCGGTATTTAAAAAGAAACAAACCCTTTAAACTTGTCGTCCCAAAAAGCTTTTCCGCCAATACTGTTGCTTTCAACAAACTTCATCACCCTGATCGTTTTTCAGAACCGGAAGTTATTTTCAAAAACAACAGTTTATATGTAGGGGGCGGAATGTTTATAGGTAGGCTACAAATAATGTTGCTCTTCATCCTTGACTACCGGCATGCATCTGAAGTGCTCCTGCACAGGGGCCTTAGCAATACCGACCAGCAGGTGTTGTATGCGATGTACAATAGTAACTTCCGGTCACGTGTCAATCCTGGGGTTGATATACAACTTTTCAAGTCGAATATTGTAGGTGATTGTTGGTTTTACCTTGGATACCAGTGCTACAGGGAATTACAGTAAACTACGGTTATACCGAACTCAAAGGGACTACTAATTTTAGTTCGTTATAACCGTAGCTCGTTATAAGTACATATACAGCATGACTACAGGAAGTAGTCGGGACCAAAAAGTAAGTTCGTTATATCCGTCAGTTCGTTATAAGCGTGTTCGTTATAACCGTAGTTTACTGTACATTGAATACCTCTGGTGGACTTTGTGAACATTTAAAGTACCCTTAATGGATTCTGCGAACGATCAGAGTACCGTTTACTTTTATGAACGGTCAGATTCGGTCATGAGGTTCCTAATGAATAGTGTCCCCCGCCGTGATATTGCTGGAATATTGCTAAAAGCGGCGTAAAACCATACTCACTCAATCACGCATAATGAATAACTATGGAATTCAGATCATATTATCAGTTTCGTTTGTTTGTTGTTTTACTCATCTCCCCGAGACAAGGGCGTTAACTGCCTTTTAAGTCCAGTTTTCGACCTTGCAAAACTCAGGTGAAGTTTCCGGATCCAACTCGTAATAGCCCCCAGTGGCTGATACGAGTTATGTCCCTTTTATGTCCCACCTACTGAGTAATCAGATTCCATCTCTTTTGTCACTTGCATTTGCTTCAAACAAAATGGCGGCGATCAAGACGATCTGATCGTTATCAAGATGTATAGTGTAATAAAACAAGTCTTCCCTCGCGCAGCGCACCAGATTACTAGAGCACCTTGATACAAAGCATGAACAAATTTGCAAAATTTCTGTCGACGCCCAGTTGGCGGTATACATGCTTTGCAAATCCTGCAGTCGAACGAAATCTGCACGTTGAAATCCATGTTGTTTACGAACCGGATGTCTACTTCGTTACGCGATTTTGATTGGACTGTGCATAGACTCGTTAGTCCAGCCAAAATGTAACTCCGGAATTCAAGCCTAGTTCGGCAGGGGTGGAAACTGGTCTCTTATTGTCTGTTTACGCCCTTGCCTCGGGAAGATAGTTGCCAGTAGCGCAAACTGAAGGTCGGAACGCATCGTCTGGTGACGGCTGTGTTATTAAAAAAACATGAGTTTCACTGCCAAATCACTACATCTTGACGTTGTCCTGAAGGTAGAACTCTTTCGGTGTGAATAAAATGGATACGAGTATCCGAATCACAAAACCCGGGAGTACTCTTATGATTTATCTGTAATGTGCAACAATCGTCATTTTGTCTCTACTTCTTTTAGCATCCACTTCGTAAAGATGCGTACCGTTTCTCTTCATGTCTCCCACGCACGTGTTGGAGGGTTTTTTGTTTTTTGTTTAACGCCGCACTCAGCAGTATTCCAGCTATATGACGACGGTCTGTAATAAATCGAATCTGGACCAGACAATCCAGTGATTGACATCATGAGCATCGAGCTTGGCATTTGGGATACGATGACATGCATCATCAGGCAGAGAGAGGAAGAGAGACAGACAAAAAGAGAGATACACACAGAGGAACTGATAGAGAGAGAGACAGAGATACACACGGTCAGACAGGCAGAGAGAGAGAGAGGGGAAGAGAGAATGAGTCAGATAGGGAGACACAGACAGAGGAACTGATAGAGAGACAGATACACACAGTCAGACAGAGAGAGGAAGAGAGACAGAGGAAGAGAGAGAGAGAGTGGAAGAGAGAGGGTGGGACACATGGTATCATCACTATTTGATAGTGATTCATAAACACATGACATAGTCGGAATCGTACAATCGACTTCTTAGGAACAAGGGGTTTGACGCTTTTATCCACATCACATGAAGTTTACGGAATCCACTATTTAAGTTCTATACATATTGAGAGCGTACGGAAGTTTACGGAATCAACTATTTAAGTTCTATACACATTGAGAGCGAACGGAAGTTTACGGAATCCACTATTTAAGTTCTATACATATTGAGAGCGTACGGAAGTTTACGGAATCCACTATTTAACTTCTATACATATTGAGAGTGCGAACGGAAGTTTACGGAATCCACTATTTAACTTCTATACATATTGAGAGCGGACGGAAGTTTACGGGATCCACTATTTAACTTCTATACATATTGAGAGCGGACGGAAGTTTACGGGATCCACTATTTAACTTCTATACATATTGAGAGCGGACGGAAGTTTACGGATTCCACTATTTAACTTCTATACATATTGAAAGTGCGAACGGAAGTTTACGGAATCCACTATTTAAGTTCTATACATATTGAGAGTGCGAACGGAAGTTTACGGAATCCACTATTTAAGTTCTATACATATTGAGAGCGGACGGAAGTTTACGGAATCCACTATTTAAGTTCTATACATATTGAGAGCGGACGGAAGTTTACGGAATCCACTATTTAAGTTCTATACATATTGAGAGCGGACGGAAGTTTACGGAATCCACTATTTAAGTTCTATACATATTGAGAGTGCGAACGGAAGTTTACGGAATCCACTATTTAAGTTCTATACATATTGAGAGTGCGAACGGAAGTTTACGGAATCCACTATTTAAGTTCTATACATATTGAGAGCGGACGGAAGTTTACGGAATCCACTATTTAACTTCTATACATATTGAGAGCGTACGGAGGTTTACGGAATCCACTATTTAACTTATGTACATATTGAGACCGCACGGAAGTTTACGGATTCCACTATTTAACTTATGTACATATTGAGAGCGTACGGAAGTTTACGGAATCCACTATTTAACTTCTGTACATATTGAGAGCGTACGGAAGTTTACGGAATCCACTAGATATAACTACTATACATATTGAGAGCGTACGAAGTTTACGGAATTCATTATGTAACTGTTATTACCGTGTGTAATGTGAGAGATTTGCCTCCCACGTGGTCACATTCGTCTGTTGGATAGTGGTATAGATAGAGTTCGTTTAATATGAACAGACAGACAGACAGACACACAATCTATTTCAGTAACAGACCGACCCGTGAAGATCCGGTGTAGAATAGGTCTTCAGCAAACCATGTTTGCCGTAAAAGGCGACTATGCTTGTCGTGAGAGGCGACTAACGGGATCGGGTGCTCAGGCTCGCTGACTTGGACAGCATGGTATCGTATCCCAATTGCGTAGATCGATGCTCATGATATCAATCACTGGATCGTCTAGTCCAGACTCGATTACTTACAGACTGCCGTCATAAAGCTGGAATATTGCTGAGTGCGGCGTTAAACAACAAACAAACAAACAAACAGTCACAGGCCACGGCCCATAAGACATTGATATATCATGATAAATCACGCATGATGGAGTAAAATACATACATAGATATATATATTAAACAATATAATAAAAAAATAAAATATTTTTACATGCTTGAAGTAGTACAGCTTCAGTTTGATCTATTTAATCAGATGGGCATGGTCAGAGTGAATTGACGGGGCATCCTCTGAAACATGTATATAACAAATTGAATACATTATATGTAGATAGCAACTGCCACATCTGATAAAACACCGATAGTATTTTTTATATGGATCAGAAGCAGTGATCGTGTCGAATGTTGATTAGGTCTCACCTACCATCACAGCTGTTCAGTATTTATTGGACATCCCAGCTGTTTTTGTAATTAGAATGTTCGCCAACCCACGAACAACACAATGTGGATATTACTGTTATTGCGTACAGAAGAATACCGCCGTTCCGTTTCACAAGCCCGTCAGCACGTGCCACAGAGCACATACAATCAGTAGTTTGATTGTGTTGCCAAAACAAAGTTTCACTGATCAACAGATGTTTCAAAACGGGATTTCTGTAAAATCTTCAAGATGTTGTGTCAATACATCAACCATTTCTATCCACAGAAATCACTGGATACAGACTTATGAGTGAGTGAGTGACTAAGTATGGTCTTACGCCGCTTTCAGCAATATCACGGCGGGGGGGGGGGGGGGGGGGGGGGCACCAGAAATGGGCTTCATACATTGTACATTGTACCCATGTGGGGAATCGAGCCCGGAGCTTCGGTGGGACGAGCGAACGCTAGAACCATTAGGCTACCCCACCGCCAAAAACAGACTTATGGGTGACAATTGTTTGACACAGGTACTTGCGTGCTCATGATATCAATCACTGGATTGTCTGGTCCAGACTCGAATATTTACAGATCGCCGTTTTATAGCTGGAATATTGCTGGGTGCTACAAGCAAACAAACAAACTCTGAAGAGGTAATTCTTCGAACGGAAGATGTCAGTTTGCGGAAGATCTGATGAAGAGAGGCAGTGATTTCCACACAGGAGAAACGACTGAGAAAGATCTTTCACCCAATTTTGTTTTGGTGTCTCGTACATGTACATGCAGTAAGTACATTTGATCGGCGGAACGTAGGTTTGGTCTAGGCTTGTGAACTGAAATTAGAGTTTAAAGATCCTGTATTTTTTATTGAGTTGGGTTTAACGCCGCTTTTAACAGTATTCAAGTTATATCACGGCGTGTCAGGTTGATGTAGGAGGAGAGCCCGAAGTGACGCAGGTCTCAGACGTTTACCACTTAGGTTTCTGGTATGCCCAAGGGACGCAACTCTGCACAGCGATAGACGTCTGGGCCACCCGTGCCCCCGGAGATACTGTAGATACTGTGGATCATGAATGGCGTTGTATAGGTAATATTAAGCTGCTCGAACTTTATCCGTTGTTTAACTGGCAGCCAATGACAACTCTGCAGTACGGGAGGGATGTGCTCTGTGGGTTTAGTCCTGGTATTGGTACGGACAGCAGTGTTCTCCCTTAATGCCTAGCGTTATAGACAGGGTTACAACAAGTACCATCTTTTAACGTCTTTTTGGTATGACGCAGCTTCCCGAGGCAAGGTGAGGTGAGGTGAAATGGGGTTTAACGTCGCGTCCATGTATATAGCGACGTGCATGTACGTGTGTGTGTTTGTGTGGCTCCTTGTACTAGTCCGGACTGATGCCGATTTATAGTGCTAGCACACTGAGATACCATGCCGCAGTTTAACATGAATACCCCACTCAGACACAGTATACTGACTCCGAGCCGACCAGTCCTTGTTTTAGCCCCTTAATGCCGAGCGCCAGACAGGGTAACAACAAGTACCATCTTTTAACGTCTTTTGGTATGACGCGGCCGGGGACGGAACCCCGGACCTTCCGTTCTCCGGGCGGACGCTCTACCACAAGACCACGGAGGCGGTCTCCCGAGGCAAGGAGATATCTCTCTCACCGCCTCTCTTGTTTTCGCTGTATGGATTATGAATTTATTGTTGAATGGGGTGTGAAACGATAACTCACATCCCTGGAGATATTAACAACAGGTACCATCAGAAATGTCAAACTTGTATCTTATCCCCTAGCTCTTCTGCTAATCATGGCATAGGGTAGCCTAGTGGTTAAAGCTCGTCACACCGAAGACCGATTCGATTTCCGACATGGGTACAATGTGTGAAGCCCATTTCTGGTGTCCCCCGCCGTGATATTGCTGGAATATTGCTAAAAGCGGCGTAAAACAATACTCACTCACTCTTCTGCTAATCATGACAATACGCCTACAGAAATTTCAAGAGGTTAAAATAATCTCTATATAAACGCTCTGACTGGAAAGCGCGGCTCTGGAGGTATAATTGTCTCATATGCCATTGTAGCCGGGAGTATCCATCCGCTTATACGGGTTTAATTGAATATATATATAAGCTTCCCCTCCCCCCTCCTTCTTTAATCTCACTATTGTGTGAATTTTGCTCAAGGAGAAACGAGTATCAAAAATAATATTAGCAAGTTCTTTAGTTTTGTCTTTCTACTTGTCTCTCATGCAGAGAGATTTAAAAGTCAGATACCGTGCTTGCAAAAAATGCCCATGGCTGCACAACGATCACAAAATTAAAGGTGAGTCTATTTGTTCATATCTTCTTTAGCGACCTTCGTCATATTTACATGATGCCAGTTATGAATGTATTCATTTGACGGACATTGTGCCCTGACATCTTACCACAAATATCATGTCCAACACATATTTATAAGTCATTTACCCCTTTTACTCTGAATCAACGTTGTCGTGCTAAAAATAGGTCTCTGACCACCGTGATTGTCTAAAAATACATTTGTGTTTACGTCTTTGGTGTTTCCGTAGCAACTACACTTATATTAACCAGGGTTTTCTGGTAGTACATGAAACCAAGCAATTACTTAATATTTATTTGTCGGTATAAAGCATATAATGTCCATTTCACTAAGTGCGATAACATATTTTCTGTTTAGGAACCCGTGAACTTTCACAGCTGCTTAGTCAGGCATCGACCTACTGTTATTAGTTGAAGGGAAATCGTATTTCCCGTCCTTTCGATCAAAGGAGGATGATAGTGTAGATAATTTGTTATTTTCAGGTCGCCCACCGTAGCGAAATTGTTGAATGGGACATAAGTAACAATGAGTGGAAATGTCGGCGATCTCAGTCAGAAACAGAAGGACATTTTGGAAAAGGTAAAAATATTATGTTGTCATAGCCACTGATCGATAGGTGCCCTCAGTGTAATCTCTGTCACACGGTGTTGAGTTGAATATGGGTGTCCATGATACCGTCATATGGGTTCTTTCTCAGATAAAACAAGCACTCATTTATTTAGTTGTCACATATCATATTATAGCTCCGAAAAGACGCACGAATGATGTGAACAGTGATATAAACCGCGAGGCAAACCTTGCCCTTGTTCCCTTAGCTGTGTCGATTGTCGAAAATATGGGGCGGCGTCAGACACCCTTCTGCGTGGCCTGGTAGAACATATTCGAGGATCTTACAGGGACTAGTCATTTAATTTATTTCCCAGTCTGGCGCTCGTCATTAGGGATTAGACATGGACTGGGTGGTTCGGAGTTGGTACACTGTCAGAGAGGGGTACAGATATATATTCTACCATGAATTTGGAAAATACTCAATTTTTAATTGGTCAATCATAGGTGTCAAACCACAATAAGCCCCCTCTAATTGAAACAGACTTTCACAGCAACTTCACTGCAGAAGCTAATATTTTTCAGAATAGTTCTTCTTTTACAGTCATTGTCAGTATTAGGGCTGGGACTCAGCTACTCAGATCGAGTGGGTACTGAGTAGGACCCTAGGACTCGCAGGACTACCCGGACCCGTGGTTAGTCTCGTGATATATATAAGTTATCTAGAACTACATGGCTACACTTTAAGTCACTAATGTTCACATTTCTTTCTGACTATGCACACATTCCTTCTATGTTTGAGTAAAGATAAAGCTTTAGTCAAATTCAGTGTATGCATGACCAGATCAATCTATATGTGTATCTAAGTGCATTTTGCTTGGGCTATGGTCAAACTACATGTAGTACCAATTGCACATTTTGTACCTATCTCTTGACACCTACAGTGAGTACCCAGGTAGGGTAGGGTAATAGGGGGATGGGTACCTGGGTAGTAAATCTGGACTTGTCCAAGCCCTAGTCAGTAGGCATATTTACATAATTATTTGTACAATTATCATGATTATAGGCTACAAAATGGGAAGTTGCTGTAACTACAATATTCAAATGTTGTATGGCAATACATATCGAGCAGAAAACATCATAGAAATCTACAAAGAGAATGTATTTCAAGTTTTGAAGACAACAGAGAGCTTGCTATTTAGTGCTTATACGAGTGAGATGTCATATCTATTACATCACAATGAGCGATATGTCATAATTGTGATGTGCGGTATGGAACGAAACCTTTGCATGGCTTGCTTAGTTTTGTTTAGGGATTCCATCTCATGTTATCTTACGAACTTGCAATGCTACATGCTTCCAGTGCCTGTCATTAGTTTGAGTGAAGTAATAGGGTGTAAACAAACTGCTTGAGCATATGGAGCACCATGTTTTGTTTATAGGCTGTTGTCAGTGATTCCATAAATTCTGATCAACAACCTACTGAAAACAATAGACTCAAACTATGCCACTTTACTCAATATATTTGCTAACACTGATATTGATATTGTGCAGGTAACCAAGCTCTACATTGAAAACACAGTATGTTTATCTCCTAAATAATAAACTCCTGCATGGAATGTCAGTGCGCTAGCACTATAAAACTGGCTAGCACTATAAAACTGGCATTGGTACAGGACAGTAAGCAAGTAAGGTAGACGCATGCACGCTCGCTCACTCTCACACACACAAACTCTACCTGACCTGCTCACCTCACCTCATATTTTTTGTTACCATATTCGACGTAATTTGCGTCCAGGGCGCTCTCAAAATTACAAATAGCGGGCTCATATTAGAATATAATTTTGGTGAAAGAGTTGAAAGATCGTAAATTTTGTGGTTTATGCTGACAGCCTGAAATGATACAAAAGAAAAGTCTGTGCATATTGTACACAACAGATATATTTTTTCCAGAATTTAACTGCCTGTAATTAAGGTTGCATATAACATTGTATAACACACGAGTGCGTATTATAAATAAGTCTTGTGTACATTGATCAATCGGAAGGGTGCTAATTGGGATTGGTCACTAGCCAATATATTAGCAAATATGGGCGCTTATTAGAGCGGGGCACTTATTATGTCGAATACGGTATGTGTATGACTGTATTTCGCCCAATCCAGTCAGTCGATCAGATTTACTTTGTATTCTGTAATCTGTTAATCAATAGCTGAGGGTGGGAGCCAGTCTAAATGGACCAGTGCCAAATCGTACCACCCTACTGGATCAAAATGGCCCATGTGACAGAGAAAAAAGACAACTGTTAGTCCAAACAGACCAGTGACATATCAGATTCAAAACAAAGACCCTATCTTTGGGTATATCCAAAGTCTGTATGAATTTGATACAAAGTAGAACTACATTTACACAAATATGCAGCTTTTCTCGAGCTCTGTGCTTACTTAATCCGTGTTCTGCCAAGAAACTGAACAAGTGCACATGGGGACAGGAACCCCTTCAGCATAAATACGTGGGGTCATTTTCAAAACTTGTGGGGCCACCCTATGAGAGATCATATAAAACTTAAAACCCCATAGTATGCAGGTTATAGCTACAGTATCGCTGTCCACAAGTGACGTTAGGATACACAGAATTTTCACAGGCCATCTTTCTCAGATATTACATTTTGCAGCAACAACACCCTATGTCATATATATTTAGCCTAAACAGTTTGCTTGGGATCACTGCCATCAGCATGTGTCTCGCTCTTGTTCTAAAATTAGAAGGCTGCTTTGTCACTGAATTAGATTTCACATGATTTATGCAAAGCTGACATGTCATATTCTTTCTTTCTGAGTTAAGCTGCAACAACGTGCAGTCACAAAATCAGGTTCCCTGAAAATTTCTACCTTGCTTAGTTTTTCCGCCTTTCCTCAGCCATCTTCCCGAGGCAAGGGAGTTGACTGACTATAAAAGTCCAGTTTCCACCCTTGCCGAACTAGGCAGGAATTCAGTCCAGACATTATCCAATCAAAATCGTGCACCGAAATCGAAATCCGGTTAGTAAACTGTTGTGCAGATTTCGGTCGACTGCAGGATTTGCAAAGCATATGCACCGCCAACTCGTTGTCAACAGATAATTTCCAAGTCTTTTCATGTTTCTTATCAAGGTGCTCTTTTGATTTTATGCACTTCGTGTTGTAAGACGCGTTTTATCACAATATATATCTTGATTATCGATCAGAACGTCTTGACTCGGTGCCCCCGTTTTGTTTGAAACAAATGCAAGTGATACGAGAAATGGAATCTGATTGGTCCGTAGGAGAGGCTTAAAAGGGACATAACCCGTAATAACCAGTGGTGGCCTTACGATTGAGCCCAGGAATTCAAGCCTAGTTAGGCAAGGGTGGAAACTGGACTTTTATAGTCAGTTAACTCCTTGACTTGGGAAGATTTTCCTCAGCCTGATACCATGGTCACTCTCAGGCCAAGCGACACATTCTGTCTATCGCTAACATAACTTGTGGTCGGCGGTTCTGCGATACTGGGGTCATTTGAAAGAGAATCATCTTTGGCATAATCAGAACTATGACTACTATATTTAAGAAATGTGTATAACCGTTTCTGATTGGACCATTTGTGATACGCTGATCGTACATTGAGACACATAAGGCAACGAAAATTACGATGTTTACATTCAATAATAGTAGCAGCATTGATATAACCTCTTTTTGAGACAGTTAGTGACACCCATAATTATATGAAATAAACCTATCTACATGAATGTGCCCCTTGTCTCACTGAGAGTAAATATCTGCAAGAATCCAGTGAGGCAGCTGCCTTGGCAGAACACAGCTGAATTACATACATGAACAATGTGTAACAATATGTGAAGTCTTTGCCTGTTTGCATGTGTCTATTTTTAACAGGGCAGTGTGGTAGCCTAGTCGTTTAAATGTTTGCTTGTCACATCGAAGCCCTGGGTTCTATTTTCCCCATGGGTACAATGTTGGAAGCCCATTTCTATTCAAAGCGGCATTAAGCCCAACTCACTCACTCAACAAACAATCAAGTAGGGATGCTTTTTCTCGATTTGAAATATTCTGTCAAGTATCGAAACTTCTCAAGAGTAAATAATGTCCGTTATCTTGGTGCCGAGAGCAGCTGGATTGGCTGAATATATTCATTATGTACATGTATATATTCATCATGTTCATGATTATATACATGAGATCTCATGTATTTATGAGAGTGTATGCATGTGAATCACTTTAGTAAAAGTTGATTAAAAGATGATTATTAATATAGTCATAGCGACTGATTTATGACACCCATTGTCTGAAGAACATTTAATGGCAAAGGCTCATTACCCTGGAGCCATGACATCTATATGCCTTGAAACATTTAATTGCTGTTATTTATAAGATGCTAATCCTAATTGTTAATTTTTTTGCGACATCGACCGTCTGCCATCCTGCTGATAAATTACTGTTTACATTTATATTTATTACTTACTAAATGTCTGGTGACCTTGGCTATATAAGCCTTGGTCCAGAAAGGAGAAAAAAAGGTCTTACCCTTAGCCTAGCTAGGGTTAGGCTGGGTGCTCTGGCCACCTAGACAACAACCACTGCCACTATGTGCTGACCTGGCACATAGTGTCTTTTGTATGTATATATCTACATGTATAAAGTAAAACTGTATATACCGCAAGCCATCGTCTCCAAGTTGTCACTTCCTACTGAGAACCATACGTCTGCCTCTTGCATATATGAGTATGCCAATTATTCATTAATCAACGTCAGACCAACGCGTTGTTAATATGATTAAGCTAGGACACGCATTCTGTGACTTGTCCAAAGCCTGAATTTGTTCTCGTAAGCACAGCTAGTAATAGTCTAATAATAACCATGATAACATCCAAATGTACATGAGATGACGCTTAAAGCCAAATTTGGGCTATGAGTCTCAGAAGTTTTTGGCACAGATTTGGAAACGTGTCTTATATTTTATCGCAGTGCAGAGTTGCTTCCCTTGTCATGCTTGTGGCACGCCAGAAATTTATCATTACATAGTCAAATCCTGGTTCACCCGGATTATGTTTCTAGGTTTGTCAGCACCATACCCGTCCACATGGGTTTCAGTAAAGTGGCAAACGTCCGAGGCCTGTATCACTTCTGGCTTTCCTCCTACATTAAGCTGACACGCTGTGATATAACTTGAATACTGTTAAATGCATCACCAAACACAACTCACTCAGTCACTTAAGGAGATAACTTTTTGAAATGAGAAACTCAATATTGCATACTTTCATTGACAGACTTGTTTTTATTAGTTTTCACAAAATTTGTTGGTTGATAGTTAACTGGTTTGGTAGGATAAGAGGAAAATAATATAAAGGAATCTTGTTATAATACTTATATTCTGATTTTGGCGATACTTACCAGTAACAAGGAACCAGTTTTGTTTTTGGGGTAAGTGTAAATTTTCTATTCAAGACATGCAACATGAGTGTTAAAAGACTAGGGTTGAAACAATACACCTGTGCAGTGTAATGTTTTCTTGCGATGATACGATACATGGTACTGTTTTTTCTTTATCGATACAAGACGATACACTTGCTAAAATACATTACTTACTACTCGGGGCACAGATGGCCCAGTTGTCTAAGGTGCTGCGATTTGCTGTGCAGAGTTGCGTTCCCAGAAACCTATGATTGTGGGTTCGAATCCCAGTTCGCCCCGATTATGTTTCTAGGTTTGTCAGCACCATACCCGTGCTCGTGGGTTTTCACCAAAGTGGTAAACGTCTGAGACCTGCATCCCTTCGTGCTTTCCTCCCACATTAAGCTGACACGCCGTGTTATACTCGTAACTGGAATAATGTTAAAAGCGTCACTAAACCCAACTCACTCACTACTTACTACTCATTTCGAAAAATAGCCGCTACGAACATGTGTCCATAGCTAGCTTTTCCTTTAGAACATGCTCTGAAATATTTATAGTCATGGAATTTCATGTAAATATGTGTATTGCGAAATGTATCGTATTGTGACCAATGTATCGTGATAAGTATCATGTCAGGACCTTGCTGTATCTTTCACCCCTATTAAATACCAACATTACCAATGATTGTTCTGATCGGAGAACTCTCCATACACAGTTTCACATTTTTCTTTCTCTACAGTTCAAGAACAAGGTGAAGGACATATTAAAACCAGAGCATGATGATTATTACATACTCCGGTGGCTGAGAGGTAAGTATCGGATGTAGAAGACATTTTGCAGAAATCTTATCATCATGATCATAATGAAAGTGTCATTATTTTAAAATTTTGCCAGCTTTCAACTAGTACATGTAAATTAATACACTCCCTATAACACCATTACAAGTTATTATACCTCTATTTCATTGGTTGACCCCAAAATCTTGTGACTGACCTTGACCTTGATTGTTGACATTATCAGTATTGACCTGTCAACTGATGAATATTGACTGGTCTCCTAGAAAACTGGTCTCCTGTTAGTAACATTTCACTGTTTGCATCTTGGTTGCTGTAGTGAAGCAGAGGACTGTCCAAAGGCTTCATAAAGATTAAAGTAAATTTCAATATGCGAAACAAGGCCCTGATCCCTTCGGCGGTCTGACCAGACAAGGACCTGAGGATCCGACCCCTTTGGCGGTCTGACTCTGACAAGACCACCACAGAGGTCGGTTCCCTGTTTTTAGACATTGACCTTATCAAATTTATATCTTGTATGTCTTATTCATTTTTCAGCCAGGAATTTTGATTTGAAGAAGTCTGAAACAATGCTTAGAAATGTGAGTATTACTGAAAACAGGGTAAACAATATTCATCTGAACTGTGGCCACTTTAACAAAGAAACGTAGCGCTACAAATGTCTTGACTGTATGTTGAAGGAGGAATTGATAAAGGCTTCCAAACTAAGTGCCCTTGGCAAGCCAATTGGGGAAAAATATTGTGCAAAAATTTTTTAAAGTCCTCCTTATCATGCCAGGGATTGAAAATTTATGAAAAATGTTACTTGACCAAGGGCAAGTATGACTAACATTCTTACTTGCCCTATTCTAAAATGTACTTGCCCAAAATCAAGCTAGTAAATTCAGTAAAATGTTACATCTACAGAACTGAGAATCAGAGATACAGTGTTCCCTTGCTATTGAACTGAACTGAAGAACGCAACATAATCCCATCATTATACTGTCTGGTTATAAAAATGTGTTCATTGTATATCCGGACTTATGTTTGTAATATATTTCATTCAAAATTTCATTCAGTATTTGTTTACATTCATTTTGGCGAAATCATGTGTGAAGTAATATCGCACAGCTCATTGTTATTTACATCAACCATGGTCAGATTACTGCTATTGATTCCTTGAAACAAACTTTGGTCGACACAGAATGGATAGATTTACCCAAAATGCCATACATTGACTCGTTAAAAGTCATATTAGTTGTAGTTTGACTCATGTGTCAACAAAGATTTCGTGATCAAGAGCGTGTGAGCCTCGACGGTGACTGGTGTATTCAAATAAGATGTTTCATCAAAGCTAGGCCTTACAAAACGTCAAAAGTAGTCAACTGTCTGTCACTCCATTTGCAAGAAGCATGTGCCATATGCATGATTTATCAATGAAACAAACCTAGTTCTCAGTGTATGGTGACCTGTCTGACATCAAAGTTTATTACCGGGTCATCCCATTGGTTGACTGGTGTAACTATGCAAATTAGATTGCCAGTCTGGGACACAAGCAAAATATTAGCCAATGAAATATTGTAACATGATCACATGATTACATCCTTGTGAAACTTGACCCAGTTCTTTTTGTGTACCCTACTTGCCCTATTATGCTAGAAAATGTATATTATTATTACTGGCCCAACATCTGAACCTTACTTGACACGGGCATAGGGCAATGGTATTTTTTAACCCCTGCATGCTTATATTTCATCCAATACAGTTATGTTGCCTCCTTTTGTTGGTCCTGTTATAGTATACAAGTCAGCTCTACAAAGTAATAATATTAGTTATATCTATGTTAACATGAATAGAGAAAATCTTATTTCAAAGTTGAGAATTTTTACTGAAATTTGCTGCAGACTTGGAGCCAAATATCGGCCTTTGAGCTTGTCTTGATACATTCTTGTAAAGTACAGGAGTACAACGGTTGTAGTGCTACAATCATGTTGTGAAACCAGGCAGTGGTAAGGTGTTTCAAACACCCTACACAATTGGAATGATTACACACTTTTGTTGTGTAAGTGTGACACATAAAACTATCGTATTTTTCAACATGTTCAGCTGGAATTACTTTAGATATGTGTATAAAGAAATAATTCACCCAGCGACCAATACAAAGTGAATACCTTTTTCATCATGTTCTTGTGAATCTGCTGAAATGACAAAGTCATGTTTTTGTATGATGGAATTTTTATGTCATGAATATGAATCATTTCATGGTTACCATGGTTACAGGATTATTCTTGGAGGAAACATATAGGGGCGGATACAATACGTGAAGACTACAAGGTGCCGGAGGTTTTACAGAAGTACTACATCGGGGGCTTCTGTGGCCATGACAACGAGGGGTGCCCTGTGTGGTACGAGCCATTTGGTTACATTGATTTGAAAGGTAAGAAGTAGACGAGTCTGGATGGCAAGGAAGATCAAGGACACTCAGTGTGTTTGTTTGTTTGTTGTTACACGCAACACTCAGCATTATTCCAGCTATATAACGGTGGTCCGCAAATAATCGAGTCTGGACCAGACAATCCAGTGATTGACATCATGAGCATTGATCCAGGCAATTTGAATACGATGACATGTATCAACCAAGTCAGCGAGCCTGACCACCTGCTCCCATTAGTCGCCTCTTATGACAAGCGTGGTCGCCTTTTACAGCAAGAAAAATGGGTTGCTGAAGACCTATTCTACCCCGGACATTCACGGTTTTCACTCAGTGTGAAGTATACTTCCTCAAACCTATATCTTGATTATTGGAACTAGTTTTAGTGAGTGAGTGAGTATGGTTTTACGCCGCGTTTAGCAATATTCCAGCAATATCACGGCGGCCGACACCAGAAATGGGCTTCACACATTGTACCCATGTCGGGAATCGAACCCGGGTCTTTGGCGTGACGAGCGAACGCTTTAACCACTAGGCTACCCGACCGCCCCGGAACTAGTTTTAACTTTACACACATGATATCAATTCATTCCTGAGATTTAAGGTCACTAAACCGTAAATGCTGGTAACTTTGTATTAAAGGTAGGTAGTGGGATGGGACTTTGTTTTAATGTACTGTATTAGTGAGAGGTTTTCTCTAATTAGAAGTGATGTCATTAACCCGGAAGTGCTTTTGTCTTTGTTGTTAGGCAGCTAGAAGCATAGAACTTTCTGTGTCAAATTTGTGCTGCATTGTTCAGACTTGAGGTCGACTTTGCCCTGATGGGGCAAAGTCAGATTGGATCATGTGCATGTTTCCGATGAGAAGGGGAGGTTGAAGTTGAAGTGTTCGCTCGTCACAACAAAAATTCTGGTATTTGTACACTCGTGTCGTAAACAGTATGAAATGAACACTCATATAATATCCTCTATATATTCTATATTTTATGTACTACTGAAACTTGAATCAGATATGTCATTATATTTATTAAGCCTTTGTTGTTACTGGTTACCAATTGTAGCTGTAGATGCCAACTTGAATAAATACCAATAGAGCCTTTGGGGCTATCAAGGTGAAGTATATTACATGACATGAACTTGGCAGCATGACTAACAGGGGAAAGGGAGGGTTGTTACAAAACTAATTCAATCTCATTCAGTACCCTTCACAACTGACACATGGCCGTTATCAACACGAGGTCACCTATTACTAATATTGATATGACAGTGCCCCTTGTAGCATACACAAAATAGAAGGGCTAATATGATTCAAGTATCGTGTGACCTAAGTATCGATGATATCGTAGGTGTCAGTGAATCATCACAACCCTAATATATTCAACAAAGATTAAGGACCACCTGATTCTTTAATATTACTATTGTTAACTGTCTGTCTGTTTCAGTGTAGGGGGGCACGGGTGGCCCAGTCGTCTAAGGCGCCGCGATTCGCTGTGCGAAGTTGCGTCCCTTAGGCACATCAGAACTCTATGACTGTGGGTTTGAATCCTAGTTAGCCCTGATTATGTTTCTAGGTTTGTCAGCACCATACCTGTGCTTGTTGGTGTAACTGAAGTGGGAAACGTCTGAGACCTGTATCACTTCGGGCTTTCCTCCCACATTATGCTGACACACTGCGATATAACTGGAATACTGTTAAAAGCGGCGTTAAACCCAACTCACTCACTCACTCACTCACTCACTCACTCACTCACTCACTCACTCACTCACTCACTCACTCACTCACTCACTCACTCACCCACTCACTCACTCACTCACTCACTCACTCACCCATTCACTCACTCACTGTTTCAGTGAATACTGTTAAAAGCGGCGTTAAACCCAACTCACTCACTCACTCACTCACTCACTCACTCACTCACTCACTCACTCACTCACTCACTCACTCACTCACTCACTCACTCACTCACTCACCCACCCACCCACCCACCCAGTCACCCACCCACCCACCCACCCACTCACTCACTCACTGTTTCAGTGCTTGTCTGACTGTCTCATGTTGTTGCAGGTGTTCTGCAGTCGGTGAAGAAGATGGACATCATTAAGATGAAGGTTCTGCAGATGGAGAAGATTTACCACCTTTTCAGGACCGCAGAAGAGAAGGTCAGTGATGCAGAAACATGAAACGAACATGACAAAATCATCTCTTGACTGATCTTGATCCAGGTTACTTTATCCACAATGTCCATTTGATCATAAGTTGTGGTGTAATCATTACATTTGTCTCGGGTGTAAGGCCACTTAAGGCCAACTCAGACAACGCAAAATGTAAGTAAAATTTCAAACTCGTTTTCGCTTGCCTGTCCATTCTTTGTTTGAGAGGTTAAGAACACTTTATGATAACATTGCAAAATTGACAAAATGAAATGAATCATGCCTGGTTCTGCTGCTGAGGGACCGACCATAAGAAATTCGTGAAGGGGCGGTCAGGTAGCCTAGTGGTTAAAGCGTTCGTTCGTCACACCGAAGACCCGGGTTCGATTCCTGACATGGGTACAATGTGTGAAGCCCATTTTTGGTGTCCCCGCCGTGATATTGCTGGAATATTGCTAAAAGCAGCGTAAAACCATACTCACTCACTCGTGATGGAGTGGGTGGGGTGGGGCGGGGATTTTGTAAGGAAACTAGATATTTTTTTCACCTTCAACTGCATACAAGGTTTTTTTTAATTAAAACTAAAAGCCTCAATATTTTCTTTAGAAAATCCACCTTGGTAGAATGTATTTTTTGTGGCAGACAATTTCATTTTTCCTCAAAAGTCTGAAGTCCAATCATTTTTTCATGAATATTCTGTGACGATTTATTCTTTTTGATAAAATCTCAGGCCCCCTCAGAATATCACATGGTCAGTCACTCACACTTGATATTTCCCACCCGTGAAGATCGGGGGTAGAATAGGTCTTCAGCAACCCATGCTTGCCGTAAAAGGCGACTTTGCTTGTTGTAAGAGGTGAGTAACGGGATCGGGTGGTCAGGCTTGCTGACTTGGTTGATGCATGTCATTGTAACCCAATTGCATATATCAATGCTCATGATGTCAATCACTGGATTGTCTGGTCCAGACTTGATTATTTACTGACCACCTTCATATAGCTGGAATATTGCTGAGTGCGGCGTTAAACAACAAACAAACAAACATACATGATATTTCAACTCATTCCTGGTGTGTTGCCAGAAGGGTCACAAGGCTGCTCAAATCATCATAGTGTTTGACCTGGACAAGTTCAGCATGAAGCACCTCTGGAAACCAGGTGAGTTAATCACTGTGAAAGTGTTCCTTAAAAGCAAAACTGGCTTTCAAGAAGTCCCATTTTCAAGTATTCCAATGATATTGCGGCAGCATGTAGATGATGAAGTCTGCATGAGGCAAACCACTGGTTGATAGCATGAGCAACAAATGATGCCTTCAAGGTACAAGTTCAAATAATTATCCAGATTCCATCACCCATTTTGGTACCAGGGACCTATTCATCCCCAAAGTCCTGACCATGCTCACAGGGAGACAAGTATTGAGGTCTGTGGACCCATTATTCCCTAGAATCCCCGTAGGGAGACAAGCATTGAGGTCTGTGGGCCTATTATTCCCAAGAATTCCTAAAGGGAGACAAGCATTGAGATCTGTGGGCCTATTATTCCCAAGAATTCCTAAAGGGAGACTAGCGTTGAGGTCTGTGGGCCTATTATTCCCCAGAATTCCTATAGGGAGACTAGCATTGAGGTCTGTGGGCCTATTATTCCCCGGAGTCCCTATAGGGAGACTAGCATTGAGGTCTGTGGGCCTATTATTCCCCAGAGTTCCTATAGGGAGACTAGCATTGAGGTCTGTGGACCTATTATTCCCCAGAGTTCCTATCGGGAGACTAGCATTGAGGTCTGTGGGCCTATTATTCCCCAGAGTCCCTATAGGGAGACTAGCATTGAGGTCTGTGGGCCTATTATTCCCCAGAGTTCCTATCGGGAGACAAGCATTGAGGTCTGTGGGCCTGTTATGCCCCAGAATTCCTATAGGGAGACAAGCATTGAGGTCTGTGGGCCTGTTATTCCCCAGAGTTCCTATCGGGAGACTAGCATTGAGGTCTGTGGGCCTGTTATTCCCCAGAGTCCCTATAGGGAGACTAGCATTGAGGTCTGTGGGCCTATTATTCCCCAGAGTTCCTATCGGGAGACTAGCATTGAGGTCTGTGGGCCTGTTATTCCCCAGAGTCCCTATAGGGAGACTAGCATTGAGGTCTGTGGGCCTATTATTCCCCAGAGTCCCTATAGGGAGACTAGCATTGAGGTCTGTGGGCCTATTATTCCCCAGAGTCCCTATAGGGAGACTAGCATTGAGGTCTGTGGGCCTATTATTCCCCAGAGTCCCTATAGGGAGACTAGCATTGAGGTCTGTGGGCCTATTATTCCCCAGAGTCCCTATAGGGAGACTAGCATTGAGGTCTGTGGACCTGGACTGCCTTGAAATCCCCACAGGGGACAAGCATTGAGGTCTGTGGACCTAGTCTTTCCAGAAAGCGTTGAGGTCTGTGGACCAAGTCTGCCAGAAATCCCCACAGGGGACAAGCGTTGAGGTCTGTGGACCTAGTCTGCCAGAAATCCCTACAGGGGACAAGCGTTGAGGTCTGTGGACCAAGTCTGCCAGAAATCCCTACAGGGGACAAGCGTTGAGGTCTGTGGATCTAGTCTTTCCAGAAATCCACACAGGGGACAAGCATTGAGGTCTGTGGACCTAGCCTGCCCAGGAATCCCCACAGGGAGATGAGCATTGAGATGGTATCCTGATTATTAGTTGCATGTTATGGGGTTTCATTTTGGTCAATATTTGACAGATTGTTTGATTGTTGTATAATATATCCTACAATATTTATGAAGATTAGTGATGAACAATAAGTATATATGTATAAGAAAATAAGCTTCCTGTCCCCAGGGGTGGATGTGATGTGTGAGCTCATCACCATGTTTGAGGACCACTACCCAGAGACCCTGAAGTCATCCTTCGTTATCAATGGTACGGTACACAGGGTTTGGTAGTAAAGTGGGTGGAGTTGAAATTATAAATACTTCAGTTCGGTTAAAAACACCATCCACTTCATCATAAAGTCTATTGCATGTTTCATTTTTTTTCTTTCATTTTCAAAAAAACATTTTAAAAAATCCTAGTACTTAAAACCAATGTGATCCAATATAGCACACAGTTACTTCCCTTTACAAGTCCACTGCTTTATGGTGCATCTCGTGTTATGGTCATGGCGGCAATAGGAGTTTGCATGCTTGTTTATGTAGGGAGGCCCTTTTCCAGGTTGATGGAACACAACTGTTTATTTTGGCACATACATTACTAGTTTGAACAGGGGCGGTCGGGTAGCCTAGTGGTTAAAGCGTTCGCTCGTCACGCCGAAGACCCGGGTTCGATTCCCGACATGGGTACAATGTGTGAAGCTCATTTCTGGTATCCCCCGCCGTGATATTGCTTGAATATTGCTAAAAGCGGTGTAAAACCATACTCACTCACTCACTCACTCACTATTTTGAACAAGCAAAAAATAAAAAAAACACCGCCTGCCCACACTATTTTTTCAAAAGTCATTGTCTGAGAACCGATTATTTATTTATTTTAAGCCTTATGGCCATATAATATACTTGGTATTGTAACTACTGTTTAGTGTAAGCAACGCTGCTACATAAATGATTAAATCTTTGTATCAATCTCATTAAAATCTGATCTTAGTTCTCGCTATCGCTTAACAAATCTGAGGACATCCCATTACGGATCACGTCAGAACGACCTTTGATCCGACCAGTCAAAGCATCGCTTACCATATCGTAAAAATTGACAGTTGGAATGTGTTTCCTATTCATGCAAACTCGAAAACTTTAACATGGGGTATTCCGAATGACAGTTACGGCCCGTACGACTGATTCCATCAAAATTATCGTCTGTCTCTTGCTTCCGTAGCACTGCCATACAATCTCAACCATATATTAGACATTCCGGAATGTTTGTTTGTTCAGTTTTCAAAATTTTAATCGAGAACTGTGTCAACATATTTTTCAAGCGTAGTCTGAAATAGAAGTCACCAGGTTGAAATGAGTGCCATAAAGCTCGAGAAAGCTGCTTTCTAATCGGCTGATGTCGACTTCTTGTTAGTCATTTCAGTGGTCGGTCAAAGTTTGCGAAAGGTCGCGCTGACGTGACCCGTAATGGGATGTCCTCAGATCTTTGTTTTGGGTCAGCAAGAACTTAGATCTTACTTTATTGAGATTGGTCTGTGTATGTGTCATCATGGTCATATTTGCAAAATAGTATTCTTGGTTTTTTGTTTTGTATTTAGGGATCAAATACCAGTAATGTATATATCTGAAATAATTAAATCAATATTCGACTCAAGTGACATGACAGACAAATATCAGTAAGAAAATACTTAACGAATGTCTTTTCTAGTCAAATAACATGTTTGTCATATCTTATGACATTTTCACGAGTTGCAGTGTCTTTCATGATTATATCAAGTATGTCAGGTCATTAGATGAGATAAGCATGTTTTTGGGTAAGATAAACTTCCTCTCTATATATGATATATCTTTTTTAATACAGCTCCTCGTATATTTCCCATCGCCTACAATCTGTTTCGACCTTTCCTGAGTGAAGAAACCGTGAAGAAAGTCCAGATTCTTGGATGTGAGTTACCACTGATTGTTCACAAACTAGTGATTGTAGCCTAGTGGTTAAAGCGTTTGTCCATCACACCAAAGACCTGGCTTCGATTCCCTACATTGGTGCAATGTGTGAAACCCATTTCTGGTGTCACCTGCCATGATATTGCTGGAATATTGCTAAAAGTGGCGTAAAACAAAACTCACTAGTTGTACTTCAACCACTTCTGTGGTGTAGTGGATAGAGCTTCTGTCTGGAGAGAGGAAGGTCATTGGTTCGAATACCTGTCCATGTCATACCAAAAGACGGAGTCAGTATACTGGGTCTTATACACGAAATAATGAGTTTTGATGTTTTTTCCCCATGGAAAGCTATTACCGTGAGCACGTAACACTGGAAATACCATGTCAACAAAACCATACTGAAGTACGCAAATTAATCATGTAATTACACTGTCTGACTATAAAAAGTGTTCTTTGTATATCTGGACTTATGTACATGTATGTAACTTATTTAATTAATTTTATTCAAAATTCCTTTTAATATTGTTTTAATTTATTTCGGCGAAATCGTGTATGAAGCGATAGGAAGATCGCACAACTCACCGTTATTAACAGCAACCACGATCAGATTACCACTATTGACTCCTTGAAACGAACATTAGTTGACAGAGAATGGATACATATATCATAAATGCCATACTTTGATTCGTTAAAAGTCATATTTGTTATACATGTAGTTTGACGATTCTATGTCAACACGTAGTACTTGCGATCACCTGGCGAGAGCCTTGACGGTGACTGGTCAGACTGGTTCCATGTGAAAAATTATGTGATGGCGGTCTGTAAATAATACACTGGACCAGACACTCCAGTGATTGACATCAAGGAGGATTGATCTACGCAACTGGCATACGATGACGTGCATCAACCAAGTCAGCAAGCCTGACCACCCGATCCCATTAGTCACTACTTACGACAAGCATGGGTTGCTGAAGACCTATTCTACCCTGAATACTGTGGTGTGGTGAAATGAGCTACCTGGTATATTTAATGAGGGAATACTGGGCACTGAAAATTCACACTCATTTTAAAAGATGTTTTCTATGGATCGTTTAAAGAAAATATTCAATCTGGTATATATATATTGTGAGAGATCTAATAATATACTGAACAAAAAAAGGGGATAATTTTTTTGAAGATTTTTTTTTTTGAAATTGTATGCTCAGTCTCCACTAAACATGCTAAACAAAATATCACCAAAAATATTCATGATTTTTTTTTCAGTATACAGTCAAGTCCCGTTAATCCGACATTGTTGGTTGCATATGATTATGTCGTATTAACGAGTATGTCGGATAAACGAAATAAGGTATTATCAACGTGCGTGATCGAAAATTGGACAACTACACGATAGATAACGATTCAAACATGTTGTAATAAAAAAAGGAAAAAGGAAATATTATATTGTTGTGTTACATTGTTCGCGGAATATGTTTTCTAATCATGCAACCTCTAAAGTTTAACACAGAACACAAAGTTTATCTCTGCAGACGTTTAAATATGCAGCTACTCGCTGACTCGTCTCGCATCAAAACACGGGGCTATGTACTTGCGGGCAGATGACCATGGAGTACGCTGATCACTGTGTCGGATCAACGAGACTGATTAATGAGTGATTTCAGCAAATCATTGCAAATTAGGTGTGTGCGAGACTGTCAGATTAACGGGTCTAAACAGCACTGATTTAATCGGTTCCCATCATTTGTGTCGGATAAAGCCGATTGTCGGATTAATGAGTGTCGGATAAACGAGACTTGACTGTATATTGCAGAGTTGGAACGATGTTTTCATTGTTTAACTATTTTATACTATTCTATGTATGATACCACATTCAGGCCATGAATGGCTTTAGGTGAATCCGATGAGCAAGGTTTTACCTTGACTTAACAAAAGTTGGGGTACAGAGGACCCACAGTAATTATTTTTAAGGGTCCTTGAAGGGTCCTGTAAAGTAATGAAATGGTGTAGTGTACTGTGTTTTGATAATTACTTTAGAGTCTGGAATTAATCAACAATCATGTGGACAGTAGTCATGTTTGATGGATGAAATAACAGACACCCATAGCTGCTCTTGATGTGCAATAGGTACAATGAATACTATTGTGTGGTTATAATGCAGGATATATTATCTCTGCAGCCATTCTCTACATTTGTGAGCACTGGACACTAATTTGTGTGTCGCCTAAAACCCTGGATGAGTATCTAGCATCACTCAAAAAAAAAGATCCTTGAAAGAAACCATTTGCTGACCATGCAGGTTTGATTGAGGGAATGTTTCTGGGGTTTACCGCCCAGAAAGAAAAATAACTGTGAGAAGACATTGTCTCTTCCTGGTTGTTGCAGCCAACTACAAAGAGGTGCTGACAAGCCACATCCCCCCTCAGGAGCTGCCCACCTACTACGGGGGAACCAAGACTGACCCTGACGGAAACCCCAAATGTATGATCCAGGTGAGTTTTGAGGGGGGCCCCAGATGTATGATCAAATGGAGTTTTTGAGAGGGACTCCAGATGTACGATCAAGGTGAAGTGAGCAAAACCCAGATGTATGACACAGGTAAGTTGAAGGAAGCCTTAGGTGTATGATCCAGGTTATTTGAGGAAACTCCAGGTGTATGACACAGGTTATTTGAGGAAACTCCAGATGTATGACACAGGTATGTTGAGGGAAACTCCAGGTGTATGACACAGGTATGTTGAGGAAACTCCAGGTGTATGACACAGGTTATTTGAGGAAACTCCAGGTGTATGACACAGGTATGTTGAGGGAAACTCCAGGTGTATGACACAGGTATGTTGAGGAAACTCCAGGTGTATGATCCAGGTTATTTGAGGAAACTCCAGGTGTATGACACAGGTAAGTTGAAGGAAGCCTTAGGTGTATGATCCAGGTTATTTAAGGAAGCTCCAGGTGTATGACACAGGTATGTTGAGGGAAACTCCAGGTGTATGACTCAGGTATGTTGAGGGAAACTCCAGGTGTATGACACAGGTATGTTGAGGGAAACTCCAGGTGTATGACACAGGTATGTTGAGGGAAACTCCAGGTGTATGACACAGGTATGTTGGGGAAACTCCAGGTGTATAATCCAGGTTATTTGAGGAAACTCCAGGTGTATGACAGGTATGAACTCAAATGAGTTTGACAATTGGTCTCTTAAATTCATTTTTTACAGAGTTATGGCCCTTGTTCCATGCTTTTCAGCTCAGTGCATTATGTGTGAAATGGGGACAAGTGTTACAAGAAGTTACATGAATGAAAGTATACATGCTTTACTAAGAAATACTTGTCAAAGTTGAGTTCGAAAATTGATACCGTGAATTATTCTTTTACACAGTTACTGCCATGATCCATGCTTTTCAACTTAGTGCATAGTGTGGGGTCAAGTATTCTCAGAAATGACTGAAGTTCACTTACCTTAGAGATACTTATCAAGAATGAGTTCGAGAATTGCCATAAATTATTGGGTTCTTTTGTGTGTATCAATTTCACATTTAATCATATTTTCTGATGCCATAGAGCGATCCAAGTGCCCAGCTCTTCTTAGGCTTTATAGGACTTGTGTTTTATAGTTGATATTCACTACTATATGAACAAAAAACATTCTAATGTGCCCTATGGCGGCGGATAGTGATAACACTGTTTTCTTGTTGCTATTAAACTCATCTATCCGAAATAGAGTTATCGTTCTTGTTTGAAGAAGTTCTGATGTTAATCCATTAATATGAATTGCTTCTGGAGGCTTGTCCCCCAATGACACGAGTTGGTCATGAATGAGCTGTGTCCCTTAGTTATACAGAGTTGTGTCCCTTAGCTGTAGCGTAACCAAGCTCCTTCCCAGCATGTGAAACCTTCAATACACTCTTGGTAACATTGCTGCCGTCAATGTGGGAGGTCATTACAAGAATCTTGAAATTTGCCCTCTAACCCAAATTGTAGTAATGTTTATACCTTTCGTTTTGTCTTTCGGGATGAAAGAATAAATTTTGAAAATGTTTACGACTTCCCATATTTCCCAGATGAATTTAAATTTTTGTTTGTCTGATCAGATTGGTTCGAGATCGCAAATGAACAGTAAATCACCCAACTCCCCCTTTACATATTTACTATACAAATAACATGATATAACAAATGTTATATTTGGGATAACACTTTTTTAGTAAAGTACAGATTCTAGTACTTTTTGGAGTTGGCCCATCCGTGAATCGAACACACACTGCCAGAGTGAGGCACCTAATCGCCAACACACAAAGACAGCAATCTAACCCACTCAGCCACGGAGGCTTCCACAAAATTGAAAGTCCAATAATTGGTAGTCTAGATCACCTATTTTGAGTACCCCTCTGACAAGTGTAAATTGGCACGGCTCACATGGCCGAGAACCATAAATACAAAATGCCATTTAGGAAGTGGTCAAATGTAACAAATGTAATACTGTTAAACTCACTGTGTTCCCAGATCTGTTTTGGTGGTGAAGTCCCAGAGTCCTACTACATCCAGCAGATCGCTAACCTGGCCGGCTTCACCGAGTCCACCATCGGCCGAGGGTCATCCCTACAGGTGGATTACGAAATAAAAGTAAAGAATAGTGCCATCAGGTAGGTTCCACACCTGCATTGAGGACACTTTGATGTTCTGTTTCTGAACCCTATCCAACAATACAACCCAACAAATCTTATTCTCTAGGTGGCAGTTTAAGACAGACGGGTTTGACATCGGATTTGGAGTTTATCGTCGTACAAAGGACGGTCGCCAGAAGGCTGGTGAGATGGAAGCTGTGATGGCGACAATGAGGGTCAACAGTCACCTGGTGCCTGAAGATGGCAGTCTCACTTGCAAGGAGACAGGCACATGTGAGTTACCTCCCCTTATCTATTAGGTGTTTCGACGTTGAATGTTTAAAAACAAGCTGTCTGATGACTTCTTACTGTTCTGACTTTCAGTACAGATATTTATTTTCAAGCATTATAGTAGAATCTACATCCCCACTTCGCAACAGTCTAAATAACGAAGATGTCATCCAGATAAGAGCCTGTTATTGTTGAACGCAAATTCAATGCCCACGACATGAAATGAGATTGTCGTTGATGCAGCATTAAACAAACTCTCAAAACAACTGTCTGATGATGGTTTTCATAGATATATATGTTACTAACTTAACCAGTTGTTAGATTCCACATATACTGCTTTCCAAACAACTGACCCTCAGTTTATTCAGTGTGGATGTATTTGTAGATGTCGGTTGGTTGGTTTGTTGTTTATCTCCGGACTCAGCAATATTCCAGCTATATGAGATTTCTGACCCTTAGTATATTCAGTGCAAGGGTGTATATGTAGATGTGGTTTGATTTCCATATATACTGCTTTCCAAACAACTTACCCTTAGTATATTCAGTGCATGGGTGTATTTGTAGATGTAGTTCAATTTCAACATATACTGCTTTCCAAACAACTTACCCTTAGTATATTCAGTGCATGGGTGTATATGTAGATGTGGTTTAATTTCAACATATACTGCTTTCCAAACGACTTACCCTAAGTATATTCAGTGCATGGGTGTATTTGTAGATGTGGTTCGATTTGACAACACATACAGCTGGGCCCGGGGGAAGAAGATCTTCTATCAGATCGAAGTCCTGGAGCCCGACGTGACAGACCTGCAGATGCCCAGATCTCCATCACCAGGCAGTGACAACTCATTCTACGACACATACAGCAGCTAACCTTCACAGTGGTAATACTACACAACTATAACACCTCTGTGGACTGATGACATGACTTCATTAACAATACTGGCCCAGTCTCCTAAGGTGGCGCAATTCGCTGTACAGAGTTGTGTCCCTTGGGCATGCCAGAAACCTGTGATTATGAGTTTGAATCCAGGTTTGTCTCATTCTTGTTTCTAGGTTTGTCAGCACCATACCCCTGTTCATGGGTTTCACCAAAGTGGTAAACGTCTGAGATCTGCTCACTTCTGACTTTACTCCCACATAAAGCTGACACGCTGTCATATAACTGGAATACTGTTAAAAGCGACGTTAAACCCAACTCACTCACTCACTCATGTACAATGCAGTGATGTTGTAAAATGAATGATAGGCAGATTCAGGTGGAAATTATGGTTAGGTCTGTGAATTAATTTTCCTTCCCCCCAATCATTTCAATTGAAACCATCCTTTAAAACTTCTTGGATGTTTCTGTGGAAAATACCTTGTTTTTTGAGTGAATGAGAAATTTTGAACTTGTGACAACATGAACACCACATGAAAACATTTCTTGTTTCTCAGTGAAAAAACATGGTATTTCTATGTTGTCATTACCATGCTTACAGTAACGTTGCTTTTTCTGTGTAAAGGGTGTAAATAGTAAACTATTCTATTGTGGTAGCACGACAATGTGCCTCGACTATAAAAAACACGGCTCAATTCTTATTAACAGTACAAGACTCTTAAGTCATGAGTAAAATGCTCTCATACCTTAAAATACATACCATGGCAGGCTCGTGTTTCTGTCAGGGGTAGTAGGAGAGACTTGTTATCAATGACACAAGATGACTTTATTTTAGAAAAGGAAAGAAATATCTGCTTTCGTTTTGATCCTGATTAGGCTTCAAAGGATTACCAGGGAGATATTAGACCATGTTTTTAGTTTTGTTATAGGAAATCAAGATGTGTTTTAGACTTTTTTAATTTGTTCTAACCCTGATCCATTATTATACTTCTAAAGACACCCAGAGGAGGTATTAGCACATGTTTTAAGTTTTGTTATAGGAAATTGAGATGTGTTTTAACCTTTTTGAATGTGTTCTAACCCTGATCCATTATTATACTTCTAAAGACACCCAGAGGAGGTATTAGCACATGTTTTGAGTTTTGTTATAGGAAATCAAGATATGTTTTAGATTTTTTTAATTTGTTCTAACCCTGATCCATTATTATACTTCTAAAGACACCCAGAGGAGGTATTAGCACATGTTTTAAGTTTTGTTATAGGAAATCAAGATGTGTTTTAGAATTAGGGACTTACAAGCTGGCATGTTTGTATTTTTCTATTCTGGTATTTGGGGTATCAGGGATAATCGTTCATAGTATCTGAAGTTACATAGGAAGGATTTGTAGGTTTTAGAACTGGTTGAAAGTTAATGAGTTTAGTTTAAAGCTGCTTTTAACAATATTCCAGTTATAACAAGGCATGTCAGCTTGTACTCTTTGAAAATGATATAGGAACAATATTCAACGTTTGCATTTATGTTCAACAGACCAAACACACAATGACTCGTGTAAAAAGTATCTGGTATTGAAGGGATCAAGAAGAATGTTGGGATTGGAGGATAGTGTGAATAACCATACCTCATAGAGCATAGTGTTCAGCATGTTCAGGGAAATGTCAGGGAATTTATTGCATGGGGTGGTCGTGACAAGAGCTACTTTTACCTTGCGATGGGACAACTCTGTTATGACCACTTTTCACACCAACCCAGGTCAAATTATCAGGTTAGGCTTAAAAAAAAGAAAAGAATTTGTTCTCAGGCAATGTTTTTCTAAAATATAGTGCGGGCGGGCTGTGTCTTCTTTCTTTCTTTTTTCGGTTGTTCAAACTAGTATGTAACCAAAGGGCCTCCCTATATAAATGTATTCCTTGATGAGTAAAATACTGGAATACAGTAGTTGACTTCCATTGGAATTGGAATATTTAAGGATTTCTTTTGGGGGGGGGGGGGGGGGGGGGGTTAAAAATGGAAATATAAACGAAACGTGCGGCGAACTTTATGATGATGTGGGCGGTGTCTGAGAACCAAGACTATTATTTTTTTTAGCCTTATGTATCAACTGAGTGGTCATTCCTCAAGTCTCAGTTCATACTGTGATATTGTGATCAGTGTATTGTGAGCAGTAGTGATAAGAATGATGGTCAGCTGCTGGACATCATTTACCATTTGAGGGTTGTTCACTGTGGACAACATTTACCAAGAATGTGGACAGATTCATATTTCAACTTCACAGGGACAAGATTACATCAGGAATTTGGATACATTCACATTCTCCCCCTTAAAGTCACATCATTTCACCAAGAATGTTGGATACATTTCTGCCTCAAAGTGACAACATTTCACCAACAGTGTTGGATATATTTCCCCCTCAAAGTGACAACATTTCACCAAGAGTGTGGAGACATTCATATTTCCCCCTCAAAGTGACAACATTTCACCAAGAGTGTGGAGACATTCATATTTTCCCCTCAAAGTGACAACATTTCACCAAGAGTGTTGGATACATTTTCCCCTCAAAGTGACAACATTTCACCAAGAGTGTTGGATATATTTCCCCCTCAATGTGACAACATTTCACCAAGAGTGTTGGATATATTGCCCCCTCTATGTGACAACATTTCACCAAGAGTGTTGGATATATTGCCCCCTCTATGTGACAACATTTCACCAAGAGTGTTGGATATATTGCCCCCTCAATGTGACAACATTTCACCAAGAGTGTTGGATATATTTCCCCCTCAATGTGACAACATTTCACCAAGAGTGTTGGATATATTGCCCCCTCAATGTGACAACATTTCACTAGGAATGTGGATGCACTATTGAGGCTTGATGAGTTTTGCTGCTGCACTCTACTGCCTCAGATGGTCTTTTTCTATTTTGTGCAAAATGTGAAGATTAGTGGTGGTTGGAACTTGATTAAAAATAATTTGTCAGGTCAGAGGATCTCTTAAATGTGAACTGATAGTGTAGTGTAGCAACCCACATCCTTGTTTCCACGACCTTGGTGCAAAGGGAGATAACAAGTACAGTCAAGTCCCGTTAATCCGACACTGTTAGTTGCATATGATTATGTCGGATTAACGAGTATATCGGATAAACGAAATTAGGTAGTATCAACGTCCTTGATCGAAAATCGGACACAAACACGATAGATAACGATTCAAATACGTTATAATAAATAAAGAGGAAAAAGGCAATATTCATATTGTTATGTTACATTGTTAGCGGTATACGTTTTCTAATCATATGTTTCTAATGTATGACTGATTCAACATACTTTTTATAGCATATGGAATGGAAGTCGTCAATTTGAAACTAGTGCCGCAATGCTTGAGAAAGCTGCTTTCTTAGTGGCTAATGTTGACTTCCTGTTTGTAATTTCATTGGTCGATCAAAGTTTACGAAAGGTCGATCTGACGTGATCTGTAATGGGATGTCCTCAGTGGTAGCGAGAACTTGTATCCGATTTAATGAGATTGAGGTAATCAAGGCATGTGATTAATCCTGTTTTGTTTAATTAAAGCAGTAATTGTTTATTGTTAAGCAAATTTATCTCTGCAGCCTTTGAAATATGCAGCTACTTGCCGACTCGTCTCGCATCAAAACACGGGGCTGTGTACTCGCGGGCAGATGACCATGGAGTACGCTGATCACTGTGTCGGATTAACAACAGATTAATGAGTGATTTTGGTAATTCGTTGCAAATTATGTGTGTCGGAGTCAGAGTGCGAGACTGTCGGATTAACGGGACTAAATAGCACTGATTTAATCGGTTCCCATCATTAGTGTCGGATAAAGCCGATTGTCGGATTAACGAGTGTCGGATTAACGAGACTTGACTGCAAGGGGAGGTAACTGAGAAACTATGCCGCTTGAGTTTGTTGGGTAATGAGTGGCCTTTGGTTATTTTCTTGTGTATTTTCTAGTTATTTACAACTGACGTTAATGTTATGGATAATCCAATATATAATTGATGTTTTTTTGCCTATAGCTTTTATGTCCGTACAAATTGCCAGTGTTTGCTTTGCCTGTTAGAAGCTATTTACTTATTCACGTGTCACTGAGGCCTCTGGTTTGTGTATGTGCTGTAAAATGTACTACATGACCTGGCATGACAACAAACTAATGTTTCCATGGTTATCATCATTGAATATTTGTTTTGCCTAAACATTTTAATTTCTTATGTTGATTTATCCATGTAAAAATGACAAAAAATGCTAATATTAAATTTAGAAAAGGTTTATTGATATATTTTATGTTAATGGTCTTTTAGATGATTGTTCGATAAAACAATGTACTTTTAATCAATATTATAATAGTATGCAGTATTTTTTTTCTAACTATGACAATACTATTTGAATAGTTGTACCAATATTTCAGTAGTATCACAATACTATAACAGCAACCAACAACTACCCCTGTGCTTAGTTGTCATGGCAACAAGTGCATCAGTCAGTCATGATTATGAAAACTGTCATGAAATATGTTTTTCCTTTACATTATTATATGTATTAAGATTTGAATGTCATTATTTGTTTTTGGGAATGTCATGCAGTAACTGTTACCATGGTTACTTATCTCGAATTCCATGACTTTATATAGAGCTCTCTGATTATGCTCACAGTGTGGACAGGGGTATTTCATGTTTAATTTTGTAAATAGTGTGGAGAGAACATCTTTGATTTCATTGGAGACCTTTACAAGCTAATAGGACCAAACAGTGTTATTCGAACTGCAAACCTTGCATAATTACATGACCTTGATGTGGAGTGAGAGGATTCACTGGGTTAGTTCTGCTGTTATTTGTGGAATATTTGTTGAGTACTAATGTTTTATAACATTAGAGATCATTACGGAGAGTCTCGACTCATTTTGTATATTTCACCAGTGTCTAAGACCAACATGAAGTTGACAGGCTGTGAGACTACTGAAATGCTGCACAAGACTTAGACTCTCTGATTAAACTAACTCTCAAAAGGTCACTTTGTGCAAGCCCCTCAACTCCCTCACGACCAGCTGTTGATGTTTGCTTTGATTTTATCGTTACTATCGGCTTCTGTCTCATGTTTCTGCCTTTCCACCCTTTTCCTGAACTTTAAGCATATGACAAGGGCAGGTAATCCTAATGACACTCCATTGGCAGCTTACCTCACAGGTTTGACATGCATCACATATTTCTCAAAACTCAATATGCTGAACATCATTTTTATCACTTATAAATATATAAGCCTTGTGGAAAGTGCGATGTTTTTTAAGGGTCTCATCATCTATCATGGGTTAGGGGTGAGATCCCCCATTTTACCTATCATTAGTTATGAAACATTATGGCTACCCTCCTTTTTTTCACCATGTCATTTTTCCATTTCTCTCCCGCCCCCACAGCCACCCTCCCAAAGCACCATGCCCCCGCACCGCCCTCGTCTTAACCACCGCCCCCGCAAAGCACCACACCACCGAATCACCCCTGCAAAGCACCAAGCCCCCGCACCACCCATCTGAACTACCGCCACCGCCACCGCAACCGCCACCGCCACTGCCACCGCCACCGCCTGGGGGCGGTCGGCTAACCTAGTGGTTAAAGCGTTCGCTTGTCAAGCCGAAGACCTGGGTTCGATTCTCAACATGGGTACAATATGTGAAGCCCATCTGTGGTGTCCCCAGCCGTGATTTTGCTGGAATATTGCTAAAAGCGGCATGAAACCTCAATCACTCACTCACTCACTCACTCTCCCTGGCACCCTATGTCATAAGCTGTCCTACAACAACCTGTCATGTTGAGTACATTCACTGGAGCTTTATAACTGTCTTTCTTCATTGCTGCCAATTGTCTGTTGTAGTTTCATCTGTGTTGATGATCTAGCCTAACAGTCCGGTCACATAGTCCTTCATGTCTCATCCCTGATCAATGCCAGTGTTACTAATGGGATGCACTGTACCATTAATCACAATAGTGTGGCAGGATTGATCTCAACAGGAATTCCAATGTCGGTATTGGCGTTTATCAGTAGTTACAAGTACATGGTACCAAAGTTCCGAAGTGCTATTACATACCACATACCTGAGATTGTGATAGTATAACATGGTGTATATATTCTATATTGCATAACTATTTATTGTTTATCCAATACTATGAATCAACAGGTAATTTCATTCTAGATTCCCTCTTTCCCGTGCTGAGAGGAGATAGCTGTCTTGTAACTTTGTACACAACCCTTTTTCTTTGTGGCAAAGAAACTGTTTATTATCTGGGGTTACATTTGTCATTGGAAATATACACATGAGCATTAATTAAGCACCAGCTGACTCAAAATTCAATTCCAAGAAATAATGACAAACTCTGATCTGAATCCAAATGAATTGGGTGCGGGGGGGTGTGTGTGTTTCCAGGGGGGCCCAGACCCCGCACACCTTTCATTTCGAAAATGAAATGTAGTATGCTGTAGGTAGTAAAATTATCTACTGAGAGAGGATTTGGATTTATTTTTTTACCCCTCCCTTTCAAAAATGCTGGATCTGCCCTTGTGTGACAATCAGATTCATGGTGTGGGTTGGGTGCTGATATTTTTCAGCCTTGTTGAAATGAATGTTTTTAGACGTCTTGGCATAACGCCAATAAATCCTACTGATTTTAGTGTCAGCTTCATTATTTGTGAGATGGTAGTGACAGGCTATTTGAGAGTTTATTACGTCTGTGGTATTTTCAACAATGATTCACACCAGACAGTTTATAATGTATCACATATCCCAAAAACAGTGGATGGTGCTGAATCAATGCTGACAGGTGTAGACGTTTGTTCAACTTTGTATGTACCAAACATAATATGATCAGTGTGAGTCTGTGATATCTATCCAGACTAGGAGCTTGTTCCATAAAGTTATCACCTTTGAGCTGTTTCCATGGCTATCCGATATTGCATTTATTGTTTTAATTTATGGTACTCAGCAATATCTCTGATATATGACGGCTGTGTGTAAATAATCAAGGCTTGACCAGACAGTCCAGTGATTGATGTCATGAGCATCAATCTACCCTAATGGGATATAAAGACATGCATCAACCCAGTCAGCCAGACTGACCTCCCGTTCATTGAGTTGCGTTAGCTACTGTTAAAATTATGGCAGTTTCGATGATAATCATAGTTCTGCAATTATTGATTATCGAAATCTGTTACAATGTGGGAGTTTTGATAATCACGTATCAAATAATATTGAAAGTCAGTTTGTGTTAAAGTATGGGAGGGTAAGGGTGAGGGCCCATGACACAAAGGGATAGCCCTTAGCCCTACTATTGTCATAAATTTATGTTACAGAAGGGAGTTACGATCGTCTTAGCTCTACGACTCGTAAGTTCATGTTCTTGTGTAGGAAGGTCTTAGCGCTACGACTGTCGTAAGGTCATGTTCATGTGGGAGACGGTCTTAGCGCTACGACTGTCGTAAGTTCATGTTCATGTGTAAGAAGGTCTTAGCGCTACGACTGTCTGTCGTAAGTTCATGTTCATGTGTAAGACGGTCTTAGCGCTACGACTGTCCTAATATCATGTTCATATGTAAGACGGTCTTAGCTCTACGACGGTAAGTCAATGTTCTTAGCGCTAGGATCGATTAGTGGAATGGGACTCATGTTACAGTGTTTTTGTAAAAATCGTTTGCTAAATGACAAAGGCGCATCAGACCAGCCTTGCCTCTCCACATCTCCAACTGTACTTGAAGTTTCTTTGTGGAGATATAAACGGTCACGTCAAATTACATCTCTTCAACCTGATATCATAAGACGTATGTTTGTTATCCTAACTACCTTTCTTTACACATTTGGTGTAGAACATATGTGTATTTGTTTTAAAAGGATGTGCAATGTTAAGTCTGTGATGAGTGAATAAATCAAAAAGTATCATATATCCTGCCAGTGTTTTGTATTTTGTACATCACATACTACATATAACTCCAATAAGTCGCCATTGGAAAAGCAAGTGGAGAATGTCAGATATGTCCCTGTTCCCTATTCTGTACCATAGTGAATTATGTTGAAATCCAATACAATGGGCATAAGACGCAAATATGTGTGAATGTGCGTTTGTCCGTATAACGTTTACATATGTTTGAATTTTGACGACGGCCTTTAAATAATGGAATCTGCACCAGACAATCACTGATAAATAGTATGAGGAACATCTTTAGCCGTCGGGTCCGGTAAGGCATTCAACAGAGTTGGATCCACAAATCTATTATTTCGCCTCTTACGACAAGCATTGGTTGCTGGGCACCAATTTAGCCCGTCTCCTAGACCCTAAAGCAAAAACATTAAAAAAGTAGTCCAACTCAAGTCTAGAATGATTGGGCAAGTCTAGAATGCCTCAGCTCCTGCAGTTAAGGATTGTTCTGGCCCCATTTGGATTTTTTTGTTAGATATATATTCTTAATTAAGAGAACTTTATTTCTGGGACTAAATTTCAGTCTAAGGATCAAGTCTATAAACCGAAATATCGAGGAATACAGTTTGGACAAGAAACACTGGTGTATATATTTGCTGATGAGGTAGATGAAAAATTGCAAGCAGGAGTTGGAAACGTGGATTTCTGAACTGTTTGAAACAAGTAATATGATGAGAGGAACATCAGTTTGACACCACTAGCACTAGTACGTCCTCATGTAAGATGAAGGGTTACGGTGGGGGGTGGGGGTGGGGGGGTGGGGGTGGTGGCCCAGTCGTCTAAGGCGCCGCGATTCGCTGTGCAGAGTTGCGTCCCTTGGGCACGCCAGAAACCTATGATTGTGGGTTCGAATCCCGGTTCGCCCCGATTATGTTTCTAGGTTTGTCAGCACCATACCCGTGCTCTCGTGGGTTTCACCGAAGTGGTAAACGTCTGGGACATCACTTCGGGCTTTCCTCCCACATTGAGCCGACACGCCGCGATATAACTGGAATACTGTTAAAAGCGGCGTTAAACCCAACTCACACACACACACACACTTATGTAAGATGACGCACAACAAGAACGATGTACCAATTCGTCGGCCCTTGCCACAAGCGACAGGTCCTAGAGCGCATATTTGTTTAACGCCGCACTCTAGAATATATGGTGGCCGAGAGGGACATCGCGTTATCACCTTCACTTACGGCCGCGATAACACGAGACGAGAAAGCGATGAAGCGAGATGAGAAAGCGATATTGTGTGTAGCTTTCTCGTCTCGTGTTATCTGTTTCTCGCGGTAAAACAATATACTCAAGGCGTCGTTTAACCAAACTCACTCACCCATTCACTTAATATGGAAGGAAAACCCATTGTGACTTAGGTCGAGATATACCAAATTTGAACATTGTTACGGTTCAGACAAACCACGGATCAGAACTCGTCCGAACCCACGACCAGCTCTCTAAGTTGGATAGACTTGAACTGGATTAAAAGAACAAATATCTTGAATTCAACGGAGCCTTTTCTTAGCAGTTTGGTGAAAACCATGTCTTGTCACGCCAAAGAAGATTCGATCCCCACATGCGGAGAAAACGTGAGGCTGAGGTGAAATGGGGTTTAACGTGCATGCACGTGTATGTGGCTGCTTGTACTAGTCCGGACTGATACAGATTTATAGAGCTAGCCTACTGTTATACCATGCCCCAGTTTAACATGAATAACCAACTCAGACACAGTATATACTGACTCCGAGCCGACCAGTCCTTATTTTATCCCCCGTATGTCGAGCGCCAGGCAGGTTAACAACAAGTATCATCTTTTAACGTCCTTTGGTATGACGCGGTCGGGGATCGAATCACGGATCTTTCGATCTCCGGGCGGACGCTCTACCACTAGACCACAGAGGCGGTCGGAGAATTTGTGAAGAATGTTGCCAGGGGGAATACTAAAAAAAACGGCGTAAACATCAATCAATCAATCACGCACGCAATATCACACATGGAACAAACCCGAACAGAAACTCTCAAGACCTCTGACATTATGTTCTAAAAATGTTTAGTGCACTTGCATTTCGTAACTGTTATTACGCCATCAGTTTAGCGAAAGCGAGGCAATAGCGTTTTGACACCCGTTTTTCAACAAGTCTGTTTTTCTAACGCAGACCCGCTAGGTGTGTACTAAAACTAGGAATGTGAACCATTTAAAACCGCCTGACCTCTCCCCGTTGAGCATTGTCAAAACTCAGCATAGCATGACAATCGGAACACGGATCGCTTTTGACTGACCATTGCAAACTAGCCGTGGGTCAGTGGTCTGGCTGAGTGAGCGACTGAGGTAGGTCTGTCCCTGTAGTCTGTGTACTGTTCTACATGTGGGTGGGTGACATATATATCGGTACCACATACTATATGTTTTAATTGTCAATTGTCAGGGGTTCCATCCCCAACCGCGTCACACCAAAGACGTTAAAAAGGGTACTTGTTATTAATATGCGTGGATAAAATAAGGAGCTTTATACTGTGTCTGAGTGGGGTATCCATGTTAAACTGGGACATGGTATCTCCGAGGGCTAGCACTATTAAACCGGTATAAGTCTGGATTACCACAAGCACACGCAGTTATACAAGTTATATAAGTGCAACAATCTTCAACGCGACGTTAAACCTCAGTTCACTTCACAGCATTAAAGAACCTGCTGTTGCAACCTGCGTCAGACAATTAAGCTTCATGTATAGTGGTCCGCCATGCTTGCTTCGTTTACGTCGGTAGCTCGTGATGGCGTCATGCCAATGTGACACCTACTTTAAGTGTGGGTTTGTTGTAGAGCTATACATGATTTTCATGGATGCTTCCCGCGTGGTTTTAAATTTTCGATTACCCAGCACAACCTTCATGTGAATCTTTACAAAGAGGAAGTAGAGCTCATCCTCGATTGTCCAGGGTGTCATTAATCATACATGTTTGGTCCGATTCGAAAGACTGACACAGAAGAGAATCGCCCAATCCAACACTTGATACGCACGAGAATTCATATGGAAAGTTGCTAAGAGGCATGGAGGATTTGACGTCACCTTCCAAACGAATTTATGACAGCGAATGGCTTAAGGGTGTTTATCATGATAAAATGGAGAGATAATATACACTGGGTAACCGAGGATGGTTCATCATGACGTTCTGTATTTAGGTACATATATGTATAATTATGTAATACTAGTTTGTATATTTTACCATATCCAATAATGAATACAAATGTGGCGGTTTAGTTGATTATGACAGCCCTAACCAACTCAGACAAACACGGACCAAACACTTCTCATAGGGGCTATGTTGAGAATACCTAGGGAAAGTGAGTGAGTATGGTTTACGCCGCTTTTAGCAATATTCCAGCAATATCACGACGAGGGCACCAGAAATGGGCTGGACACATTGCACCCATGTGGGGATTCGAACCCAGGTCCTAGGCGTGACGAGCGAACGCTTCAACCACTAGGCTACGCCACCGCCACACCTTTGGAAAGAGTTCCCCTTTAGCGGACTAGCTTTCTTAAAATACTATACACTATACTGTATGTTATGTTTATTGTGACATCAGATAATATCAGAAAGAGGTATAACGGGATCGGGTGGTCAGACTCACTGACTTGGTTGATGCATGTCATCGTATCCCTACTGCGTAGATCGATGCTCATGATGTCAATCACTGGACTGTCTGGTCCAGATTCGATTATTTACAGACCACCATCATAAAGGTGGAACATCGCGGCGTTATACAACAGACAACAAGTATACATGTTTCACATTTGTAAAATTATTTTTTTCCTTCAAGTTTCCTGTTTCACACACAAGGATATATCTGTGGACATTTGATATATATTTGGCTGGATACGCACATTTCTTTAAAGATTCAGTATTCTGGTTTCCGAATACGCATGGCCCGTTTTTAGAAACCCCGATCTGGCCAGAATTTAGCGTTCGCCGTACGTTGGACATCCCCTTATGACCATATGTAATTTAACAATAGTAATAATATAACAACGTGACGAAAGAAAATGTGACAACCTTCCCTTGGTTATTTCATTAACCTTTGGTATTTTTTTCTAAGATTAGAAGGATGGTTAGTCTCTTATGCTCTTACAGATCCTTACACCGCGACGTGAAGTTGGTCGCTAAGCATTTATAAAGATGCGTCACCGGTCCCTGTAAGTATGACCTTCATCACTAAAGTAGCGGTAGCCTTTACGTCCAGCATACTCTCGACTTGTAAGGATATTCTAAGTGACACTGATCTGACAAGTGTGAACTTATTACACATGACAATAATCCTCTAAATGTCCACGGCGAACTGGCCTCTTTCATAGCTGACCAGGCGTGAGTTGCATGGCTGGTACCCCTCTAACGCTGGTGTGATAAGGTTTAATCGGGTATAAATAGCAATGATTGTTGACCTGAGGCTAGCGCATAGAAGTGGACAATACGCCGACATTTCCAGTTTGAGAAATGTGAGGTCATTCGTGACGGGTCGTGTATTTCCGGACGTGAGAAATGTCGTTTACGGAGGACGGCGAATTGATTAGCCCAGTGCCCAATCGAAATGCTCTAAACATTGTTTATAAATGATAATCAGTGCTAATTGCTTTTGCTTTGCCTTACTTTTACAGAAGGTTCAAATAAATGTATTGTAAATGTCTGTACGTCGCCCACACTGAACAAAACACCTAGGTGACAGACGTACAAGCCACCCTAGTCTAATATGCAAGGTTTTTCTTTCAGAGCAGCAGTTTAATTTTTCTCCAACCAAAAAACATCCATCGTACTTCTTTAAGTGCAATAATAGCGACTACTACTTACCTGGTATAACCCGTGCACATCCGGGTCACAATAGGTCTTCAGCAACCCATGCTTGTTGCATAGGCGACTGAAGGAATCGGGTGGTCATGCTCGCTGTCTTGGTTGATGCATGTCATCGTATTCCAAATGCATAAATCCGATGTTCATGATTGATGACTGGTTCAGACACGATTATTTTCAGACCCCAATCATTTACTGTCATCTGAACAAAATACACCAGCTTCATTTTTTTCATTTCAAATGGCATAAAGCAATATATGTATGCGGGAGCAATTCGTTTCGGTAACGTCACGGTTTACGTTTGAAAATCGCCATACTAAGCGTTTCTGTACGCGTACGGTTAGACTAACGCTTGGTCTCTGAAAACATTTTATTTTGATAGAAACAAGCAACTCCATTTAAATTGAAAAGGAGCCGCAGTGAGATGGGCGATTCAGAACCTGTTGAAACCTAGACTTGCTTCATTTAGGGCTATAGTATTACAGAAAGTGGTGTGTGGAAGGGAAATAATATGGTTCAGGGACAGACTAGTGTGCGGTAGTGTCGTCAAATGTAATAACAGCAAGATCCTATTTCCATCACGACTGACATTTAACTTGGCTCATTAACAGTAATCTGTTTAGGACAAGATTTTCATGCACTATAACGTGTTTAATGTTTCCCACAGCTGTCGTAGAATTCTGGTGGAAGGTCGGTCCTAAATATAACAAACTGATAACAAAAGGATTTGTTTTCAAACTTCTTTTCGACGTTTTGTCTTCTAGCTATGGAATCCTAGAAAGGCCACTGTCGCGTTGTCTCCCTACAAAAACCAAGCAAAAAGGGTAAAAATTAACAAATGCGCGACAATGCGCCAACGCGAAATTTTGACCTTTTATCCCCTTGTTGCGTTGTCGCGCTTTGAATACTGTTTTTTACTTTTACCAAAGGGCGACAATGCGAAAGCGCAACAATGTTGTTTCTGTGATACCATACATAATTCTTGACAGCCGTTTTCAGGGTGCACGGATGACACAATCGATTAAGGCGCCGCAACTCGCCTTGAGGACTCGACCTTAAGTCTGCAGTATTTCCGGGACTGTTTTCAGCCTAGCAACGTTTTCATAACGTTTGTAATTTTATTTATCAAATCTAATTATCAAGTGTATACTTTCTTTTGCCCGACAGTCTACTTCAAACCCTTGACAACCACACTCGGTTTGTTGACAACATTTACACTTTCAACACGATTCGTGATGGAGGGAGCTATATATACTTCTCATAACTCTCACATCAATATTCCGTTTCTCTAAACAGAGCTCCAGATAAGCTGCGTATCTGCGTGAAATACGCATCAGAAATGCAGAAATACGCAGTAAAATATAACCCAAGCGTATCAAATACGCAACGAACATTACAGATACACTACAAAAAAAAACTTGTGCGTATCATCAAAATATTGTGAAGTAACCCTGCGTATTCGATTAGCAAATCAGCAACTTATTTTGAAATTATAAACGGGCAATCCGTCAACCTTGCCAACCTCCACGATGACAGTCACATCATGATCATTTGCCATCACACTTTCTTGTGGAAGTATCGTGGTATTTTTGAGTCCTATAAAGCTCTCGAACCCACACGACACCAGTTTGCAGGGACTAGATGAATAGTGTTTTTAAATATTTAACTTAAATACCCACATATGTAAAAACTAATGGGTAACAGAAATTTGAATACCCAGATAGAATTACTGATACCCAATGATTTTAAAATGCATGGGTAAAATACCCACAACACCAAAAGCTTATCTGGAGCTCTGCTAAAACCACGTTTTATCTTAACGGTTAAGTGGATAAGTTTGACCAGATGTAAGAATATCGCTGAGTGCGTCGTTACAGGACAAACAAACATTTTGCCAGGGACCCACAAAGATCTTAGTGCTTCGACTATCGTAAGCCTATGTTAAGAATGGAAGTTACGATCATTTTAGTGCTACGACTGTCGTATGTCTATGTTAAAGAATGGGAGTTACGATCATCTTAGTGCTACGACTGTCGTAAGTCTATGTTAAAGAATGGACGTTACGATCATCTTAGTGTTACGATCGCTTAGTGACCTGAGTCTGGCCCTCCCATACTTTAACATATTACTAAAAAGACGTGTTGATAATGATTCTTTCGGCTTCAGAGCTGCTGCATGAACTACAGCGACACCGACGACGTGGATGACGACGACTCCCACACATCATCAGTGTCCCTTAACTAGAAGATGCATCGCCGGAAAGTAAGATGTGTTGTAATGAAGCCTTGAGTGTTTTAACACTGATACATGTTTACCTGTAAAGTGCGGTGAAGTGAAGTGGAGGTTAACGTGGAATTCAAAATTATTCATTCAAATAGCGACGTGTGTGTGTGCGTGCGTGCGTGCGTGCGTGCGTGTGCGTGCGTGCGTGCGTGCGTGCGTGTGTGTGTGTGTGTGTGTGTGTGTGTGTGTGTGTGTGTGTGTGTGTGTGTGTGCGTGTGTGTGTGTGTTACTAGTCCGGACAAAAGCCTGTTTTATAGTTCGAACTTATAGAGATACCATTTCCACCATATAGTGGCTCCGAGCCGACCAATCCTTGTGTGGTGCCAAGCGCCAGGCAGGGCAACAACAAGCACCATTCGTTCACATCTTTGGTATGACGCGGTCAGGGGGTCGAACCAATGACCTTCCACTCTGACGTCAGACGCTGTTCCACTAGACCACGGAAGTGGTTGTTACCTGTTAAAATGTACCGAGCTGTATTCCCCAGTGAGTTGTCTCGGTCGACCTAATGTAAATGACACATCCGTGTGTGGGAGAAAGACTTGAGTGAGAACGGAGAAATAGTGCTTGACGGTTCTGTTGGCCTTCTAACCATACATGTAAAACATTTGCCCAGATCCAAATCCCAACCTCCCCGAGACCCGAGTCCAAAACATATTACCCCTCATACAGAGTGGTCGGGTAGCCTAGTTGTCAAAGCGTTCGCTCGTCACGCCGAAGACCCGGGTTCGATTCCCCACATGAGTACAATGTGTGAAACCCATTTTCCGGTGTCCTACGCCGTGATATTGCAGGAATACTCAAACATACTCACTACCCCTCATACATCGAGCACCTGTCAGTGATCAATCGATGATTCCGTGTACGTAGAGTGAAGGTCATCGGAGAAATCCCCACTGCATGCTCCGGGCTAAGTAGATAACTGGACCATGTGACAGAATTAGCCTTCTTCACACGCAACGCGACCAATGTGCACGCTAGAGGTAAATAGACTTTACGACAATCGCGTTTATGTACACTACAATCATGAAAACCTGTTTCTACACAACACACAACGAATCTTCCAATACATAAATTTGCCCAAGTTCGCCCAAGTCAACTGTGACAGATCTTTCTGATTGGTGAACTTTTCTGCCCTTTCGTGATTTGAACATTGCTTCTGATATAAAGATATAAAGAGACAGCATGGGTGAATGTAAAATATCCTAGTTTTTCTTCCGGATACGATTAAAACGAAATCTGAATTGTTTGAATTGCCTGAATTATTTTGCGAGAAAGAGACTGCGAGCAAGTCTAGACTGGCAGTACTACATAGCTAAGTCGATCAGATTACTGAATCAGTTAAGTATAAGTCAGTTTCCTATAGCAGTGGCAGTAGCAGCAGCAGCATAATCAGACCATCACTTATTGAACTGGTGCTAGAAGTGAAGGCGATCGCAGACGCCCACAGCACAAATTGAGTGTGAGTGTATGGTTGTGACAGACATTGATGCTGTTGTAGAGGAAGTTGTTTTATGGATCCACAGTATACACTGGCCCAGCACAATGGCTCCTGCGTCCGAGACGAAGGCGAGGGGCACCCGGCGTTACAGAAGGTAAGGGGGAAGGGGGACAATGCATGTTATGGTAAATATAGGGGGCATGGGTGGCCCAGTCGTCTAAGGCGCCGCGATTCGCTGTGCAAAGTTGCGTACCTTGGGAACGCAAGAAACCTATGTTTGTGGGTTCGAATCCCGGTTCGCCTCGATTATGTTTCTAGGTTTGTCAGCACCATACCCGTGCTCGTGGGTTTCACCAGAGACCATATAATATGGTCTCTGGTTTCACCGAAGTGGTAAACGTCTGAGACCTGCATCACTTCGGGCTTTCTTCCACATTGAGCTGACACGCTGTGATATAACTGGAATAATGTTAAAGCGGCGTTAAACCCAACTCACCCACTCACTATGATAAATATAAATATATAGACATGTACAAGATGCTGGGTTGAAAAGATAATACTATAGCTAACCATGTTCTGGACAGCGGGTTGTGTGTCAGGTGTTAGGCAGGGTTAGACACTCTCATTAGTTAGTAGTGAAACTAAGAGAAGAAACACATTTCATCTTCTTGAGGCACATATAGGGTAGCCTAGTGGTTAAAGCGTTCGCTCATTACGCCGAAGACCCGGGTTCAATTCCCTACCATGGGTACACTGTGTGAGGCCTATTTCTGGTGACCTCGTCGTGATGTTGCTAAAATATTGCTAAAAGCGGTGTAAAACCATATCCACTCACTCTAGATGGCCTGTGAACATTTCTTTGAGACAGACTATTTTTCACAAAACACTTAAAGAAAAACATGTTTTTCAGGACACCAGATTGGGGTAGGGAGGAACAGTTTTCCGAGAATATTTTTCTTCCATCGTTTTCGGAGACAGATTATTTCAAGGAATACACTTGTTCCTCCCAAATCTTGTATGTTTTATGAACTACTGGTCTGAAATGGACTATTGGAGTAGATGTATAGTAAGGATTTGTATATACCCCGGTGTCCAGCCCTGGGTATAGGAAGACAACAGTTGCATTCGTGACCAACTCGTGTTATTCCGGGACAAGCCGAATATCAGATTACGGAAAGGGGCGAGTGGTGACGAGTGCAACAGTTGCTGATTGGTCGGCGTTTTACATAATATTTCACTCGCCAAGGTCACAGTGACCCCATGATGGGAATCTGACAACGATACACGTTACCTCGTTTGTTGCTTTTTTTGCTTTGGAAAAATGCTTAAATTTTTTTAACGTCACGGTAAAATAAAAACATGATTTGAAAAAAATAAGGAATGCCGTCCCGATACATTTATGTACTGTAAAAAAATGACAGTTTGGTGGCAATCATGTTTGAGGGTACGCCACTTGTAAGGAGGGCGTTGCCTTGGTGCTTGTGTAGCAATGCCATAATATCGCATGTTGTGCAGGCAACAGTGGCCAGTCAATATTCAGATACCTTGTTTTGTTTTAGTTTAAAGTTCAGATCCAGGACCTGTTGACTGACAGACACGACGACCATTCGCTGACTAAATGGCTGAAAGGTGAGTGGTCTTATTCTGAAAGACATGTCGTCTTCTCCCCACTACTCCCGGAAGACGCTCATGTAGACCCATTAAAGGGGAATAACACATGTTCTAGAAAATCAAAACAAAAACTCTGTAATTAAGGTGGAGCAGTATGAAGCATTATGAAGCATTATCTATATAAAAGCTCTCTGAGATCGATTAAGCGTTTAAGATTTTACTGTTTATTACTTTATTGTTATTTGTTTGAAGAAGATGAAGCTGGTATGCATGTATTTTGTTCAGATCACTCCAGGTAAGTTTGTTTGTTTGGTTGGTTGGTTGGGTTTAAGGCCGCACTCAGCAATATTCCAACAATATGACGGCGTTCTTTAAATGGTCGAGACAATCCAGTGATTGATAGCACGAGCATCGTTCAACGCAATTGGGATACGTTGACATGCATCAACCAAGTCAGCGAGCCTGACTATCCGATCCTATTTGTCGCCTCTTCCGATAAGCATGGGTTGCTGAAGACCAATTCTAACCCGGATCTTCACCCGTAATTCGTCGTGGTAGTGATACCAGTAGTAGTTATTACGTGATGGGCACAGGTGGCGCATAGGGCAAGTGTGGATTCTCTGTGCAGAGTTGTGTTCTTTACCATGCCCTGATAATGACGCTTGGTCTGTCAGTACCACACCCTTGCTCGTGGGCTTCACCATCGTGATACACGCCTACTTTCCTCTCTCACGACGACGCTGTCACGCAGTGATATCACTGACATTCGAGACCCGTCAAGATCCCTATAAGAATAGGTCTTAAGCAACCCATACTTCTATAAGAGGCGACTGACGGGACCGGGTGGTCAGGCTCGCTGACTTGGTTGATGTCATCGTATCCTGATTCCATAGATCGATGTTCATGATGTCAATCACTGGATTATCTGGTCTACACTCGATTATTTACAGGCCACCGGCATATAGAAAGAAATCTTGTCTACTGATAAATCCAACCAACGATCTAGGCGAGATTTGCCAGTCTTACCACTCTACGCTCTCCAATCTCCTTCATCTACATGCACCAGGTGTAGACAAGCCAAGCCTGCAGCTCCTCGGTGTTGTGATAGTGTTTCACGTGCAAAGGCACATAGACGTATTGCCGAACGTCAGTGGCGTAAATCAAAATTGGAAGTTCATAGACAGATCTATAAAGCGGCTCGCAGTGTCGTTACTCAGCAGATAAGAGTGAGTGAGTGAGTTGGGTTTAACGCCGCTTTTTTAACAGTATTCCAATTATATTACGGCGTGTCAGCTTAATGTGGGAGGAAAGCCCGAAGTGATGCAGGTCTCAGACGTTTACCACTTCGATGAAATCCACGAGCACGGGTATGGTGCTGAAAAACCTAGAAACCTAATCGGGGCGAATCGGGATTCCAACCCACAATCATAGGTTTCTGGCGTATCTAAGGGACGCAACTTTGCACAGCGAATCGCGGCGCCCTAGACGACTGGGCCACCCGTGCCCCCTCAGCAGATAAGAACCTCTAAAACAGCCTACTGCCTACAGAAAATCAAGGACAGTGCGGGACGTCCAGGCGATCTCTATCAGTTCACTTTCTCTTTGAATGGCAAGAAGACGGAAAAGACTCAAGCAAGCAGCAAACAATTAGCCAGTGATTTCAGCAACTACTTTGTTAACAAGATACAAAACATTTGACAAAACCTAGATGAGAAGTCCATCCATGACAGTCACACAAACATCATTCCAGATTGTTTTTCAGTCAGTCACGGTCAATGAGGCAACATCAGATAGTTTTGTTCCCCAATGGTCAGTTCTTGGCCCCACTCTTTTCACACTGTACACGAAAAGTGTGGGTCATATCATCTCTAAGCCGCTAATGAGCTATCATTGCTACGCCTATGATACGCAACTGATGAAGACTTTCATGCTATCTGAAACTGAAACGGAGCTTAAAAAAATCGAAGATTGCACCAGAGCCATCAAGTCGTGGATGATTGAAAACAAACTAAAATTAAACGACAATAAGACAGAGGCTTTATTGACTGGTACCAGAACAAAGCTTGAGAAAGAGGGAGCTAACAAAATACAAGTTGGTGATTCCCATATCGCATTCTCAAAATCAGTGAAAGATCTTGGCGTTTTTCTGGACAGTGGACTTACTATGGAACAACATGTAAGCCTTGTCTCAAAGTCATGCTTCTTTCATCTCCGCAACATTGGAAGCGTTCATCTACTCACAAAAGAAGCTGCACACACTTTGGCTGGATCGTAAGTCATATCGCGGCTTGACTATTGCAACAGTGTCATGAGTAACACCACAAATGAACAACTCCACAGGCTCCAACGTGTACAAAATACAGCAGCACGTATCGTCACGAAGACATCAAACTGGACTTCAGTAACACCTGCTCTGATGTCGCTACACTGGTTACCACTCAAAGCTAGAATTGAATTCAAAATTCTAACCCTGGTCTTCAAATGCTACATGGAAACAGCCCAATTATATCTTACCGAACTACTGCCTAAATACAAGCTTTCCAGATCTCCCCGTTCTCAGAATAGCCACATGTTACAAGTCCCGGAAACCCGTCCCAAAACCTTTGGTCAGAGATCTTTCCTCTTCTGCGCTTCCTCGCTATGGAATAAACTACCATCTGATCTTAAGCTATCGCCATCGCTTGCATCCTTTAAGGCTGATGGGGAAAACACACCTTTTCAGACAACACTATCCAATCTTGCTCTACTCATTTTTCATCAGCATTATTTGCTAAAACATAGTTCGCTATGAGCATTAACATGGTGAATGGAATCAGGCACAGTATAAATGGACTTGTTATTATTATAGCTTGACTATTGCTGAGTGCGGCATTACACAACAAACAAACAAAAGACATACTGCTAAGAGCTGTGTTATACTAAACTCTCCCATTCACCCTTCCTGGGGGCACGGGTGGCCCAGTCGTTTAAGGCGCCGAGATTCGCTGTGCAGAGTTGCGTCCCTTTGACACGCAAGAAACCTATGATTGTGGGTTCGAATCCCGGTTCGCCCCAATTATGTTTCTAGGTTTGTCAGCACCAGACCTGCATCACTTCGGGCTTTCCTCCCACATTAAGCTGACACGCCGTGATATAACTGGAATACTGTTGAAAGCGGCGTTAAAACCCAACTCACTCACTCACTCATTCACCCTTCCTGTATGATATAACGTTAGGTCCTATTTACACAAGCCTCATTACATCTTTGTCGTTGTCAACAGCCCGGCAGTTCGACGTTGCCAAAGCCGAACACATGTATAGGACGGTGAGTACAATTTTACAATGAATACCTAATGGTATGACGTGAATAGAATAGAATAAACCAGTATCAAATTATCAATTTATCCAGTGACATAAAATTGATTAAACATTGCTCAGCATTTATGAAGTAACATTTTATTACCATTTGCAAAAGTCGCATCTTGGATCTGTTCCTTTACACTATCCGGTACAAAAGGAACTTTTGGGTAGTCTCGTGGTTAAAGCGTTCGCTCGTCACGCCAAAGACCCGGTTTCGAAACCCGAGATGAGCGAAGTGTGTAAAGCACAATTCTGGAGATGCCCTGTCATATTGCTGGAATATTGCTAAAAGCGGCGTAAAAGCATACTCACTCACTCACTGAACTCACTCTTGTATTCAGAGCATGGCCTACAGAGAAAAGATGAAGATAGAAGATCTTGTCAAAAACTACACTCCCCCAGAGGTGAGACTTCAGACGCTTGTTCGCCTGCCCGTGCATGCATGCTAAATAAATGGACCGAGTGTGTCAATATTTAGGCTTCTTGTAAACTGCCTAAGTGAATCAAGCAATTTACAAAACGACAAAAATGTCAGACAATCTACAGATTGACTGTAACATATACACGGCATACTGAGACATGTCATGTCCGTGCATGCATATAACACGTAATTTGTGATACATGCACACATTCAATAACTGGGCGCAATGACTACAAGTTTTTAAACCTGCTTCCCGCATCCGTGAGCACTTCCCCGCATGGTGTTATTACTGCATAGCAAAGCGGTATGATTTCGACATTAAACATATTAAACAATGAACTAATGACAAACCCCTTGCAGGAATTCATATGACCCGCATTTGTACTAATTGGATTAATCCGTGATGGCGTTCCGAGAGGGTTTTGCTTCTCCCGACATCGATCACAACTCAGAATAATCCCCTGCATCACGCCACGCATGCAGCTTCTCCCGTCACTCGTCATAATGCGATCTCATGCAGACCACGTGCTCAGTTACAGTTTAAGAGACTCGGGGATTTGGTAGAAAATATACTGATTGAAACGAATAAGGGAACAATGAAAAATGTAACAGGGACCATATAATAGATTATCTATTATACTGTCTCTGTTGTCAGTACATGTGCAGTAACAGTTTAAGAGACTCGAGGATTTGGTAGAAAATATACTGATTGAAACGAATAAGGGAACAATGAAAAATGTAACAGGGACCATATAATAGATTATCTATTATACTGTCTCTGTTGTCAGTACGTGTGAAATAGCGCTCATGCACATTCAGTACGTCAGAATCAAATGTTGAGATCTGTCTGTGTGAATTGTTTCCAAAGCTGTTTGACAGACAAGGCTGGGAACCCATGATATCATATCATTTTACTGTGTCTAAAACTAAATGTTCCCTTAATCATTTCCATCAGTTATTAAAAATTCGAGGAGGTTCGTTTGATGTTTCATGTGCCTTTTAACGAAGCAAAAGTCAACGTTTGAAGCATATTGAAAGGTTGTTTATACAATTTAATTGTAAATCCTAGATCTTGCAATTTAAATGTGTTACATTTCATGGGTTGCTGAAGACCTGTTCTCTTCCCGGAGAGGAACTAATACTCAAGATAGAGTAACGGTTATGACTTATAACAGATGTTTCAACAAAGTCGTTACATCATACCCCGGGAGGTTTGGGTCATGTATAGGTTAACGAGGATTGACTTAGGCCTCGTAGGCCATTTTGGCCGGCCGCTGAATTTTTACATTCTTGCCTTGTCATTTTATATGTACAGCGGGTGACACTATAATAAAATATTCTTCTTCTTCTTCTTCTCTTCTTATAAATTGTAAACCTCACAGAGAAGGAATTGCGTTAAAGTGAACTTTACTGTTGTGGGTATTACATGATGTCTTAGAGTGAGTGAGTGAGTTGGGCTATGCGCCGATTTTAACAGTATTCCAGTTATATCGCGGCGTGTCAGCTTAATGTGGGAGGAGAGCCCGAAGTGATGCAGGTCTCAGACGTTTACCACTTCAGTGAAACCCACGAGCACGGGTATGGTGCTGACAAACCTAGAAACATAATCGAGGCGAACCGGGATTCGAACCTACACTCATAGGTTTCTGGCGTGCCCAAGGGCAACAACTCTGCACAGCGAATCGCGGCGCCTTAGACGACTGGGCCAGCCGTGCCCCTGATGTCTGAGAGGAAAATCGACACAAATTGAGTCGGTTGAGCCAATTTTTTTTTGTTTTTCCATGACCCCTGCTTAGTACGTACGATTACTTCCATGTGATTGTTTGTTTGTTTGTTGTTTAACGCCGCACCAACGATATTGCAACTGTATGACGGCGGTCTGTTAATAATCGAATCTGGACCAATCAATCCAGTGGTTGACATCATGAGCATCGATCTACATCATTGCGATACGATGACATGCATCAACCAAGTCTGCTGACCACCAGTTCACGTTAGTCGCCTCTTTCGACAAGCATGGGTTGCTGAAGACCTATTCTAACCCAGATCTTCACGGGTTACTTATGTGTGAGGCTTAGACCGTATCAAACAATCCTCGTATTTAAGTTTGAGAGCGGCGACTGAGAAGCTCTGTTTCCTTCAGGTCCTGCAGAAGTACCTGACGGGTGGGTTCTGCGGGTACGACAAGGAGGGGTCGCCGGTCCGGGTGGAGAGATACGGGCGTCTGGACATGAAAGGAATCATGTTCTCCTGCAAAAAACTGGACCTGGAGAAGACGAAGATCCTGCAGTGTGAGGGAACTGTCCGCGACTGGGAAACGCAGTCCCAGAAGGTAAAGCGGGCGTGGGTGGGTGAGTCTTTTGGTGATTGATTGTTTGTTGTTTAATGCCACACTCAGCAATATTCCAGCTATATGACATCGATCTGTAAATAATCGAGTCTGGACCAGACAGTCCAGTGATTGACATCATGAACACCGATCCACGCAATTGGGATACGATGACATGCATCAACCAAGTCAGCGAACCTGACCACCCGATCCCGTTAGTCGCCTTTTACAGCTAGCATGGGTTGCTGAAGACCTATTCTAACCCGGATGTTCACGGGTCGAGTCTCTCAATTGGTAGCAGTGTACTTCAGGCGTTAGTATTTAAAACCGTGAAACGGTTAATTTCAGAAGGTGTTGTCCTTAATCAGTTTTACTGTTTCAGCTGGGCCGGCGAGTGGACGGCATCACGGTGGTGTTCGACATGGAGGGCGTCAGTAGTCGTATGATGTGGAGGCCGGGTAGGTAGCATGGAACCATCTCCAGAATATAACCCCGTCAACAGTATTTAGTCTGGAGCAACATGATCTCACATATATCTACAGGCACTATCACACACATAGGCGGATCCAGAGGAGTGGGCGACCTATTATAAATGACCAATCCCTGTACATGTATAATGTTCAAATGTAAAACCTTGCTATTTTTAAAAAAAGAACTGCGTCCTTTTTTCATGTCCCCCATTTATTGTGATAAAATTTCGCGACCACCCCTCTTGTCTGTCATTTTTTATTACCACCACCACCATCACCACCACAATCACCACCATCACCACCATCACCACCATCACCACCATCACCACCATCACCATCTCCATTATCATCACCACCACCACCATCACAACCACCACCACCATCACCATCACCATCACCATAACCACTACCATCACAACCACCACCACACCACCATCCCCACCATCACCATCACCATCACAACCACCACCATCACCACCACCACCATCACCACCATCACCATCACCACCATCCCCATCACCATCACCACCACCACCATCACCATCCCCATCACCATCACCACCACCACCATCACCATCCCCATCACCATCACCATCACCATCACCACCATCACCATCACCATCACCACCACCACCATCCCCACCATCACCATCACAACCACCACCATCACCACCACCACCACCACCATCACCATCCCCATCACCATCACCACCATCACCATCACCATCACCATCACCATCACCATCACCACCATCACCATCACCATCACCACCACCACCATCCCCACCATCACCATCACAACCACCACCATCACCATCACCACCACCACCATCACCATCCCCATCACCATCACCACCACCACCATCACCATCCCCATCACCATCACCATCACCATCACCACCATCACCATCACCATCACCACCACCACCATCCCCACCATCACCATCACAACCACCACCATCACCACCACCACCACCACACCACCATCACCACCATCACCATCACCATCACCATCACCATCACAACCATCACCATCACCATCACCACCACAATCACCACCATCACCACCACCATCACCACCATCACCACCATCACCATCATCACCATCACCACCATCACCACCATCACAACCATCACCACCACCATCACCACCATCACCATCACCACCATCACCATCACCACCATCACAACCATCACCATCACCATCACCATCACCATCACCACCATCACAACCATCACCATCACCATCACCATCACCATCACCATCACCACCATCACCACCACCACCACCATCACAACCATCACCATCACCATCACCACCATCACCACCATCACCACCATCACAACCATCACCATCACCATCACCACCACCATCACCACCACCACCATCACAACCATCACCACCATCACAACCATCACCACCATCACCACCATCACAACCATCACCATCACCACCATCACCATCATCACAACCATCACCACCATCACCATCACCATCACCATCATCACAACCATCACCATCACCACCATCACAACCATCACCACCATCACCACCATCACCATCACCACCATCCCCATCACCACCATCCCCATCACCATCACCATCACCATCACCACCATCACCACCATCACCATCATCACCATCACCATCACCACCATCACCATCACCATCACCATCACCACCATCACCACCATCACCATCACCACCATCACCATCACCACCATCACCATCACCACCATCCCCATCACCATCACCATCACCATCACCACCATCACCATCACCATCACCATCACCACCACCACCATCCCCACCATCACCATCACCATCACCATCACCATCACCATCACCACCATCACCATCATCACCATCACCACCATCACCATCACCACCATCACCATCACCACCATCCCCATCACCATCACCATCACCATCACCACCATCACCATCACCATCACCATCACCACCACCACCATCCCCACCATCACCATCACCATCACCATCACCATCACCATCACCACCACCACCATCACCATCCCCATCACCATCACCACCACCACCATCACCATCCCCATCACCACCATCACCATCACCATCACCACCACCACCATCACCATCCCCATCACCATCACCATCCCCATCACCATCACAACCACCACCATCACCATCACCACCACCACCATCACCATCCCCATCACCATCACCATCACCATCACCACCATCACCATCACCATCACCACCACCACCATCCCCACCATCACCATCCCCATCACCATCACCATCCCCATCACCATCACCACCATCACCATCACCATCCCCACCATCACCATCACCATCACCATCACCACCATCACCATCACCACCATCACCACCACCATCCCCACCATCACCATCACCATCACCATCACCACCATCACCACCATCACCATCACCATCACCATCATCACCATCACCATCCCCACCATCACCATCACCATCACCATCACCATCACCACCATCACCATCACCATCACCATCACCACCACCACCATCCCCACCATCACCATCACCATCACCATCACCATCCCCACCATCATTACCACCATCACCCCTGACACTCTCTCCCCACACCACCCCTGAACCTCCTTCCTTATTTTAGAAGCATGGAATCCATGGCGGGTGAAGGATTTTTTTAACGTTATATTTCATTCCGGTATTTTCGGGAGCAGATTCTTCAATTTGTCAAAAGCCCCACCCCCAGGAATATCATATAGTGTGATTCACCTTATTGTTTATGAACACGTGTGTATCTGCAGGTCTACAGATGTATCTCTACCTGGTGAAAGTCCTCGAGGACAACTACCCCGAGATGATGAAGAGGATGTTTGTTGTCAACGGTCAGTCATCACTAAAACACATGCAGCTGAAGGACATTGTTCTGTGTTTTATTGTATACGTAGCAATTTGTTCTTGCCGCTAAGGCTGAAATAATGCCGATGCGAGGTTAAGTTTAAACTCACTCACTCACTCACCCAATGTTATATTGTCATGTGATCACTATTCTTGCACAAGATAGAACCCTCCAAAACCTGGGGTCACGGGTGGTTCAGTCGTCCGCAATTCACTGTTTGTTTGTTTGTTTCTTGTTTAACGCCGCAGTCGGCAATATTCTACATATATGACGGTGGCCTGTAAATAATCGAGTCTGGATAGACAATCCAGTGATTGACATCATAAGCATCGATCCATGCCATTGGGATACAATGACTTGCATGTACCAAGTCAGCGAGCCTGACCACCCAATCCCGTTAGTCGCCTCTTACGACAAGCATGGGTTGCAGAAGACCAATTCTAACCCAGAATCCTCACGGGTCGCAATTCACTGTGTAGAGCTGCTTTCATTAGGTGTAAACAAACATATGGTCGTGGGTTCAAATCCCGTTTCGCCTGATCTTGTTCGAACCACATCCGTGTTCATGGTTTTCCCCAAAGTGGTAAGCGTCAAAGACCTTCATTACTTCGATCTGTCCTCATCAAGCTGACACGCCAGGATGTAATTGTAGTACTGTTCAAAGCGGCGTCTAGCCCAACTCACTCACTCACTCTTGTCCACATTAAAAGGCTCCGCTTTGCCTCGAATAGTTTTCAACAGATGTTTTGGGTTTTCATATAACCCAATTAAGTATTCTGTCAATCACCATCTGTCCGTTACCTAAAGCCACACTTTATATAGGTATGGAGTATACTTATTGCCTATGAAGTCCTCAGGATCCTCGAGGGTTGTCTTATTTTGAGAGCGTCGTAAAAGTGAGTGAGTGAGTATGGTTTTATGCCGCTTTTAGCAATATTCCAGCAATTTCACGACGGGGGACACCAGAAATGGGCTCCACACATTGTTCCCATGTCGGGAGCCGAACCCCGGTCTTCGGCTTGACGAGCTAACTAGGCTACCCCGCCGCCCCAAGTGTCGTTATAAGACCATAAACGGAGGTTTGACTGTACGTAGAATCGTTGCTTGACTGCGTTGTATCGTTTATGGGTGAGTTGGATTTTAAGCCGCTTTAAACAATATACATGTACCATCAATATCGCGATGGAGCAAACAGGGCTTACCACATTGTTCCCATTCTCGGAATCGAACCCGGTCTTCGTCTTGATTAGTTAACACTTTAACTGCTAGGCCACTACGCCGGTTTCTTACTGGGCCACAGATCGTGCTGATGTTTTAAGGGCGGCGGGGTAGCCTTGATGGGAAGCGTTGGTACGTCACGCCGAACAATTTGATTTTTTTACACGTGGGTACAATGCGTGAGGCTCTTTCTAGTGATTTGGTTCATATTGCCTTAAGCGACGATAAACTCTATAATATTATACTGAATTACTCACTGACACTGTTGATCTTCCCCCCAGCTCCCCGGATCTTCCCCTTGCTCTACAAGCTCTGCCGCCCGCTCATCAGTGAGGAAATGAAGAACAAGATCCATGTACTTGGAGGTGGGTAGACTAACACCTAGTCTCTAAAATGAACATATCTTACTGAAAAGAACAGTTGTAAAATCATCTTAATAAAAATATAATAAAAACGACCCCAGAGACTTTATTTTCAGTATATATTTTCTGCACTAATCTAGACTTGCCCCCTCAGATAGACTTGCATGGGCTTTATTGGCTATATTTGTTTCAGGGTCTGTATGACAGACTAGGAAGTGGGTGCCCATACTCGGCCCTCTGAGTCGCGGCTCATCGCGCAGTGTCATAGATATACTACTCAAAAGAAGTTAAAGTACACCCTTGCCATGACATATTGACAAAAGTAATATGAACAAAATCGGGTGTTCTCTTACTTATTTTGAGGAGTATATCACAAATCTATATTAACGCTGTTACGTTGTTGAGTATACACATGCTAATATACTCTCTTCCAGGGGACTTCTCGGGAGCGTTGTTGGAACACATCGACGCTGATCAACTTCCGGTCTTCCTTGGTGGAGCTATGAAAGGCAAAGATGGCGACCCTTATTGTTCAGAGCTGGTAGGCAAAGTGCTGAGTTTTGAGAGGCTTCCAACCCCCTTTTGGTAGGCGAGAATTGGGGAGTTATCCAGAAGGTTCCAGACCCATTGTGGTAGGCCGGACGCAATTAAAATCGTATTTGGTACACAGATTCAACATCGAAAATTAACTAATGGTGTGCGTAATTTTTTTAATTTTTTTTTAAATTTCGATATTATTTCAGTTAGTTAAAACTACCCTTTTCTTAATGTTTTTGAGAATTGTTTTATGTAGTATTCAGGATTCAGGGGTGAACAATGAGACAAAGAGTGAAAAATGTTGAATTTAGTACCTTATCCCTGTCCCGTAATGTATAGCGAGTGAGTGAATGAGTGAGGTTTTACCCCGCTTTAAGCAATATTCCAGCAATATCACGGCGGCGGACACCAGAAATGGGCTTCACACATTGTACCCATGTCGGGAATCGAATCCGTGTCTTCGGCGTGACGAGCGAACGCTTTAACCACTAGGCTACCCGACCGCCCCTCCAGTAATGTATAAATAATGATGGTTGGTTTGTCAGCATTTTGTTGCTGGGCTCAGAGACCATGGTCTCTGGTGGGTTTTACCAAGTCGGTATACGTCTACGGCGTGACAAAGGGCGTTGGGGTATTCTTAGTGGTTAAGGGGGGCACGGGTGGCCTAGTCGTCTAAGGCACCGCGATTCGCTATGCAGAGTTGCGTCCCTTGGGCACGCCAGAAATCTATGATTGTGGGTTCGAATCCTGATTCGCCCCGATTATGTTTCTAGGTTTGTCAGCACCATACCCGTGCTCGTGGGTTTCACCGAAGTGGTAAACGTCTAAGACCTGCATCACTTCGGGCTTTCCTCCCACATTAAGCTGACACGCCGCGATATAACTGGAATATTGTTAAAAGCGGCGTTAAAACCCAACTCACTCACTCACACTTAGTGGTTAAAGCATTCGCTCGGATATTCGAAGGTTCGTCTTTGATTCCCCACAATATACAATGTGTGGAGCTTGCGAATGATGTCCATCGTCGTGATATTACTGGAGTATTGCAGAAAGCGGCGTAAACATATTATCACTCCCTTAGTCTGCGACCTGTGGTGTCCAACATTAAACACGCGACTGACCCACTCACACACTCAAACACTCTTTTTGCCGTAGAAGGCTACTGTACTTGTCGTAAGATGCGACTAACGGGATCGGGTGGTCAGGCTCGCTGACGTGGTTGATGCATGTCATCGTATCCCATTTGCGTGGATCGATGCTCGTGCTATCATTCACTGGATTGTCTGGTCCAGACTCGATTATTTACAGACCGCTGTCATATAGGTGTAATATTGTTTAGTGCGGCGTTAAACAACGAATAAACAATCACTCACTCACTCTGTGACTGCAGATCCCTGCGGGCGGTGATGTCCCGGAGAGCTACTACCTTCAGAGTCTGACCAACACTGACAACATGGAGACCACCACTATTCCTCGAGGAGACAAGATCATCCTGAAGTATGAGGTGGACACGCCAGGCAGCATCCTCAGGTGCGACAAAGACACAATGGACGCACTTGCACGCATGCACGCACCCACGCGCGCGCACACTTACACGCACACTGTTTATACAATGTCAATCAATTCATGGAATGGCGGTATTAGACTGTCTTTTATTAGCAGAGAAATACCATTCTTGATTATCCACGGTATTATATATTCATTTTGGAGATTTGAGGTTGTCCTCCTGTAGTGAGTGAGTATGGTTTTACGCCGCTTTTAGCAATATTCCAGCAATATCACGACGGGGGACACCAGAAATGGGCTTCACACATTGTACCCATGTCGGGAATCGAACCCGGGTCTTCGGCGTGACGAGCGAACGCTTTAACCACTAAGCTACCCGACCGCCCCCGTCCTCCTGTAGATTCGATATCTCTTATTTGGAACCGAACGCTTTAGCTTTAAAATTTGTTCTGACATCGAACGTATGCAGGTCTAGGCTAATGGGTTGTCGGTAATCGATGCGTAGTCTGTCGATAGATCGATATTTTCATACTCAAGGTTTTCCGTGTGATTTTGAGGTATCAATAAAATTAGATGTCTGATTTTGACCAATCAAAATCAAGCCTTCTTCAGCGTCATGGTAGATTGTCTCATGATGTAAGTACCCTGGATTCAGACGTTACCGTACCTCCATCTCTCATTTCGCACACTTAGCAGATCATTCCTAGAGCTCAAGAGAGTGTTACGATTGGACGGCTATCTTTAGCGTCAAACCATCGGGTTTAACACGAAGATGTCGTGGCGAAACCCATCTTCTCGAGGCAAGGGCGTTAACTGAATGTAAAAGTACAGTTTCCACCCTTGCCGAACTCGGCTGGAATCCCGGAGCTACATTTTGACTGAACTTATGAGTCTATGCATAGTCAAATCAAAATCGCGAAACGAAATAGACAATCATCCGGTTCGTAAACAACATGGATTTCAACGTGCAGATTTCGGTCGATTTGCAAAGCATGTGTACCGTCAAGTGGGCGTCGACAGATATTTGCCAAATCTTTTCACGTTTTTAATCAAGGTGTTCAAGTGATTTGATGCACTTCGCGAGGCCCGTTTTATTACAATATGGATATTGAATATCGATCAGATCGTCTTGACTGGGCGCCGCCGCCAAATGCAAATGATATGAGAGGTGGAATCTGATTGGTCAATAGGTGGGCCATAGAAGGGCCATAACTCGTAATAGCCACCGGTGACGCTACGGTCGAATCACGAAATTCCAGCCTAGTTCAGCAAGGGTGGAAACTGGACTTTCATAATCAGTTAACGCCCTTGCCGCGGGAAGATGCTGAAAGCCTACAACAAGGTAAAAACAGATTGGGCAACAATGTATTTAATGTCTACGCCAGATTTTTCATGTAAACATGTAAATAGTTAAGTTTGCAGTCAATCTTTGCTTGTACAGCATTGTTTGGCTACAACCAGGAAGAGTTTCACCACCTCTTTTTCCTTGAGTATTTGTTTATATCAAACATCACAAGAAAAATAATAGTGCCACGCCAATGTATCTCACCGGTTTATGTATAGCCAATGTTGCTGTCAACATTGATATCCAAATATTTTGTGCGGTGCTTAACTCCAATATGAAAATCCTATTAATTTAAACGCCATGTGATGTCATCGTAAGACGTAGCATACATGCCATACATTCAAATTCCGATCTCTCAGCCTCTTCATCGGAGGAGAGTTTACAGAGCCAACTAGGCATTTTCAGAGAATTAAAAATCATTATCAAAATGCAAACGAAACAAATACCAATTTCACTACATTAAAATTGGCTGAGAAACGACCAAAGACATGTCCGCTAACAGAATGGTTTTAGTGCCAAATTCCTTTATATGTTTAACAAACAATGACTTAGTAAACACCATATGTGGCTTTTTCAATGTGGTTACTGTGGCGGCCAAATTGAAAATCGGATTCGAACTTCTTGAGTGAGTGAGTGAGTTGTGTTTAACGCCGCTTTTAACATTATATCAGTTATATCACGACGTGTCAGCTTAATGTGGGAGGAAAGCCCGGAGTGATGCAGGTCTCAGACGTTTACCACTTCGGTGAAACCCACGAGCACGGGTATGGTGCTGACAAACCTAGAAACATAATTGGGGCGAACCGGGATTCGAAGCCACATTCATAGGGTTCTGGCGTGTCAATGGGACGCAACTCTGCACAGCGAATCGCGGTACCTTAGACGACTGGGCCAACCGTGCCCCCTGGAACTTCTTGAACAAATTGAGGTGTTATCATTGCTGGGAACAAGCCTGTTAAGTTTCAGCTTCATTGGAATCGTGGCTTCCGTGAAGATGTTAACGACAGACAAGCACACCACTTACTTTTAGTCAGGTGAGCTAAAAACTGAATGTGTTATTAGAGGATTAATTTACTTTCGTGATTTTATGTCTGCCAGGTGGGAATTTAAAACGGAAGGATTCGACATCAGTTTTGGAGTATTCCTGCTGAGAGAGGGTGCAAAGATACCCATCCTGCCTCTAGAACGCGTCAACAGTCACATGGTACCAGAGGATGGCAGCTGCACGTGCGAGGAGGCGGGAACATGTAGGTTGACCTTCACCTTGCCTGTGTCTGATAACATTCAAAACTAACAAAATTCATTGTTTTCTATTCAATTGTTTTAAACCGGTTATCAAACGGATGTTGGCTTTATTTTAAACAAATCATCATCAGAGTTACATATATAATCAACAGACTATCTGTCACGTATAACAGGAGACCTTTGATTTTATTTGTCAAATGACATTTCATCACTCAACCTGACAAAGTTGATGTGTCATGAGTGACGTAGCCACGAGTTAAAATGTCAACATTTTCAGTTCACAAAATGAGATAAACATGTTATTTTAAGAAAAAAAATTTGTCCTATTTATTATCTATTCAGTCCGAACAACAAACGAGTGTCAATAAAGCATACTGAAAGAAGTTCCGGCACAAAGTTTTATTTCACCACGAAATACCATTTTAATGTTTTCACATTAATAGTATTTAATCACCTAACACCTCATCATAATACAATTACCTGCACGTTCTGATTAAGCACGTCTGATCCTTGGTCATGTATGCCACAACTGGACGACACTGTTAACCCTTTACCTCCAACTAACCTCTGTTGTGTTAACCCTTCCACTTCAGACACTCTGCGATTTGATAACAAATACAGCCTCTTCCGACAAAAGACCCTGCATTATTGCATAGAGCAGATTCCTGCATCAATGGTGGTGGAGGACAGCACCTAGCAGTAGGTCCTACAGTGACGCCTGCATCTCTTCATTGCATCTGTTGTCAGCGTCAAGCGTATGCCTCTGATGTCTTCATCTAGTCATTGCCTCTGTTGTCAGCACCAGGCATTTTCCTCTGTTGTCTGCTCAAGTCTCTGTTGTCCACGTCAAGTTTCTGTTGTCCGCGTCAAGTTTCTATTGTCCGCGTCAAGTTTCTGTTGTCCGCGTCAAGTCTCTGTTGTCCGCGTCAAGTCTCTGTTCTCCGCGTCAAGTCTCTGTTGTCCGCGCCAAGTCTCTGTTGTCCGCGCCAAGTCTCTGTTGTCCGCGTCAAATCCGTGTCAAGTCTCTGTTGTCCGCGTCAAGTCTCTGTTGTCCGCGTCAAGTCTCTATTGTCCGCGTCATGTATCTGCCTCTGATGTTCGCTTCGCGCTACTGCATCTGTGTCCGCGTTGGGTCTCTATCTCTGTTGTCGGCGTCATGTCATTTCCTCTCTTGCCTGCTTCATGTCATCGTCTGGTATATCTTCTTCAACATGTTCACCTGTCTGTATCGCACATGCGTGTATTTGGGCGATTCATCATACACCATAATTATAGGTTTCATCTAGCTGCGCATGTTTCAAACATACAGACGTCTCCTCCAGAATACAATCCTAAAGTGGATGTACTTATACGTGTATACTGCAAGCCTTGTGTTATGTTCAAGCGTTTATTCTGGACAAGAGGTTCCTTTGCGTTGCGGGGTTATTATAGTATTTTGGCAAAAAGTAGCCTTGTTTACGTCCTATCTCTGTAATTGGAGTCATTTTGTGGTAAACGTTATTTAGATATTTGTGTCGTCTGCCACATACACGTTTTGCTCACGCTGTTTGGTTCGTGGCCACGCCAGTGTCGGGGATGTCCGAGAGTTGAAACTTAGTCATTTGCATTGGCAAATCGACATCAGATTTATTTCTACCTACAAAGTCAATGTATGGTTTTACCAGTACACAACCTTAATTTGTCAGAACATGCACCACGTCTTGTTTCTTTTCTATGTTGCTCTTTGAAGCTCGGGGTGGTGGAGTAGTCTTGTGGTTAAAGCGTTGGCTCGACAAGCCAAAGAACCGGGTTCGATTCCCCACATGGGTAAAATGTGTGAAGCCGATTTCTGGTTTCACGCCGTGATATTGCTGAAATATTATTAATAACGGCGTTAAACGTACACGCTCACTCTTTGAAGATCATATTGCGTAGTCAAACTAATAACAAAAATTGAGGTAATATTTCGCGGAAGATGTGTATCTTACCTGTGTCACAAAATATAATGGAATTAACATGGAGTTCTGCTAACACCTTAAAACTAAACAAATTTAATCTCTAGACTGGAAGTCCGTGTCAACGAGAATTCCCTGTAAGGCTCTTCCCCATTCTCTCGTCACGCCGAAGACCCGGGTTCGATTCCCAACATGGGTACAATGTGTGAAGCCAATTTCTGGTGTCCCCTACGTGAAAATGCTAAAATATTCCCCAAAGCGGCTTCTAACCATACTCACTCACTCCCTATCTCTCTTCCAGACGAACTGTGTTTCGACAACTCGTTCAGCTGGGCGCGAGGCAAGAAGATTCAGTACAGCGTGGAGATAGTGGCAGCAGACGATAACATTGAGACGGAGATTGACCATATGATCGTGGGAGATGGGAGTTGGAGAGACCTCGTCATCACTGACACGACTGTCACCACCCGGATGTAGGGGTGGGAGACAGCGGATATTTTGAATGGGAGGGGGGGGGGGGGGGTGTGTGGGTGGGGGAGAATGATTGTTAGCTTTCACTGGCATCACGCGGATGTCTGTGAGGTTGGGTGAGAGAAGCATTGGGAGGGGAGGGGGTGGGGGTGGGGGCTGGGGGGAGGGGATGGGGGCAATGTCGTCATCACTGATACAACGCGGAGGTATATGGGGCGGGACAAGGTTTTGTCGGAGGGGTGGGGCAATCCCATCATCACTGATACAACGTGGAAGAATATGGGTTGGGCGGAGGGTGGAGCAATCAGTGATACAACGCGGGGGTATATGGGGTGGGACAATGTTTGGGCGGAGGGGAGGCAATCTAACCATCAGTGATACAACGCGGAGGTATATGGGGTGGGACAATGTTTGGCCAGAGGGGAGGGTGAGGCAATCTCACCATCGGTGATACAACGCGGGGGTATATGGGGTCGGACAATGTTTGGCCGGAGGTGAGGCAATCTCACCATCAGTGATACAACGCGGGGGTATATCGGGTGGGACAATGTTTGGCCGGAGGTGAGGCAATCTCACCATCAGTGATACAACGTGGGGGTATATGTGTTGTGAGTTTGGGAAGTGAAGGCATCAACAAGTCGCCACACTGATCCCAACATGAGTACATTGTGTCAAGCATATATGCTTTATGTCTTATTAGTACTGATAAAAACGCCACAATGCCATTCTCCCTCGCTTAAGTGTTTCAATATGACTGAAATGAATGAAAACATTATTCAGTATGTATACACACTAATCGACGTTTAAACATCCGGCATAAATCATTACCTTGATGTTATGTAACGCTTATAGTAGTTTATTCATGTTTAGGGCGTTGCTAGTATAACACCATGTGTTTGTATGGATGTTTTATTTATTCATTATCCTTTCACGATGAGCTTCTTGTATTCCAAGAATGATTTGTTGTTGTTGTTTAACGCCGTACTCAGCAATATTCCAGCTATATGACAGCGGTAGATAATCGAGTCTGGACAAGACAATCCAGTGATTGATATGTGAACAACGATCAACGCCGTTGGGATACGATGACACGCCATCAATCCTGACAACCCGATCAATTTGGTCGCCTCTTACGACCAGCATGGGTTGCTGGGGACCTGGCCGAGAGACGCGATGGGGTCCTACAGTCGCGGTCCTCGGCTACTGGGGACCTATTATTAGCCGGCATCACCACGGGTCCAAGTTATTATGGTTGAGTGTCCGAATGTACATTACCTGTGAAAGTGTGCTCATGTTGTATTTATCATGTATTTTATTGGGAATGAATACTCAGGCGTCAGTGCCTCGACAACAGACAATCTCATTAAAATCATTTCACTTTCTCTCCCATACGATCCCTTTCTGCTTCACGATCTGAGGACACCTCTACAATCGGCCAACCTCGCCCCTTTCCGTAACGGAAATGGCCGAGCTTTTTCAGATTGGACACATTTACAGAAGGTCGCGTCTGGTGAACCCTGAACCACCAAAACGAAAGGAAAGATGCGTGGGTGGTAGAGCCAATCAAATGTCAGCATTATAAAACAATTCGGTTTCATTTCTTTTCTCCCTAGGAAGTGTCCATCACTGACTAGGAAAACTAGGAGCGTCCGCCCGGAGAGCGGAAGTACCGGGGTTCGATCCCCGGCCGCGTCATACCAAAAGACGTTAAAAGATGGTACTTGTTGTTACCCTGTCTGGCGCTCGGCATTAAGGGCTAAAACAAGGACTGGTCGGCTCGGAGTCAGTATACTGTGTCTGAGTGGGGTATTCATGTTAAACTGCGGCATGGTATCTCAGTGAGCTAGCACTATAAATGGGCATCAGTCCGGACTAGTACAAGCAGCCACACAAACACACACACACCTGCGTGCACGTCGCTATACAAGTGCAATAATCTTGGACGCGACGTTAACCCCAATTTCACCTCACCTATTAGCGGGGATTTTTTTTCGCATTCGGATTTCCTCGGTTATGTTCCATTATGCTTGTGTGAATGCTTCGCTCACTCGTACCGAGAATACGTCTCGACACCGATTGGCAGTTTAAAAACGGAGATGTCCTCAGATCTTTCACAGACACGTATCGTATCGGAGTAAAGATCTCTTTTAATAGGATTGGACAACAAACATAACTTTTGTAAATTGTTAAGAAAATAAAAATGCCTGTGATATGGTACTTGGTATTGTTGTGTTTTACATTACAAAGCATTTTCGTTTTATCTGGCCGCTGTTACTTTTTTGTATATCCTGATAGATAAAGGCTTCGTTTTTGCGCTCATTGTTCCAAAGATATTTTACAACCTATGTTGTATGTAACGCCAAGAACTCGTTAATTTATTTTGTCTTAGGAATGAGCATATACCCTTAAATTGGCATGTAAATAATATTGCTCTATGTTTTACTTATGTTTTTTTTACATATAAATTTCGGCTTGTATATTTTGTCCCAAGAGCTTTTTTAAGGTCATTTAACCTCAAACATACACTGACACCTTTTTTATTTTGCCTATATTGTCTTTGCATAATGATGAATAATATAATATCCGCAGATACAAGTCTTGAGAGGATGTGCCATACACGACAAAGACGCCCTGCTCACAGAGACTGGTTTCCGGCTGTCTGTGAGTTGCGGCATCTATGCGTTGTGTTGTGATCGATCAAGAGTAGTTGGCCATGCATAAACTTGAAATGATTGCCTGTGTGGCGGCCATACAATTACCGAAGCATGTGGCAGGATTTGACTTCGGACCTCCTCACAGATGGGACATCTTGTCCACTTGAACTGAAAGGTTAACCAGGCAGCCACGGCAAGGAAAACTTATCAGCTGCAGGGTGACGCCTGTAGCGACCAGAAGTGGGATACGACCAGAAATGGCATAAACACCATCGAGAATCATATGTGTCGCGTGTAACTATGTATTTAATTAACAAAAGTTAATAAGAGCAAAATCATCTCCACTTCATAAGTTTTTAATTTTTTTAACTCTGTCTTGCAAGGGGGCACGGGTGGTCCAGTCGTCCAAGGCGCCGCGATTCGCTGTGCAGAGTTGTGTCCCTTGGGCACGCCAGTAATCTATGATTGTGGGTTCGAATCCCGGTTCGCCCCAATTATGTTTCTAGGTTTGTCAGCACCATATCCGTCCTCGTGGGTTTCACCGAAGTGGTAAACGTCTGAGACCTGCATCACTTCGGGCTTTCCTCACACATTAAGCTGACACGCCGCGATATAACTGGAAAACTGTTAAAAGCTGCGTTAAACCCAACTCACTCACTCACTGTCTTGCAATGTGCGCCAATGGCAGTGCAACTGACTCGATGTCACTACACCTTATCTAAATATAGCAGCGTATAAAAAGAGGTAAAGCGGAACTGAAGCGGAATACAATTTTTTTTCTTTCTTTTTATTCACGTCGCCAATGAATAAGTGCAAATTCGTATACAAATTGTCGTGTTGCTTATATTTATATATGTAAATACTAACAATTGCCATGTGTACTTCTAACCACGATATCACTCCCAAATGTATCATTTGATTGTCTATCATAACATAACCTAAACTTTGACTATCTACTTCGTGAGGTGGTGACATGTTTAATAGCAGAGTACTTTTTCTCTTAAATAGCTATTTTGGCCACTTCCGGACACAGTGTTTTTCTTTAAAATAGCAAAAGCCAAAGGAAATACAATTATTCTCAAATTTATATATTTTAAAGATGTTATGCCCTTGCTGTGTATAAAAGTGTAGTAATTCAAGTTTTGTATGGTGGGTATAAAAACTCCTCTGATGGTTGTGTTATGCTATTTTTCAAGAGTTGTAAGAGTTGGACATACTTCTTCTGATACACAGGTGAGGTGAGGTGAAATGGGGTTTAAAGTCGCGTCCAAGATTATTGCACTTATATAGCGACGTGCATGTACGTGTGTGTGTTTGTGTGGCTGCTTGTACTAGTCCGGACTGATGCCGATTTATAGTGCTAGCTCACTGAGATACCATGCCGCAGTTTAACATGAATACCCCACTCTGACACAGTATACTGACTCCGAGCCGACCAGTCCTTGTTTTAGCCCCTTAATGCCGAGCACCAGACAGGATAACAACGAGTACCATCTTTTAACGTCTTTTGGTATGACGCGGCCGGGGATCGAACCCCGGACCTTCCGCTCTCCGTTAAACCCAACTCACTCACTCACTGTCTTGCAATGTGCGCCAATGGCAGTGCAACTGACTCGATGTCACTACACCTTATCTAAATATAGCAGCGTATAAAAAGAGGTAAAGCGGAACTGAAGCGGAATACAATTTTTTTTCTTTCTTTTTATTCACGTCGCCAATGAATAAGTGCAAATTCGTATACAAATTGTCGTGTTGCTTATATTTATATATGTAAATACTAACAATTGCCATGTGTACTTCTAACCACGATATCACTCCCAAATGTATCATTTGATTGTCTATCATAACATAACCTAAACTTTGACTATCTACTTCGTGAGGTGGTGACATGTTTAATAGCAGAGTACTTTTTCTCTTAAATAGCTATTTTGGCCACTTCCGGACACAGTGTTTTTCTTTAAAATAGCAAAAGCCAAAGGAAATACAATTATTCTCAAATTTATATATTTTAAAGATGTTATGCCCTTGCTGTGTATAAAAGTGTAGTAATTCAAGTTTTGTATGGTGGGTATAAAAACTCCTCTGATGGTTGTGTTATGCTATTTTTCAAGAGTTGTAAGAGTTGGACATACTTCTTCTGATACACAGGTGAGGTGAGGTGAAATGGGGTTTAAAGTCGCGTCCAAGATTATTGCACTTATATAGCGACGTGCATGTACGTGTGTGTGTTTGTGTGGCTGCTTGTACTAGTCCGGACTGATGCCGATTTATAGTGCTAGCTCACTGAGATACCATGCCGCAGTTTAACATGAATACCCCACTCTGACACAGTATACTGACTCCGAGCCGACCAGTCCTTGTTTTAGCCCCTTAATGCCGAGCACCAGACAGGATAACAACGAGTACCATCTTTTAACGTCTTTTGGTATGACGCGGCCGGGGATCGAACCCCGGACCTTCCGCTCTCCGGGCGAACGCTCTACCACAAGACCACGGAGGCGGCGTATTCGAACAGAGGATGTTTTATTGAGAAACAGGCAAAATAATAACTTGAAAAGGAATTGTGAAGTTCATTTCAATTTACTTATTAATACCATATCGTTTTCGAAAAGGAAACAAGAATAACTCTTGATCTGTTCTGTCTGGTTGAATGTCTGCAGTATTGATATTTGAAAGAGTCCTTCCCATATGACATTTTCTGCACGATTTGTTTTTAATTATGAACTTTATCATCTGAGTAGTATACAGCTGTGTCGTAGCATTTTAAGTGTGGGATTGCCATTCCTGCTATTCCATTATTCCATTCTAAATCTGGCGTTGGAATATCGAGCCGCAATTCTATGAGAACAAGCATGGCGCATCTGTTAGTCCAGGGCCCACTTGCACAAAGCGATCTTAGCGTTACAACTATCGTAGGGGTATGTTAAAGTATGGCAGTTACGATCATCTTAGCGCTAAGATCGTTTTGTGCAAGTGGGCCAGGTATGGTTGTGTGTGATGCATTCTGTTCATTGTGTGTGCATGCATCTTCCGTTACTGAAATAATATTTTCACAACACGAAAGTAAGGCTTTGAAAATTTATTATATTTACAATGTCATTCTGTCAAAAGCATAATGGTTAAAGGAATAATAACGGTCATGTGACAAGTAGCATGACCAAGCATCTTGTCAACATGACGTTTAAAACAAGCAATGGGGGTTATTAAAATATTATTAAAAATCTAAATATACAGAGGCAGTTGACGTAAACACATCGATTAGCACCTTGAATAATGTTTCACTGTCCATGACTCCATGATAAATATGATGGAACATGTCAATCATGAGTGAGGGAATAAGGTTTTACGCCGCTTTTTGCAATATTCCAGCAACATCACGGCGGGAGAGACCAGCACTGGGCTTCACGCATTGTACCCACTTGGGGAATCGAACCCGGGTCTCCGGCGTGAGGAGCGAACGCTTTAACCACTAAGCTACCCCACCCGCCCACATGTCGGTCATGACTTCATGAGTGAGTGAGGCAATGATGTTTTACGCCGAAGCCTGCTTTATCGCGACGGCCTGTATATAATCGAGTCTCGACCTGGCAAACAATGGTTGACAGCATGAGCAACAGTGAAACAGTCTGTCGATCCTGGTCACATAATCCTCATTTTGGACAACAATTGCGACGAGCATGTAATGACGGGTACCTCTTGTGGAGACCGCCTCCTTGGTCTAGTGGTAGAGCGTCCGCCCGGAGAGCGGAAGGTCCGGGGTTTTATCCCCGGCCGCGTCATACCAAAAGACGCTAAAAGATGGTACTTGTTATTACCCTGTCTGGCGCTCGGCATAAAGGGGCTAAAACAAGGACTGGTCGGCTCGGAGTCAGTATACTGTGTATGAGTGGGGTATTCATGTTAAACTGCGGCATGTTATCTCATTGAGCTAGCACTATAAATCGGCATTGGTCCGGACTAGTACAAGCAGCCACACAAACACACACACGTACATGCACGACCCGTGAAGATTCCGGGGTAGAATAGGTCTTCAGCAACCCATGCTTGCCGTAAAAGGTGACTATGTTTGTCGTAAAAGGCGACTAACGGGATCGGGTGGTCAGGCTCGCTGACTTGGTTGATGCATGTCATCGATCCCAATTGGGTGGATCGATGCTCATGATATCAATCACTGGATTGTCTGGTCCAGACTCAAGTATTTACAGACCGCCGTCATATAGCTGGAATATTGCTGATTGCGGCGTTAAACAACAAACCAACCAACCAACCAACGTACATGCACGTCGCTATATAAGTGCAATAATCTTGGACGCGACCTTAAACCCCATTTCACCTCACCTCACCACCTCTTGTGGGACAGGATATATGCTCACCGAAACAGGAACACCTTGATCACAATTTGATAGTGACACATAGACACATATGCTCATCATGTTGTTTGAATCATACAAAAGACTGCTTTTAGAAGAGGTGTCCTACGATTTTGGAAACTGATAAGTCATTTCATTTACAAATTAACGCTGCTATGATAATGCTCAGCAGTATGGAAACACACACGAATGTTGTATATTTCTTACCACCGATCTTCAAGATATTAAATATTTCGGGCCAAGTGATGTGAGTGTAACGATTTTCAAGAAAAACATAGTAAAACGGACATGACCATATTGGGGACGTACGTAATATCTCTCATAACTTTCTAAACCAGGTCATGTATGTGGAAATGGAATCAGCCAATATATGAATGTTGTTTTACGTCAGTCTTTTTATATGAATATGAAAGCATTGTATACACACAAGCACCTACACCAAAGCATCAGATATTTTCACGAACCTAATAATTGGCACAAATCGTACATTTTGTATTCGAAATAATGTCAAATAGAATCGTAAACAACATTCAGTCAGTATTCAAATGAAAGTATTCCTTCACATGCTAAACTAAAAATCAGTCCTGAAGTAAAGTCAAGTCTCGTTAATCCGACACTCGTTAATCCGACAGTCGGCTTTATCCGACACAAATGATGGGAACCGATTAAATCAATACTATTTAGACCCGTTTATCCGACAGTCTCGCACTGATCAGCATACTCCGTGGTCATCTGCCCGCGAGTACACAGCCCGTGTTGTGATGCAAGATCATGCAAGTAATTTGTTTCTTGTGCTCGTGAAGATACATGGGCATTGGACACCTTCGTCTTCGATTCTTACTGCAGCGTGTATCTAAAGTCTATCTCACAATCAGACATGTTTTCCTTGTATCTTCTGTCAAATATCTCATTCTGAGCCACGGTGAAATAATTTTTCCAGTCGCCAACTTCACCTGAAAGACGCAGAATCGCATTGAATAATAATGTGTTTGTATAGGAGGTGGGCATAATATATCCCAAATATTTGAGCATTTATTTAACTTGCTCTTGAGCTGTCCTGTTGCAAAATTAAAACAAAATACGAAACTGAAAACATTTTGCTGATCAAACCGCAGAGTTGCACGTCATCACATTCTGGCCCATCAGCTACAACCAGCCACGAAAATGGTAAGTCGGTTCTTAAACTCCCTAAAAAACAAACGCACATGCGCGTTGATGGATTTATGTAATGCATTAAAGAAGAAAAGCAGCTGAATGTTCACATATGACCCACGATACCACAGTTGAGACTAGTCGCTGATGTAGACATGCCAGGGCAAATGTCAAAGGTTAAGGCCATCTACAGAAAGTGCGTATGTGCCAACATTGGGAGTCAAGATATCCAGCCCATGAAAGCAATTAGGGAACAATTCAGACCTTAGGGAATCATGACCCACTCGGCCTGAGGTACCAGTGGCACCCGACTATCCAACTCATCCCATAAATGTTCAAATCTAGGGCAGGACTTGTATGTAGTTAGGTATGCTGTTGTGGATTTTGTTCTATGTCGTGTGGCATTACCGTGCTGGAATGCGGCGTTGGCGTTCTGCATAATTGGAGTGACGTTCTGCAGAATTGGAGTGACGTTCTGCAGAATTGGAGTGACGTGTGACCGCGGTTTTTCATCTGGGCGACTTTGAGCTTCTTAGTTGCCCTGAACGGGCAAGTTGGTCCTGCCTTTGTGCGAGATTTTTGCCCACACCACCACGCTACCTCCACCAAATATTTCGACTTCCTGTATGCAGTTAGGCGGCAAACGTTCACGTCGACGTCTATACACCCGACATTTTCCATCTGCACGACGAAGCGAACAACGTGACTCTTCGCTGAACTAGAGTTCTTCAAAGCAGATAAGCCAATACTCTGTGGACATGACACAACTGACCCGGTAGTCTACGATGTTGCTGCAATAAAATGATACCTCGAACTGACCGTCTGGCTCGAAGACCTACTGGCGCTTCATCACCGTCTGGGCTAAAATCTCGCGCAAACCCGGTTTGGCGGATACTGAAGAGGTTGCCGTGGTGGTCCCTTATCGTAGGTGACGAACCCCGATGTAGCGGTCCTAGGCTATATGGTGGTCACCCGATCTTGGAAAGTCACGCGTTGTCCCTTGTTGTTAACGGTTCCAAAGTCTCGTGGTGGACCTTCGGGAGACATGAACGTCCTGGTCACCGCAGTTGTTTGCAGTTGTGTAATAGACCAGATAAAGAGGACAGTGAAACTAAGACCATGCACTTTTAATAGACCTTGTCTTCATGGTGCAGATCGCACAAGTGGCAAAGGCGAATTCGCATGTTTGTTAACTGCATCTTGCTGCACTAGACAACCAGTTGTCGGACTTTCATTTTTGTGAAAGCATCAGTGGCTGAGTGGGTTAGATCGCTGACTTTGTGTGCTGGCGATTAGGTGCCTCACTCTGGCAAGTGTGGGTACGAATCCCGGACAGAACTCAACTAAAAAAAAAGTAATAGAATCTATACTTTACTAAGAAAGTGTTATCCCAAATATAACATGTGTTACATTTGACCACTTTCTAAATGGCATTGTGTATTCATTGCTGTGTTTTGGCCAGTGTAGGAATGGCGATGTGTTTGGACAACCAAATTACATTCATTATACCTGTATCACTATGCCTAACATTCTGACATATTAATGATTTCATTCATTTTGCGCTTCGTTCGGTATGCATCTTCCCATGGCAAGAGAGTTAAGTGACTGTAAAAGTACAGTTTCCACCCTCGTCGAACTAGGCTGGTATTATGGAGTTACATTTTGGCTGGACTAACGAGTCTATGCATAGTCCAATCAAAATCGCGCAACGAAATCGAAATCCGGTTCGTAAACTGTGCAGATTTCGGTCGATTGCAGTATTGCAAAGCATGTGCACCGTCAACTCGTTCACAACAGATATTTTCCAAATCTTTTCATGTTTGTAATCAAGGTGCTCACGTGATTTGATGCACCTCGCCATGGAACACCCGTTTTATTACAATATAGATCTTGGCTATCGATCAGATCGTCTTGACTGGGCGCCGCCATTTTGTTTGAAGCAAATGCAAGTGATACGAGAGGTTGAATTTGATTGGTCCATAGGGAGAGGCTTAGAAGGGACATAACTCGTAATAGCCACTGGTGGCGCTACGATCGAGCCCAGGAATTCCAGCCTAGTTCAGTTAACTCCCTTGCCTCGAGAAGATGTCTTATAGTGGAAAAGCATCGGCATCATCAAAGCTCTAAGATTGCTTTGGTGAAGAGAGCCCAAGACAGATGAGTGAGTGAGTATAGTTTGACGCCGCTTTTAACAATATTACAGCAATATCACGGCGGGGACACCAGAAATAGGCTTCCCACATTGTACCCATGTCGGGAATCGAACACTGGGTGTTCGGCGTGACGAGCGAACGCTTTAACCACTAGGCTACCCGACCGCCCAAGACAAAAAGGATACCGAGTTCCTAACAGGATGTAACTGTAATCGTACTTGTATATCAATGGGCGACTCCACTTCCATTGACGGGGGCACGCGTGGCCCAGTCGTCTCAGGCGCCGCGATTCGCTGTGCAGAGTTGCGTCCCTTGGGCACGCCAGAAACCGATGATTGTGGGTTCGAATCCCGGTTCGCCCCGATTATGTTTCTAGTTTTGTCAGCACCATACCCGTGCTCGTGGGTTTCACCGAAGCGGTAAACGTCTGAGACCTGCATCGCTTCGGGCTTTCCCCCCCACATTAAGCTGACACGCCTTGGTGTAACTGGAATACTGTTAAAAGCGGTGTTAAAACCAATTCACTCACTCACTTACTTCCCTTGACAACCAGCTGATAGATGGTAGACACACCTCATTCCTTTTTTATCAATAAATACCATTACAGTAGTTAGATGTATAAGTGCTGGCAAGTGTACCTACCTTTTCTGTACATCACAGCTGTTCCGTCAGGTGCTTTAATGAATTTGCCTTTCGATTCCTTCATTTTGTTGAAACTCGTCAACTCTTTTACTTTAAGGTAGAATTCCTCTGATTTCTCAGCATTCAGAAACTTTGCTAACTTTCTAATACCGAAAAGTGGATCCTGAAATAGATGCAATATTGACTGATATCACAATGATAAATTGATATGCCTTTAAGCGCTCTCAATTGTTGTCGGGCTTCCACCGACCAACTCCCCGCACAAGGGGGCATCGCAGACACCACACCACACCAAAATCCGCAGTACATCGTTGCGTCCCTTCATATATTGGCTGACATTATCATAAGTGTAAAGATATATAGGGGATACCCATAACGCGCTCGGCATTGTTGTCTCGCTTCCACCGGCTCCGTCTCTCTATATTACAAATTCTACAGAATATAATTCACGAAACATGCGTCTCTATCCTCGCTCAAGCGGCAGGGTTAACCAGTCGTCTAAGGTGCCGAAATCCGCATTGCAGAGCTGCTTACCTTTGGTCGTGCCAGAAACCTGTTATCGTGGTGAAGCCCATTTCTGGTGTCCCCGCAGTGATATTGCAGTGATATTGATAAAAGCGGCGAAAAACCATACTCACTTCCAGGTTTGTCAGCACCATACCCATGCTGGTGGCATTCACAAAACTGGTAAACGTCGGAGACATGCATCAGTTATCTAAATGCCTTTCAAAGACCCATTTGAAAGACAGTTCCACTTTTGAATGCAATGAACTATCAACGCTGACGACATGGAAAGAAGACTAAATAGTCGTGACCATGGTGGCATCGTGGGTCGCCTTCAAGAGAGTTCAATAGAGTTAAACATTGCGAGAAATCACGTCCTGTCACCTGCTTTACATATTTAGTCAACAACATAATGTGTTTTTTTCAGCGTTTGGACACCAGGAGTTGTCATTATAATAATAAGCCATGTGGGATTATTAACATGAAGTGCTGATCAGTTATTACACGGGACATCGTATTAATGTAGAGTAAAAATAATACTAGTATTCAGCTAGTCTGGAAGTTAATTTAAGGTACCGACGTTTACTACAAATCTGAAAAACTATTGGACCTACTCCAGTCAAAGTTGGTATGAGATTATTAAACAGTCATACATAACTGGATATTACATTTAAAGACAATCGGTGCATGAATAAAAAATCTGTCTATTTAGCTATCACTATATTTCATCAACAACCAGACCTGTTCGTCACGGGTGGAACGAGCATTCATTGTAACAGCCATCTGCATAATGCTACCCCTGCGTCACAGGGCCATATGACACAGTTGAACCAATCAACTCAACTCGAAAGGTTGCACGTTAATCACGCACGCACGAATACGGTGTTAGCTTTGGGCGTCTCAAGCAGTTATTTAATAATATTTATCCAATTATTTTTACATTCTTTTTCAGGTCAGTGTTATTGACTTGAATTCCTTACCACATTATTATATTTCATGCATCATGTTATTTGGTGTAATAACCAGACTATAACTTTGACATTCGCAAATTGTCCGAATATAATAACGCCCGACATATCGCCTGCCTATGAATCAAGTGCAACCATATTAAATGCCTCCCTCTCATTAGTGTAGCGATACGCTAGAATTCTAAGGGTCTTTAACATCCCCTTCATTTGAATAGACACAATGCATTTCCCATTCACCACCACATAAGCCCCGAAAGACCTTTCACAATGCTATACAAATAGAGCACGTGGCGCCGTGCAGTTAACTGTTACCTCTTTTAGATCTTCATACACCAGGGTCAAGGTCGGCAAGTCGGGATGGGTTGTCCCAATGGCAGCCCAGTCCTTCAGGTATGTGAAAAACGACCCGAAGTCAACTGAAAAGTGGAGATTGTAGTATTAGAGGTTTGTGAAACTTCTATTGTTGGTTGAAATTGGGGGGGGGGGGGGGGGGGGGGGGGGCTGACTTGAAAACGAGGCTCGTGGTTATACATGGTAACATGAATGCACAATGATTTCGAGATGAAGTTTTGCGAACAATTGTGGAGCCTTTTATCCAGCAACAACCCCGTGGAATCATTTTCCAGCACAACAATGGACGCCGCATACGACATGGTTGACGCGGAACTTCCTTAACAACGCGAACATTCAGGTTTTAACATGGCCGTCATGCTCGCCGGACATGAACTCCACTGAATATTCATGGGACCACATCGATCGCAAAATCAGAAGTCGCCCAGTGGCTCCGGTCAACCGCCAGCAATTGGAACAATGCATCCTTGCCGAATGGCAACGCACCACCCCAACGTCATCCGACGTTTGACGTCATTGGCCCGTCGACGTGTTCTGGCGTGAATAAATGCTCTAGGTCGACATACCCGATACACTGACACTGTGATGAGTATTCTGACACTTCACACACTTGTGTCATGTGTTATGACTGGGACTTTCATTGTTGACCCATCGTGTCTTTTATGGGACTGTCCGTCTGCATCTTAAAGCTTGGTTGCAATTGATTTTTGTCCACATGGTGTTAAATGATTGCTCTAATGAAATATACCCATATGTATTTTCTATGTGTTTTTGTACTTCGTCCATAACCTTTCAAACACTTAGTATCGTTTCTTTTGGACTTAAGTGTAGCATTAAAAAATCAAAATCTGAGAAAACCATTTTATAAATAACCTTCCTGAAAATACAATTACTTTTTAAACTTATGGTTAACTTCTAAAATGAAGCGTACATGTGTCAATTCCCTGAATGTAATGAGACACAGTTGTAAATAAATGCATTTATTAAAAAAACAAACCTGCATGGTGTCATAACAACCATTATAATATAACAATTTTGATAAATCGTATCACACTGAAATTATACACTGGATATTCGAGGATGTCTACAACTCAATCTGGTTCCGAAATCTCTGGCGAAATCGATCGGTGAAACTATTATTAATTTATATTCCACAAAGAACATATGGAGATCATTCTCTTACGGATTTCGGGACAGAAAAGGTTCCAAGCCCCTATGCTTGACGTGAGGGCAGATTAATGACGAAGATAACTGGCAAGTAAAGTGAACATAATAACTTTGAAGATTTTAAAACTTTCGGTCCCTCACAAATCCTTGACCAAAATTTAAATGGAAAAATGAAAAAAGCTTAAAACAGAGGACAAAAGATCGACAGGCAAAATCGTCCTCCAAACGAAAAGTTCCGGGAAGCCGATGCAGCGCGTCTGAAAGTGTGAGCACTTTCACGTGGACATTCAAATACTTTGTACGAATATTATGAATTTTTATCTCTCGGAAATTGACTTATTTATAAATGTATCTAGGAGAATCGCAACAAAAGCCAATCACTTTTTTTCACTTTACTTGTCCGTTAATATTGTATGTTTGGTTGACTGTGTATTATTGTGACCAGGGTCCAGATGTTCGAAACGACTTAAGATTAATCTTAACAACTTACGTTACAGTCTACAATTTCCTTACGATAGCTTTAAGACAGTCTTAGGGCTAAGATCGTTTCCAAAATCTAGGCCCAGACAGCGTGTTTGTACCATCAGTCAGCAGTTTGTCTGGAAGTTAGCTGACTGCGGCAAAAAACAACATTCACCCCCTCACTCACTCTAAATAGTTCTAACCTTTCCCATCCAGCATTAAAGGGAAATAATTCTCCCATTTCCCATGATAGTCATAAACATGGGTAAGTTTCCTGTGGTGGTGGAAGTACGACACTGCCATGTCCTTGGGGTTTCGGAGAACGTAGATGATTTTGCACTTCTTCTCAAACACACCACGTGGCAGCTGCTCGACAAGGCAATGCGTGTTTAAAATTCGCGGGGACGGGAACTTCTCTAGGGCGTCATTTTCGGTGAATTCTAGCATCAATTTCTCCTTGTTTATAACAGTCTCTGTGTCGCCTGACAGAAGAAGGCGGACCATTTCCCACACCCAGTGAGTACCTGAAATATCACAACAGAGAGAGAGGGATCAGTTCATATTTCGCAGCGATATGGAGTAGCCTTGTGCTTATGGGGCCTTTACACAGGATGGCGACCTTTGGGCCTCCCGTGTGCGACCATGAAATTTGCCAGGTCGTCGCTGGAGGCTCAACGTAGGCAGAATGGTTGCCCAGGTCGTTCCAAGGTGGTACACGAGAGGTTCAGACATCGCGATGGACGCCATGGTCACCGTGAATTTTTTAACATGTTCAAAAGTCGCCGAGGAGGTTGGTTGCTCAAAGGTGGCTCAAAGGAGGCAGAAGGGAGGCACAAGCATTGCCATGTTGCAGAATGAAGGCACTGTGGTCGCCCAATGGTCGCCAGGTAGAAGATGCGTTCTGCTGCAAATGTATTCCGTTAATCTGGGCGATGCTTCTGCCTCCCTTGTGCCTCCTTTGGGCGACCAACATGGTGCATCGAACGATGACTGATGCGACCGCCGTGCCTCCATTCGGCGACCACGGCGACCCTTGAGACACCATGGTAAGGCTTCTGCCTCTTTTCTGCCTCCTTTGAGCTACCTGTACTGCCTCCCCAGCCTGGCTTTAAATGGAGGGCTTGTACCTGCAGTGTTTCATTGTGGTTGCAGACGCTGAACAACTCGAGCAGTTACTGCTGGCTGGATGATTGTCAATCACTACCCTTGTGTATACATAACAGGCTTCTCTACTCCAGTATAACAATATCTACTCTACTGTATAAACATTGCCTCCTACATTGCCTCCTACTTGTATATATTCTTGTCAACCACACTCTGTATATCACTTGCTTAATAACGGTGTTAGAACCTTCACCGAAACGTCGCTCTTGTAATAAAGAAGTTGTTCATCCATAAATTCTTATCTTTACTTATTTTTACGCCACCGTGATATTGATGGAACATTGCGGAAAACGATGTAAAATCACTCACGCACTCACTCTGAATGTTTATATTTGTGTCCAACACGTGTCATATATTGCAAATAATGCCCAACAGTGGAACTGAGGTCGGCTCAGCTTTCGGAATCGGGGAGGAGTGTGTGAGTATACGCCGCTTTTTGCAATATTCCAGCAATATCACGGCGGGGGAAAACCATAACATGGGCGTCAAACATTGTACCCATGTGGGAATCGAACCAGGAACTTCGGAGTGACGGGCGAACACTATAACCACTAAACTATCCCATCGCCCCTTGCGAGGGAGGGACAATAACACAAAGAAGCCTGGTGTGGGATATGCGACCCGTATAAGTGTCGGGATCTACAGGTCGTGGTTCTGACCCAACCTTCTGGTGTCAGCTCCACTACCCAATGCGCCCGCCTTGGTTTCTCTGGTGGTAAAATGCCTTTGACATGTATTACATCATTATCACATCAAGCCGCTGCAAATGAACTGAAATACTGAAATAGAACCCACTCTCACTAGTGAATACAATTGTTAGGCACATTGGCCAAACACTACTATGATTTTTTTCTGTTTGCTCAGTAAAAAGGCTATAAATTGTTGTGCGAGTCAGTCACGTCATTACTGTAAGACCTATATACTAGCAGTCATACACGTTAAACAATCATCCAGGTTTCACACACAGACACACACAGACACACACACACACACACACACACACACACACACACACACACACACACACACACACACACACACACACACACACACACACACACACACACACACACACGCACGCACACACACACACACACACACACACACACACACAGAAATGCTCAGAAAGAAGACATTTCAACACTCCCAATTGATTGGCGTTTCCTGTCAGAGAAGAAAATTGTTTGTGTTGAAGGACTGAAACCATATTCTGCCTCTTAAAGAAAAACTCAGAAAAAGAGACGCGTTTTCTGGACTGCTTACCACATTTAGGATATGCGCAGACAAAGACGTCATCCTCTCTGATGGTGAGGTCGCGGATTCCTTTGATGACATCAACGGGGAATTCAAGGTATGCGGACTTGGGGTACAGATGACCATCCACTTCCAGGAAAGTGATGTTGTCTCCGCCTGCATCCGGGATCTTTACGGCTGACATCCTCCATTGTCACAAGAGAGGGGGTTATTAATGCACGGTACTGTAGTTTGTCAGAAGTCTAACGATGTCTTATGAAACACTGCATGTAACGTCTCATGAAGAACTGTTTGTATTAGTTATGATCTGGAAGAGAACCCTGCTCAACGGATTTGTACCAGGCAAACCAGTGAGTGGATGTGTCAGCAACATGTCAAGCCACGCCATCGGTTATTATTTTGGTTTATTTGTTTGTTGTTCAAAGCCGCACCCAGTAATATTCCAGCTGTATGACGGCGGTCTGTAAATAATCGAGTCTGGACCAGACTATCCTGTGATTAATATCATGAGCATCGATCCACGCAATTGGGATCGATGACAAGCATCAACCAAGTCAGCGAGTCTGACCATCCGATCCCTTTAGTCGCCTCTTACGACAAGCATAGTGGCCTTTTACGGTTGCTGAAGACCTATTCTACCCCGGAACTTCACGGGTATCCATCGGGTATGGAGGCTCTCACTCGGCCAAGACACAGGGTCACTTGGTCCATTTAGACTTCTCAATCTGAGTAGGACCAGCAATGGGAATTGGTGAATTGTTATATTTCGAGTGACACGTGTCTTTAACGTAAAGTTTAACATAAACTTTAACCATAAATATCCAACCGTTTATTGACAAATGTTTCACAAAACAATTGATTATTGTTGTTTCAAACTCAAAAGGACCTGAGAAGAAATTCGATTTATCGATTGTTCGATACATCCGTTTGTTTGATTTCTTTGTTCTTTAACGCTGCACTAAGCAATATTACAGACATAGTGCCCAAACAGTGAAAAAGAGGTTGCTCAGTTTTCAGTATCGGAAGGGTTGAGTGAAGGCCGCTTTTAGAAATATTCCAGCAATATCACGGCGGAAGGACACCATAACATTCGCAACATAAATAAACGATAGTGTACAGTGGATTACAGTACAAAACAGTTCGGGTTAAACAAGCAATACAGCGTAAGGGTAACTATTAATGATAGGATAAAACAATCCCAATATGTACAGTTTAACATATCAGGGTAATTTTGTACTTGTATTTGACATGACTTCAGAATAAACAACAGCCGATTCAATGCATCACAGATTAAATAACTATTGACATGAGAACCTGCTGTCTTTTAAAAAAATAAAATAGAAGAATTGAGATAAAACTTAAGGATGACATCAGAGTTGCTAGCGTTCGAAGTTTTTTTCAGGTGCAGTGTGTTCAATAAACATTTCAATTCAATTAATCATATAAACATATCTAATAAATTATATCACTACAAATGATTGTCATAACGTTTTTGTTTCTTATGACATAACTACTCACGATTATCAGAATATAAATAAAAAACATTTCGCATATAAACATATCAAATAATCACACATTACATTATACACAAATGGATCAGATGGAACTTTAAATAACGGTACAATAACTAAGACAACACATATAATTCACAATGCCAATGTCAGCTTGAATTAATGCAACAATAATGATAGACGTATTTGTAGATGTAGTACGGTAATGCAGTTTCGCGCATTCCGTAGTTCTTCTAATACGAGTGTTATTAGCTACTTTATGCAGAGCTCGCATACGAGTGTTGTGTATTTAATTATTAACATCAAGTTACAGGTATTTTATCATTTCCTATCAAGAACAAAGCTGACTGATTATTAACTAAGTCCAGCATTACTGCTAGCAATGAATCTACACATATTGACGACATGACATATTTTACCCTACGATGTTGTTGATACTTGTGTTAGGTTTCTTATTTATCAAACGGTTATCAAGATGTTGATCAGAAATAATTAATTTCATATTTTGGTGATGGAAATTACTACAACCTACATAAATGATACCTATAGTGGCATAGTGCGCATTACTTAATGTTGAAAACATTCCTAAAACGTTATAGAAGATTCAAAATACATTAAACAATAACTTAACAATAAACCAACGCGTGTAGTCGAAAATATACAATGTTCAAGAAATCTAAGACAATAATCATGAAATACATTCAACATATATGAAAACAACCATTGCAACAACGCATGAAAATGTCTTACCTTAAAATAGAATAGAAGAATTGAGAATAAATGATGACATCAGAGTTGCTAGCGTTCCAAGATATAGTCAGGTGCAGTGTGACTTGGTAGTCAAAGTGCACCTACTTCTATAGTGGAGGGACGCATAGCAAACTCTGATTGGTTAAGTTTTGAAAACATCATTTTAAATCATAGTCACCATTACTTCCTTTGTTATTTCATGTGTTGATACAATAATCCCATAGGTTACCTAACTGATGTCTACTTTATTGGTCAGCGTGTCAATCTGGAATTGACACGCAGCCGGGAGCTGTAATGCGAACAGGCATCTATTGTCTAAGTTATGTCTCTTGTTACATGGGTGATAGCATTTTACTTAATCAAGGGTACAGGGTACTAATTACTGATGCAACCAGCCATAACGAGTGTTGTTTTAACGGGTCTGCGTTTTGGCAGGTCTACGTTTGGGAAGATACCGTTTTTACAACCTATGTGAGTTATTGCCAAATATGAGATATCCGAGGTTTGACTGTAAGGATACGTAAGTGTATTTGATAAATTTTGAATATTATTTTTATATTTTGAAATGAATTATTAAGCAAGTTTCCGCACTATGACAGAAGGAACCGACTATCAGTTCGGTACATCTGAGCTGTCGTAACAGTGATGTTTTATCAGAGCAACTATTTAGGTTTTGATAAAACTCGTACTGGGTAAAATATATCCTTTAATGAAAAGAAATAATCTAGTACTGCCTTAAGAAGATGCAAATGAACACAGCAAATATATACTAATGGAAATGAATAAGAGGTGTGGGGGTGGGGGGTTGGGGGTGGGGGTGGGGGTGGGGGGGGGGGGGGGGGGGTTAGAATCATAACTGGCTCAATGTTACACGGACCAATATGCACCACAAAGAAAGATTTCTACATGCAATGTTGCACAGGTATCTAGTGCAGGTGATATCTCTAGTCTAACGTATGATTAGGTTTTATGCCTTCCTCTTCCCACTGGGGGCACGGGTGGCCCAGTCGTCTAAGGCGCCGCGATTCGCTGTGCAGAGTTGCGTCCCTTGGGCACGCCAGAAACCTTTGATTGTGGGTTCGAATCCCGGTTCGCCCCGATTATGTTTCTAGGTTTGTCAGCACCATACCCGTGCTCGTTGGTTTCACCGAAGTGGTAAACGTCTGAGACCTGCATCACTTCGGGCTTTCCTCCCACATTAAGCTGACACGCCGCGATATAACTGGAATATTGTTAAAAGCGGCGTTAAACCCAACTCACTCACTCACTCACCCCTCTTCCCACTGACTTGCGAAATTTCGCTCGTGTTAATGAGGTCGAATATGTGTTGGATATGTCAAAAGATGGGACACGTACATAGTTGCCTTTTATCTGAGATCAGTGTAAGATTACATGCCCGGCCCAGCCTGTGAGTTTGTTAAAAAGGATGGTATAGATAGAAGCAGATAGTTATGAAACTTCGTACAGGGGTACCGGTGATCTAACGTTTCGTTCCCTGTGAAAAAATAACAGCCCGGTAAACGTGTCCCGCTGATAAATCTGGCAAGGAACACGATCTGATATTGTTTGTTGATTTGCTGAATGGAGACAACGCTGACAACGTTGATGTCTGTGTTATGGGGACCACGGGGGCCCTGTCGTCAAAGGCGTCGCAATTTGCTGTGCAGAGTTGCGTCCCGTGGGAACACCATCAACCCATCATCGTGGGTTCAAATCCCGGGTTGTCCCTGTTGTGTTTCCAGGCTAGTCCTTAGATTTTCCTAGTCCCAGGAAATCGAAATAATGTAAAATAGAATTGTAAACAAAATTCAGTAAATATTCCAATTAAAATATTCCCTCGCAACAAAGGTGAATTATCAGTTCGGTGTAATTTGTTTCTTGTTCTCATGTCGATACATGGACATCACCCATCTGACACTTTCGTCTTCGTTTCTTACTGCAGCGTGTATCTAAAGTTTATTTCACATTCAACCATGTTTTCCTTGTATCTTCTGTCAAATATCTCATTCTGGGCCACGGTGAAATAATTTTTCCAGTCGCCAACTTCACCTGAAATAACGGACAAAAGGAACCAGAATCTCATTGAATAAATATGTGTTTGTACGGGGGAAATATATACCCTACATAGATGGACATTTATCCAATTGGCTCTTAAAAAACTACGTAAATAAACATTTTTCTCATTAAACCGAAATGTCCACATCTGACACACGCTACTACAGTTGACATTAGTCGCTAATGTATACATGATCTATGTCAAATGTCAAGTGTCAAGACCAAGAAACATACATGCTCAGTTGCAAGTCGTCGTGTCGTGAAGCCATCAGCAATAACCAGCCACGAAAATGGTTAGTTGGATTATACACTCCCTAAAAAAACCTAACGCAAATGCACATGTCTGGATTCATGTCACGCATCAACGGAAAGCAGGTGAATCGTCACATATTACACACGATACCACAGTTGACACTCGTCGCTGACGAGTCATGTTAAAAATCAAAGGTCAAGACATCTCCTGCTCATGAAAGTAATGAGGGTACGATTCGGACCTTGGGGAATGATGGCCCACTCGTGCTGAAGTATCCGCTGTGAAAGAGTCAGTGGATGACGCTGTCGAACCCGTCTGTCCAACTCATCCCATAAATGTCGATGATGTTCAAATCTTGTGTTTGAGAGGCCCAGGGCCCACTCGTGCTGAAGTATCCGCTGTGACAGAGTCTGTGGATGACTCTGTCGAACCCGTCTGTCCAACTCATCCCATAAATGTCGATGATGTTCAAATCTTGTGTTTGAGAGGCCCAGGGCCCACTCTTGCTGAAGTATCCCCTGTGACAGAGTCTGTGGATGACGCTGTCGAACCCATCTGTCCAACGCATCCCATAAATGATGAGATAAATCGATGATGTTCAAATCTTGTGATCGAGAGGTCCAGGGCAGGACTTGAATGTTGTTAGGTATGTCGATGTCGGTTGTGCTGTGTGTGTTCTGGCATCGTGCTGGAAGACGGCGTTGACTTTCTGTATACATAGAGTAACGTGTGGCTGTAGACTTTCGCCTCTACGCTGTTGTTCAGCTAAGTTGCCTTGAACGGGAACCAGATTGTCTTGCCATTGTGCGAGACTGCCGCCCACACCACCACGCTACCTCGATCGATCCTGTATGCAGTTAGGTGCCAAAGCTTCATCTTGAAGTATCCTTCGACATATTCCATCTGCAAAACGGAGGCAACAACATGACAACTACAGTTGTCCATTGCAGGTGAGGCCATAGACACCACTGCCTTCGTAGTCGACGATGTTGGTTCGTCAGAATAACACCTCGAATAAACCTTGGCACGAATACCTGTCTCACGGTTCGTAACCGACTGGGCTGATATGCAACGCAGTGTAGTTGAGGTTGGCGAAGGTGTCGAACGTAGATGTAGCAGTCCTCGGCTGTGAAGGTCACGCGTGGTAAACCGGAACTGGAAAAGTCATGCGTTGTCTCTTGCTGGTAACCGTAACCGTAACGATTCCAAAGTCTCGTAGTTTGGGGGTACATGAAACGCCCTGGCTTTGCCGACCTGCATGCACCCGTTTCTAAACGTTCTGCTTCACCACGGTGCAGTTTATGATTGCTGCTGTGTAATCGCCCAGATAAAGAGGGCAGGTAAACGAAAACACTGCATATTTAATTTATAGACATTTTCTTCATATTTTCGTTGCCGATTGCGCAAGTGGCAATGACGACTTTGCACGTTTGTCAACTGCATATTTTCTTCGCTGCGTCTAGGCCAATGTACCAATGATGATATGATTTGGACCTCAAAATTACATGATATTCCTGTATCGTTTTGCATTTCTCGTTTTTGTTGAGTATTATATCTCCCTAAGGTCACATTGACAGTGGGAACACACGGGCATCGTCAAAGACCCAAGAAGGCTTTGTGGAAGAGGGCCCAGGTCAGAAAAGGTTCCCAACAGGATCTTAGCGTTATCTTTATCGTAAGTATTAGAACAGGAAAAGTACGAATCTCTATCAGTGGGTACTCCACTTCCCTTGACAACCACCTTATCAGTTAAAGTCATTACATTAATGATCCAAGTGGACCATTAATGGCCCAAGTGCTGGCAAATGTACTCACCTTTTCTGTACATAACAGCTGAACCGTCAGATGCTTTATAGAATTTGCCTTTCGCTTCCTTCATTTTGTTGAAACTCGTCAACTCTTTTACTTTACACGTGCTCTCTGTTGATACATGCCATGTTTGAGTCTGACTGTGTGTTGCAACCGTGTTGGTTTGAAATAGGACAATGTTTGTTTCCAACCCTTTAATTTTCTAAAGAGTGTATTGTGCCATTCTATGCAATCCGAAATAAGTCTTTGACGGAATACTGTATTAATCTACAACTCTGGGAACAATAAAAACGTTTATAAAAAAAACAAAAATACTCTTTTACTTTAAGGTAGAATTCCTCTGATTTCTCAGCATTCAGATACTTGGCTAACTTTCTTATACCGGAAAGTGGATCCTAAAATAGATGAAATAAAGGATGACATTAAGACAATAATAAATAGATATATTCACCCCCCCAAAAAAACACTCTTGTTGTATATTTCATGAAACATCCCCGGTCAATGGCGCACGTGTGACCAATTCGTCAAAGGCGCCGAACTCTGCAGTGAAGGAATGCGCCCCTTTGGCCTCCCCAGAAACTCATCTTCGTTGGTTCGAATCCACATGACACATAATACAATACAATTAATACAAGTTAATCAATTAATGTGTGGACATTCGAAGTTGTCATTATAATTAGTAGCCAAGTGGAATGATAAGCATGAAGTGCTGATCCAACGACAGGCGTGTTTTCGGGACAGTTCTTGCACGGGAGATTATATAAATAAAGGGCAAAAATGACACTGAGCTTACTTTGACATTCGCAGGTTTGTCGACTTAGCACCGGTCTACGAAGCAAATGCAACCATCTAAAACGTCTCCCTCTCATTATTGTACCGAAACACGTGATGTCCAATGCGAACAGACCCAATGCATATCTTTTACACCACCACACACGCCCCAACAGACATTGCACAATGCAATAACAAATAGAGCATCATTGAAGTGAACTGTTACCTCTTTTAGATCTTCATACACTACTAGGGGCCTAGTGGTTAAAGCGTTGGCTCGTCACGCCGAAGACCCGGGTTCGATTCCCGACATGGGTACAATGTGTGAAGCCCATTTCTGGTGTCCCCCGCCGTGATATTGCTGGAATATTGCTAAAAGCGGCGTAAAACCATACTCACTCACTCACTCTTCATACACTAGGGTCAAGGTCGGCAACTCGGGATGGGTTGTCCCAATGGCAGCCCAGTCCTTCAGGTATGTGAAAAAGGCCCGAAGTCAACTGAATTGTAAGGAGATACAGTGGTAATACATTTACTAAAGAACATTTTTGGTGTCATACTAGCCATTAAAATATCGCTAATTTGACAAATCAAATCAGTCACCGAAATTCTACACAGGATACTCGAGGAAATCTACGGCGCAACTCACTGTGTTTCCAGGGGCGGTCGGGTAGCCTAGTGGTTAAAGCGTTCGCTCGTCGCGCCGAAGACCCGGGTTCGATTCCCGACATGGGTACAATGTGTGAAGCCCATTTCTGGTTTCCTCCGCCGTGATATTGCTGGAATATTGCTAAAAGAGGCGTAAAACCATACTGACTCACTCACATTGTTTCCCGAAGCATCGATCTGCGAAACTATTATTATATATGGGTCATCCCATTAAGGATTTCGGGGGGCCTAGTGGTTAAAGCGTTGGATCGTCACGCCGAAGACTCGGGTTCGTTTCCCGACATTGGTACAATATGTGAAGCCCATTCTGGGGTCCGCCCGCCCATTGCTGGAATAATGCTAAAAGCGGCGTAAAACCAGACTCACTCACTCACTTAAGGATTTCGGACAGACAAGGGCGATTCAGGACGATGTTGATGTTACATTGTATGCTTGGTTGTCTGAGTTATTGTGGTCTGTGTGATCCTACAAAGGTACAATACCTGTCAAATAACTCTGACAAAGCTCATTTGTGTTGGGGATTGAAAAAGAAGGGGGTTTTTTCAAATGACGTCACGGGGATTCTTACGATATCTTAGGGCTACGATAGTTTCGAAAATATGCTTCAGCAGTCTACGATTTCCTTACGTTAGCTTTAGCATAATGTTAGGCTGAAATCGTTTCGAAAATCTGGCCCCGTACCATCAGTCAGTAATTTGTCTGTCTGGAGAGGAGATGACTGCGGCATAAACCAACATTCACGTACTCACTCACTCTTAATAGTTCTAACCTTTCCCATCCAGCAGTAAAGGGAAATAATTTTCCCATTTCCCATGATAGTCATAAACATGGGTAAGTTTCTTGTGGTGGTGGAAGTACGACACTGCCATGTCCTTGGGGTTTCGAAGAATGTAGATGATTTTGCACTTCTTCTCAAACACACCACGTGGCAGCTGCTCGACAAGGCAATGCGTGTTTAAAATGCGCGGGGACGGGGACTTCTCTAGGACGTCATTTCCGGAGGCCTCTAACATAATTTTTTCCTTATTAACAACAGCCTCTGTGTCGCTCGACAGGAGAAGTCGGGCCATTTCCCACACCCAGTGAGTGCCTGGAATATCACAACAGAGAGAGATCAGTTGATATTTTGAAGGGAGGAGTAGTAGCCAAGTGGATAAAGCGTTCGCCGAAGCTTTCGTCAAGCCGGAGACCGGGGTTTCATTCCACACTGGGTACAATGAGTGAAGTCGCAATATCACGGTGGGAAAGGGGGCACCAAAACCGGCTTCACACATTGAACCCATGTTGGAATCGAACCTGGACCTTCGTCGAGAGGGGCGAACACCTTAACCTCCAGGCTACCCCACTGCCCCGTGTATATAGAAGAGAGACAGGTGTAAGGGTATGTCTGGATCTGCTGCATCGACAGTGGTTTTAGTCCAACCTTCAGCGGTCAGCACCACTGCCCAATGCTAGAATGTTTCGCCAAAGTGGTAAAATACCTTTGTAATGCTTTACGACCGCCTCCGTGGTCTAGTGGTAGAGCGTCCACCCGGAGACCGGAAGGTCCGGCGTTCGATCCCAGGCCGCGTCATACCAAAAGACGTTAAAAGGTGGTACTTGTTGTTACCCTGTCTGGCGCTCGGCATTAAGGGGCTAAAACAAGGACTGGTCGGCTCGGAGTCAGTATACTGTATCTGAGTGGGGTATTCCTGTTAAACTGCGGCATGGTATCTCAGTGGGCTAGCACTATAAATCGGCATCAGTCCGGACTAGTACAAGCAGCCACTCACACACACACACGTGCATGCACGTCGCTATGGGTCTTGGACGCGACGTTAAACCCAATTTCACCTTCACCTTGTAATGCTTTACCTTCTTATCACATAAAGCCCCTGTAATTGAACTGAAATCCTGAAACATAACCCACCCACTCACCTTTGTGAATATTATCCTACAAATGTTAAGCACATTGGTCAAATACTTTATAATATTTGTTTCTGTTTGAGCGCTCAGGGAAATGGCTGTAAAATCACTGTGCGACTTCATTACCGAAAGAATTATATTGTCACATACGTTAAAAAATCTTCAAGGTTTCACTCACACACGTGGAACTTGATGGATGTCATTAAAACAAAATAATTAGATACTCCTGTCCTATTTTTCATGAAGAATTCAAACAACCCTGCCTATTCTGCCTCTAATAGAAATCATAGCAATGGAAAATAGAAGTTATTTCTCTACTGCTCACCACATTTAGGATACGCGCAGACAAAGACGTCATCCTCTCTGATGGGGAGGTCGCGCATGCCTTTGACCGCAACTTCAACGGGATGATCAACATCGCCTTTTGGGTACAGATGACCATCCACTTCGAGGAAAGTGATGTTGTCTCCGCCAGCATCCGGGATCTTTACGATTGACATCCTCAACTGTCACAGAGAGGGGGTATTAATGCACAGTAGTGTAGCTCGTCAGAGGTCTACTGCATGTAAAAGTTCACGAAGTTGGTTGGTTGGTTTGTTGTTTAACGCCACACTCAGCAATACTCCAGCTATATGACGGCGGTCTGTAAATAATCGAGTCTGGACCAGACAATCCAGTGATTAATATCATGAGCATCGATCCACGCAATTGGGATCGATGACATGCATCAACCAAGTCAGCGAGCCTGACCACCCGATCCCGTTAGTCGCCTTTTACGACAAGCACAGTCACCTTTTACGGCAAGCATGGGTTGCTGAAGACCTATTCTACCCCGGAATCTTCACGGGTAGGTTCACGAAGAAATGTTTGAGGGTCTGTGAGTGATGATCTGGAAAAGAACCCTACGAATATGAAACAGGCAAAACAGTGATTAAAATCTCAGCAGCAAGACACGCCACCGGATAGGAAGGCACATACTCTACCACCTGACCCCTCACGACCAGCAATGGGAATTGGTGAATTCTTACATTTCGGTCTCACGTGTCTTACATGTAAAGTTTAACAATTAGTAACACCTTGTATCTAGCCCGTTAATAGACAGATGTTTCACAGTGCAGTCGATCATCGTTGTGTCAAAATCAAAAGAACCTGAGAATAAGTTCGACATCAGATTGTTCGATACATCCGTTTGTTTTGTTTGTTTGATTTGTTTGTTCTTTAGTGCTGTACTCTAGCAATATTCTAGCCATATGACATATGATGACGGCGGTCTGTAAATAATCGAGTCTGGACGAGACAAACCAGTGAGTGCCTTAAATATCACAACAGAGGGAGATCTGATGATATTTCGAAGCGACGCGGAGTAGCCGAGTGGTTAAAGCGTTCGCCGAAGCGTTCGTGAAGCCTAAGACCCGGGTTCCATTCCATACGTTGGTACAATGGGTGAAGTCGCAATATCACGGTGGGGAAGGGTGGCGGTGTGTGTGTGTGTGTGTGTGTGTGTGGGGGGGGGGGGGGGGGGGGGGGCCAAAAGGCAACGATCTACATCGGGATTTGGTGACACGCCACCATCCATTAAATTGCCTCTTACGACCAAGTCGCATATTAGACCAATTCAAAAACAGCAATTCACAACATAATTGAACGATATTGTACAGTAGATTACAGTAGAAAACAGTTGAGGTTATTCAAGCATTAAAATGTGAGGTTAGCTTTTAATAACAGGCGTCCGTTCCTCAAACGGTGGTAGCGCTAAGGTGATCGTAACTTCGCCCACTTGTGGAACGGGGTCCTGATGTAAGTAAACATTTAGCTGTTAATTTCATAAAATGTCTTCCTTGTCACCGTGTCATGAGACAACATTTGCCCCTCAAGGTATATTCTCCCTGCAGTGTTTTATTGTGCGATACATGGGATAGCGCAAACTTCATTAGTCTTCTAATATGCCGAATTTAAGACTAACCTTGTGTTTTATTAGAGAAACCTGTATTGAGCGGTGACTTAAATTGAAAGTCCACGAACAGGGCTAACTGACGGGCTGTTTCGTCTAATTGTCCGTACCCTTACGTTAAGAGACATAATTAACGATTGAACATAATACAGCACCACTAAAATGAGGGGTTTATTATTTTAATAGGTCATATTTCATTATCCGTTCAGTGTGTGAGTTGGCCAACACATATAAATATACGAAGTTCGGAGTCCCTGGTTTATATTTACTCTGAGTTGAGGTGATTTCTGGGGACCCGGATGTTACACTAAGGCTAGCGGCACGGTATCGTACGGCTGGTGTGGGAATGAGGGCTGGGACGGGGAACTCGGGTATTTGGGTGGGGTGGTTCCTCAGTAGGATTCGGATACCCACAGGACTACACGGACCCGTGGTAAGTTACGGGATATGTTGTTTAATGGCAACGTATATCTAGAACTTCCACGGTCACAATATAAGTGACTAATGTTTGCATTTCTTTCTGACTTTAAATGTTTGAATAGAGGTAAAACTTCAGTGTGTGCATGACCAGATCGTTTTCTATGAGTATCTATATACATTTTGCCAGGTCTACGGTCAAATTATTCACAATCGGATATTTGTACCTATCTCTTGAGACCATCAGCGGGTACCGGGCAGGGTCGGGTAATAGTGGGGTGGGTATCCGGGTAGATAATTTGGACTCGTCCCAGCCCTAGTGGAAACAGCCTCAATGCACACGCAATTGGGGAAACACAGTCACCAGCAGAGGTTAGGTGAAATTGGGTTTAAAGTCGCGTCCAAGATTATTGCACTTATATAGCGACGTGCATGCACGTGTGTGTGTGGCTGCTTGTACTAGTCCGGACTGATGTCGATTTATATGGCTAGCTCACTGAGATTCCATGCCGCAGTTTAACATGAATACCCCACTCAGACACAGTATACTGACTCCGAACCGACCAGTCCTGGTTTTAGTCCCTTAATGCCGAGCGCTAGACAGGATAACAACAAGTATCATCTTTTAACGTCTTTTGGGATGAACCGGTCGGGGATCGAAACCCGGACCTTCCGCTTTCCGGGCGGACGCTCTACCACAAGACCTCGGAGGCGGTCCAGTCAGCAGAGATCAGGACACAGTAACAATGCTGAAGCTGAGCGACTCGAACAGTCAAAGAGACAGATCACTGCTTCAACACGATACATCGATATCGGACTTGGGTAACTCGGCCACGTGGCGGACGGAAATATCGAACAGGGTGGAATTACCCTTCATACACTCTACAAGGAGATACGAAAGAATCGCGAGCAACTGACGATTGAAACCATGGAGATTAGAGTTTATGCATAGTGACATAGCTGAACTGTGAATATCTGAATCCGACTTGGAAAGAGACATGTATGCTGCAACGAAAACCGTTTCAACTGTTCTCACTCCTTTATCAAGCCTTCAAAGTGAGATGTTAGAGTATGAACGCTACCAAAGGGAATTCAATCTACTGATTGGGGGGAATCAAAGAGAAAATCAGATGAAAACGCGACCGATGTGTTGTCAAACTTTGTGACAGGGAAGCTTAATGTGAGTAAAATGCCTACCATTGAGAACTGCTAAAGACTTGGACGGCCATCAACGTCACCTCAAACTACACCTAGACCTATCATCGCCTGATGACATCTGAAAGAGACACCTTGCTATGTCAGAGAAGATCTTCCAAAGCAGGAAGAGGCCAAAAAACCCTCCTACAGCCAGTGATGTCACAGGCTTGGCAGGACAAGAAGAAAGTTCGGTTCATCAAGGGAAATTGTTCATATACGGGGTTCAGTACCGCCCTTAATATGACAATCCTCAGGACTGCATGTTATGAGGGGGGACTTTACTTAGTGACACAAGTAAAAAACATAAAATCACTATATTGGCTAAAGCCTTTCTTTTGTTTCACTATTTCTTCATATTGACATGTTTATGAGGATTATTTTTCTGTGACATCAGAGGTCTATCAGCATGTTAAAGAGGCTGCCATAATAGCATAATATTGTTATGAATAGGTGCCGATGATATTAGGAAAATAACTTATTAGTGTCTGAAGATTATTATATGCACATGTAAGCTGTTTAACTTTTCATTTGGGATTCAATATCAATGAATTATGAAGTGTGAGAATATTAAATACAAGAGGTACACTTTCAGCACAGACTTTGGCTAAAGCATCTTTTGTGGTTCTCTTTGGTGCCCCGATTGAAAACATTATTTTATACATGTATTTTACACGCTTCAGTTTAACGTTAATATTTGACAACAGAAATGGTATGCTGGATTACTGGGTAATATAACTTATTTCATGTTGAAAGGCGTATAACCTCAAGCAAGGATCAGACTGGCGTCTGTAATAAGCAGTGATATGTGAACTGTACTTGTGACCTCATTCCAGCAAGTAAACAGCTTGGAAAAGAAGCTGACATGAAATCATCATACTGTTATAAATATGAGGAGCAGATGATATCATGTTATTAGTATCTGTGTGAGTGAGTGAGTTGGGTTTGACCCGCTTTTAACAGTATCCCGGGAATATCACGGCGTGTCACCTTAAGGTGGGAGGAAAGCCCGAAGTGATGCAGGTCTCAGACGTTTACAACTTCGGTGAAACCCACGAGCACGGGTATGGTGCTGACAAACCTAGAAACATAATCGGGGTGAACCGGGATTCGAACCCACAATCATAGGTTTCTGACGAGCCCAAGGGACGCAACTCTGCACAGCGAGTTGCGGCGCCTTAGACGACTGGGCCACCCGTGCCCCCTTATAAGTATCTGAAGATTATAATATGTGCATGTGAGCTGTTTAACTTTTAATTTGAAGGTCAAGATCAACGCTAAAGCGGTGTGAAAATCCTTTTGTTTTCATATTGACTTGTTTGAGAATAAGTATGTTTTACTCAAATATGAAATGCAAAAGTTATTTTTTGTAATGCTCAGTGTTTTAGTGGTTCAAAGGATTGTATCCACAACTGTTCAGGTAAATGCTTTACAATAAGACCAGAATGGTTTGCTGGATTATTGGAGAAGTATGAATGTTTTTGAAAAATCAAAATGCAGATAATAATATGTTGCAAGAGACTTATATTGTTATAGAAGATGAACCTCTTTGGTAACAGTGTGGCTGAAGTAATCAAGTACGTGTATCTTTTAGTCACGGTACATCAGAAAGCCTGAGTTCTGGGGACATGCTCGCTGAGGTTAACATCAGCCGTATTGCTAATTTCTCTGACAGTAGCTCAGTATTTATTTGTTTCAAACAATTTTAGGTATCTCACAACATTCATATCCAAGGACTTTGAAGACCTTGGGCTGGAGGTTTCTGGTTACTAAGGGAATCTGTCCAACTGGACAGGCCTAGGCCTATCAAGGCCATCAGCCTATCAAGGAGAATGGGTGATGACTGACTTCTGGTCCTCATAGTATCGTGAACACTGGAGGGGCCATCTTCCCGAGGCAAGAGAGTTATCTGACTATAAAAGTCCAGTTTCCACCCTTGCCGAA